CGTGCAATAATGTAACAGTTCGGGGGTGATGTTAGGCCCGACCCGCAGCAGAGGGCCGGTCGTATAAGTCAAATGAGATTTTACATCGTACTGATGAACAGATTGTTCCTATTATTGGCTTATATTTTTCTCTTCTGGTATAGATGTAAGTACCACTTACAAGGATTTTATGAACCCTTTTTATTAAGTGGCAACAAATCATATTGTGCTGTAAAATCCTCTGCAAGTAGTGTGTAAAAATGGACGAGTATACTGCTTGTTTTGATTGTCGCAGTCATCACGCGTAGCCATTCTGTCTAGATGAAACATAGTAAAGCTAATTAAGTCACTAAAGACCAAAAGCAAAACATGGTTTGTATACCTTACCATTTTCAATTGGTTTGGTTTCTGCTGTTGTACTTTTTTCACAGCAGGCTCTGGCTGTGTGCAAACAACTTTCCAGCAGCAACAAACCCTGGAAGCTGCAGCTGGAACTTCGGCTCGCCGTCATCCGGCCGAGCATACAGCAGTCACAGCACGTCTGAACAGAAGATGGGGAGGGTGAAACAAGTACGAGATGCAACCAAAAAAGAAAGAATCGCATCTCTAATGTGACATTGTCAGAAACACTAGTTCATTAGTTATATTGTTTGTAAATATAGGAATTAATGGATATTTGTAGCTTGAAGATATTCCCATTAAAGAGAAGATAACCTTAGAGATTTTGTTTTTCCAGGGTTCTCCTTGGAAGAAGGGCGTCTCACAGGCCTCTTGCCACTCGGCCATCTTGACGCCTTTGTCACAGAGTCCGTCTCTTACTGCTGCTGAGCAGCACTGCTCCTTGGTGATGCTGTAAATAAAGGGCAGACATTGAGCTCAATCAGGAGAGAAACTGCAGACTTTGTAGGTAACTGGCTGTAACTTAAAATAACTTGTAATGGTCAGGAGCAACCTATTCGGGATTCTTTTAAGATTACATTGTTACATTTCTCGAAATGGGCTAAAAGTCTCTCTCCCTGCCTTTCCGCTGCAAGTGTTCCCCAAAAGACGGCTGGCTACACCACAAACAGTGTGTAAGAAGTCCCCCCCCCAGTCAAGGCCAGTTAATATGCCTTTACTGTTTGTCCTCATTGTGAAATCAGGGGTTTCTTACTTGCAGATGTTGGGAGATGAGATGGGAGGGGTGGATGTACAGTGTTGTCCTGCAAGGGCCCGATCCCTTCCATCCCGGCAGCACCTCTGTACAGTATAAAGCTCAATCTCTGAGGATTAAATACACGAGGCATGATAAAGGTCATGATAAATAACGTTGCTGCCCCCACATGCTGGGGACTTAATAAGATGTCATTCAAACAGACTCACACTCTCAGATAGAAGGACAGCATTGGACAATATTACTAAGCAGTATCTCACAGAAGGATTCAATGTGTCCCATCATGGATACTGTCTTAAAGGTGTTCAAAATTGTTCAAACCATTAATAAAGGCTCAAAATCCGCATTTCAATGACAGAATTTAGCAGTGCGTTTTAAACTAAAGCTCTGCAAACCTGTGGTGAGGGAATTCAAGAACTGGACCAGTGAGGCGCTGGAGGATCTTCGGGCGTGCTTTGACTGCACAGACTGGGAAGGTTTCAGGACTGCTACTGACAGTCTGGATGAGTTCACAGAGGCTGTAACTTCCTACATCGGCTTCTGTGAGGACAGCCGTGTACCATCATGCACCAGGGTGAGTTACAACAACGACAAACCCTGGTTCACAGCGGAACTCAGAACACTACGCCTGCAGAAGGATCAGGCATTTATGAGTGGGGACAAGGACTTGTACACTGTCAAAATACAAGTTTAGCAAGGCGGTGAGAGATGCTAAACGACTGTACGCTGAGAAACTCCAACAACAGTTCTCAGCAAGTGACTCTGCTTTGGTTTGGAGAGGCCTCAAACACCTCACCAACTACAAGCCAAAACCCCCCCCACTCCATGAATGACCTCCGCCTGGCAGACGAGCTCAATGAGTTCTACTGCAGATTCGAAAGACAATGTCCTGATCCCATCCCCCACAACTCCACCAACCTGCCGCAGTCCCCCACCCCTCCCTCCCCCAGCCCATCAAGTGCTCACGCCTCTTCATCTATATCTATTCTGGAGAGAGACGTTAACCGGCTCTTTAAAAGACAAAACCCCCTGTAAGGCAGCCGGCCCGGACTCCGTTTCCCCTCACACCCTCAAGCATTGTGCTGACCAGCTGTCTCCGGTGTTCACTGACATCTTCAACACCTCCCTGGAGACATGCCACGTGCCAGCCTGCTTCAAGGCCTCCACTATCATCCCTGTCCCCAAGAAGCCCAGGATCACAAGACTCAATGACTACAGGCCCGTCGCCCTGACCTCTGTAGTCATGAAGTCTTTTGAACGGCTAGTCCTGACCCACCTGAAGTCCCTCACTGACCCCCTCCTGGACCCCCTAGAGTTCGCCTACAGATCCAACAGGTCTGTGGACGATGCTGTCAACATGGCCCTCCACTACATCCTGCAGCATCTGGACTCCCCAGGAACCTACGCCAAGATCCTGTTTGTGGACTTCAGCTCTGCCTTCAACACCATCATCCCGTCTCTGCTGCAGGACAAACTCTCCCAGCTGCACGTGCCCGACTCCACCTGCAAGTGGATCACTGACTTCCTGTCTGACAGGAAGAAGCACGTGAAGCTGGGGAAACATGTCTCAGCCTCTCAGACCATCAGCACCGGTTCCCCCCCGGGAAGGCTGCGTTCTTTCCCCTTTGCTCTTCTCCCTGGACACCAACAGCTGCACCTCCAGTCACCAGTCCGTCAAGCTCCTGAAGTTTGCGGATGACACCACCCTCATTGGACTGATCTCCGGTGGGGATGAGTCCGCCTGCAGGTGGGAGTCTGACCATCTGGTGTCGTGGTGCAGCCAGAACAACCTGGAGCTCAACTCTCTGGTTGTGGATTTCCGGAGGAACAGAGCCCCACCTTCCCCCATTACCCTGTGCAAATCCCCCGTCACTATTGTGTATTCCTTCCGTTTCCTGGGCTCCATCATCACCCAGGAACTCAAGTGGGAGCTGAACATCAGCTCCATCACCAAGAAGGCTCAGCAGAGGTTGATCTTCCTGAGGCAGCTAAAGAATTTCAACCTGCCAAAGACGATGATGGTCCACTTTTACACGGCCATCATCACGTCCATCCTCTGCTCCTCCATCACCGTCTGGTACTCTGCAGCCACAGCCAAGGACAAGGGCAGGCTGCAGCGTGTCATCCGCTCTGCAGAAAGGGTGATCGGCTGCAATCTGCCGTCCCTGCAGGAGTTGTTCGCTTCTAGGTCACTGAAGCGAGCTAATAAGATCGTATCCGACCCCTCTCACCCTGGACAAAACCTTTTTGTGCCCCTTCCATCTGGCAGGAGGCTGAGGTCAATCAGGACAAAGACCTCCAGCCACACGAACAGTTTCTTCCCGTCGGCAGTCGGGCTCATCAACAGAGCCCGGTCCCCCACTGACTGTCTCTGACATTCCACCGGTCACTCTCTTTCATATTGCACAAACATGTCACTTTAACTGTCATTTTTCACCCGTCACTTTGTCGTCACTTTGTCACTTGTTCGCTAGTGCACTTTATTTTTTAACTTTCTAAATATTTTTCATTTTTTACTTTAACTTCATTCTCTTATTTTCTACTAATCCATAGCATTAGCATTTCATTTTATTTTATTACTTGTGCACTGCTGTCTTGTTGTCTATTGTCACACTGTCTACTGTCACGCATCAACCACCAAGTCAAATTCGTTGTATATATGACATATCTTGGCAATGAATGTTTCCCGATTCCTGATTCCTGAAATTATCTATTCATAACTCTATATCAAGAAAGTGTTTTCAAACGTAACGTCACGCTCACTTTGAGATGTTTACTTCTTCGATAGTCTAAATGTCACGGTTGATATTAATTACAGGGGGAATCGCCTGCTTAATGGCAGCAGTGGATGGTGTGTGTGGAGAAAATGCCTCAATAAAATGAAAATCCCTGAATAGGAAGCATATGGTAAAACACTTCAGCACCTCATCACACATTAGGAATACAAAAGCTACTTTGGTTAGGGTTCCTTTTTCTTTAAACCCCTTACTGTGTGCAAACAACAGAGGTTGCTGATTGTTTTGGGTTTCACAGACAGAAGTAGTTCTGTCTAGATATGAAATAGTGAAGCTAATCAAGACACCAAAGACTGAAAGCACAACATTGTTTCCATCTCTCACCCTTTGTTGTCGGTTTGATTACTGTTAAGTTTTTTTCACAGCAGGCTTTAGCTGTGTCCAAACACTGTCTCCCAGGTAAGAAACCCTGGAAATCACAGCTGGAACTTCGGCTAGCTGTCATCAGGCCGAGCAAACAGCAGTCACAGCACATCTGAACAGAAGATGAAACAAGAGATGCAGCCAAAAAAGAAGGAATCTTATCTCTAATGCGACATCGTCAGAAACACTAGTTCATTAGTTGTATTGTTTGTAAATACAGGAATTAATGGACATTTGTAGATTGAAGATATTGGCATTAAAGAGAAGATAACCTTAGAGATTTGGATTTCCCAGGGTTCTCCTTGGAAGAAGGGCATCTCACAGGCCTCTTGCCACTCGGCCATCTTGACGCCTTTGTCACAGAGTCCGTCTCTTATTGCTGCTGAGCAGCACTGCTCCTTGGTGATGCTGTAAATAAAGGGCAGACATTGAGCTCAATCAGGAGAGAAACTGCAGACTTTGTAAGTAACTGGCTGTGACTTAAAATAACTTGTAATGGTGAGCAGCAACCTATTCGGAATTCTTTTAAAATAACATTGTTAGATTTCTCGAAATGGGCTAAAAGTCTCTCCCCCTGCCTTTCCTCTGCAAGTGTTCCCCAAAAGACAGCTGGCTACACCACAGACAGTGTGTAAGAAGTCCCCCCCCAGTCAAGGCCAGTTAACATGCCTCTACTGTTTGTCCTCATTGTGAAATCAGGTGTTTCTTACTTGCAGATGTTGTGAGATGAGATGGGAGGGGTGGATGTACAGTGTTGTCCTGCAAGGGCCCGATCCCTTCCATCCCGGCAGCACCTCTGTACAGTATAAAGCTCAATCTCTGAGGATTAAATACACGAGGCATGATAAAGGTCATGATAAACAACGTTGCTGCCCCCACGTGCTGGGGACTTAATAAGATGTCATTCAAACAGCCTGAGTAGGAGACAAAATTACCAAGCAGTATCTCACAGAAGGATTCAACATGAAAAATGAAGGCATTCCCTCCTGTACGGGGCTATGAATGAGGAAGTTCACAAGAATCCAATCCATTGTTTAGATATTTGAGTCACAGTCTGGTACATCGACATTTCCACCCATAACAACTAGAATTGCTTTGTTAAGAAGTGTGCTATTACAACCACACTTTTCTTTACATTACTCACCTTGACAACTCACTCCATCTTTTTGCAGTTTATAACCAGCAAAGCACGCACACGTACCGTTACCTTCACACAACTGGGAGCAGTTTAAGTCTGAAAGCAGCAGAGACACACAGGAAGAAGGAGACATTAATGTGTACAGTGTGAGTCCTACATCACAGGAATCATGTCACTGGCTGGTGTCTAAACCTCCTAAAGCTCTTCTTATAACAATGGAGATCACATTATGAAACGAAGGTGACAAACCTCTACAGCTCTTTAACCCCTCCTGAGACATGGTGGTACTGCTGACCTGAGGGCTTTCTGTCACTGATGCTGTGGAGAAAATGCCTCAATAAAATGAAAATCCCTGAATAGGAGGCATATGGTAAAACACTTCAAGGACTCATCACACATTGGGAATATGTCACCAGTGGGACATTGTGGTTTCTGTACATTATTGGTTTGTTATATTTTAGCATGGTTTGGTTTTGCATTTTAGCATGGCTTGTTTTTACATTTTAGCATGGTTTGTTTTATTACATTTTTACATATTAACCCACCTTTCAGTAAACTACATGCACCTGGAGGGACTAATCAATTACAGAGAGCCCTGGCCAACCACATTACACAATGAAAGGACCTCCCCTCTCCAATTAACACAGCTGCTATAAAGGACACTAAGCACGGCAGAAAGGGGAAGCCATGGGCAGGAGAAGCCATGGGAAATCAAGTGAGAGGGCGGCAAGACAACGGACGAGCAGGCAGGGTGCAAACGAGGAGAGGAACGAGGCGGACTGGACACCTCACGCAGGAAAGGAACGGAACGGAATCGGAAACGAGAAGAAAGAGCAGGACGGATCAGCAGCAGTGGCTGGTCGAATTCTTAATCTTTTTTTTTAGTACTTTGTTCCAGCTGGACTTTTAATACAATTGTAGTTATTTATGGGTTTTTAGGTAATAATAAAATCCTCCTTTTAAACCACGCTTAAGTCTTGTGATGCATGCTGTTCTTCCTCTGGTGAACAATACCCTGTTTTTATGGAGACCTAGACTCCGCAACTAGGTGGCGTTGCTGGTACCTTTTTTATAAATGTATCTTATTTTTATTGGATTTTAAGTCCCCCGCCTCACAGGGCTGACCAATACAAAAGCTACTTGGGTTAGGTTACTTTTGTTTTGAACCACTTACTGTGTGCAAACAACAAATATTGCGGATTGTTTTGGGTTTCACAGACCGACAGAAGTCATTCTGTCTACATAAGACATAGTGAAGCTAATGAAGACACCAAAGACTGAAAGCACAACATTGTTTCCATATCTTACCGTTTGTTGTCGGTTTGATTACTGTTGTGTTTTTTTCACAGCAGGCTTTAGCTGAGTCCAAACACTGTCTCCCAGGTAAGAAACCCTGGAAATCGCAGCTGGAATTCTGGCTCGCTGTCATCAGGCCGAGCAAACAGCAGTCACAGCACATCTGAACAGGAGACAGATTGCTAATGTGAAAATGTCAGAAACACTATAGCTGTTGATTTATTTGTTGTCTTGCTTAATTGTGTAATAAATAAGTGACATGTGAAAGCTGCCAACATTGACATTCAGGAAGAGAACCTTAGACATTTGGGTTTCCCAGGGCTCTCCTTTGGGTAGGAGTCCATGACAGGTCCCTTTCTCCTTGGCCAGCTCAGTGCCATTTTTGCAGAACCATTCTCCAACTGCAGCTGAACAGCACTGCTCCCTGGTGGTACTGTAAGTAAACAGCAGACATTTAGCTCTCCAGAAGTGAACGTGCATCCTCTGCTCTGGGAAAAAATAGTTGGATTAGGAGTATGCAAAGAAATTAAGTTTAGGCGTAAATTCAGTCTGGAAGCTGATTAATCTGGTGCATTCTCTGCACGTACTACCTGTGCTTACGGTGTAGTTGCTAAGAGGCGATCTTCTTCTGTAGCTGAATGGATAAAACATACAGCTGGAAACACTAGCTTACAGAGACAGATTGCATTGGTGAAAATTGCACACATTCATTTAAATAGTCAAATTTTATACATTTCGCACACCTAGGAATTGACACCTGGTGCATTCCCTCTGTACTGCCCCATCTTTGGTCGCTGGGTGGTATTCTTAGACCCGGTTAATTGTTTAACCAGATGTTGGTTACCTGCAACTGTATGAGGAGGAGAAGAAGGAGGAGAGGGTTGTACAGTGTTGTCCTAAATAGGCCCGATCCCTTCCATCCTGACAGCACGTCTGTACAGCGCGAAGCTCAATCTCTGAGGAGTGAACACACAGCAGAGGCATGATGCATAAACAGCACGGCTGCCCGCAAGTTCAATTGATACTAATAGAACCTGCAGTACCCCTTCATAAGGGGAATAAGGTACCCTTATTCTGGGGATGCGACGTATCACATGTGAGTATCCCACCAATCTTTTCAGTGGTTCTTCACATTTTGGTCCAACAAGGTTCTCTTGAATTTCTATGGAAAATGTTTTTCATTTCTATTGACTGAGGTTATGGATCACAAATCAAATTGATAGTCACAAGCTCCCAAAGAGGCTTCCTGAAGTCTATAGTTCATAAAAAAAGTAAATCATTTGATTTTGTTCGAGATAGTCTGCAGCCTATTTTCAGAAATGAATAGAAGAGTATACTGGTTGTTTTGATTGTCACAGTCATCCAGTAGCCATTATGTCTAGATAAAACATAGTGAAGCTAATTAAGTCACTAAACACTGAAAGCAAAACATGGTTTGTATAACTTACTATTTTCATTTGGTCCGATTTCGGCTGTTGTACTTTTTTCACAGCAGGCTCTGGCTGTGTGCAAACAACTTTCCGTCAGCAACAAACCCTGGAAGTTGCAGCTGGAACTTCGGCTCGCCGTCATCCGGCCGAGCATACAGCAGTCACAGCACGTCTGAACAGAAGATGAAACAAGAAGAGATGCAGCCAAAAAAGAAGGAATCTTATCTCTAATGCGACATCGTCAGAAACACTAGTTCATTAGTTGTATTGTTTGTAAATACAGGAATTAATGGACATTTGTAGCTTGAAGATATTGCCATTAAAGAGAAGATAACCTTAGAGATTTTGTTTTTCCAGGGTTCTCCTTGGAAGAAGGGCGTCTCACAGGCCTCTTGCCACTTGGCCATCTTGACGCCTTTGTCACAGAGTCCGTCTCTTACTGCTGCTGAGCAGCACTGCTCCTTGGTGATGCTGTAAATAAAGGGCAGACATTGAGCTCAATCAGGAGAGAAACTGCAGACTTTGTAAGTAACTGGCTGTAACTTAAAATAACTTGTAATGGTCAGCAGCAACCTATTCTGAATTCTTTCAAAATAACATTGTTAGATTTCTCGAAATGGGCTAAAAGTCTCTCCCTGCCTTTCTTTTATGGGTCAGCTGTTGTTTTTCCTTATCCGGGGTGTTTGTATCTTTTCCCCTGTGTGTGTCTGTCTGTGCTTCTTGTCCCCACCTACAAGAGGCGTGGCCAGCCATCCAGCTCCGTCCCCACAGCTGATGCTCATTCCACAATCCATCCCTGCAGTATTTAGACCCGGGCTGTCTGCTTCTCCAACGCCAGATTGTTACACACCCACACGTGGTAACTTGACTCGGTATCCTGGCTTGTAAGACATTGAGTATTGCTACTGTCTTGTCTAACCCTTATCCCTGTGTCCAGATCCCGCTGTCCCTGTTCTGTCCTGCCGTGCCGTCTGCCTCCGTCCCTCCGGCGTCCTCACCCAGCTGTCTCCTTCCCTAGAAATCTGTACTCATTAAATCGCTTCTACAGATTATCACTCCTGGTTGAATCTCTGTGTGCTGGGTTGAATATCCACCTCTGTAACACTTTCCTCTGCAAGTGTTCCCCAAAAGACGGCTGGCTACACCAAAAACAGTGTGTAAAAAGTTCCCCCGCCAGTCAAGGCCAGTTAACATGCCTTTACTGTTTGTCAATCAGGTGTTTCTTACTTGCAGATGTTGGGAGATGAGATGGGAGGGGTGGATGTACAGTGTTGTCCTGCAAGGGCCCGATCCCTTCCATCCTGACAGCACCTCTGTACAGTATAAAGCTCAATCTCTGAGGATTAAATACACGAGGCATGATGAATGTCATGATAAATAACGTTGCTGCCCCCACATGCTGGGGACTTAATAAGATTCCATTCAAACAGACGCACACTCTCAGATAGGACAGCATTGGACAATATTACTAAGCAGTATCTCACAGAAGGATTCAACGTGTCCCAACATGGATACTATGTTAAAGGTGTTCAAAGTGGGTCAAACCATTAATAACGGCTCAAAATCAGCATTTCAATGACAGAATTTAGCAGCGCGTTTTAAATGATCTATTGAGAACTCCGCATTGTGTGCGTGGCGTCCCATGAGCTGCACGGAGCGTCTTTTGTGTCTCCCGATTCCGCATCATCGACGGCGCCTGCCTGTCTGCCGACTGAGGTTGGAGGCGGAAGCGTGGCCTTCAGGCCGGTGCAGATCCCCTTAGGCGTAGCATCCAACTCCTACCGTAGGCCGTCTCATTTGTACTGCTTGGATGTACATGTGCCTTGTATAACTGTTTCATAGATGCCTGTTACCTTTTGATTTGCAGCTAAAGCGACTTTGTTGTGGTGCATCACCCTGGCGCAGGAGCACTGAAGCATCTACGTCCCCCCAGTGGCTCACCTGATGAAGCGGGCCTCTAAACAGTGCGGGACCCTCCCACTGCTGTTCTGTCTCGGCTGTTTTTCTGTTTTGTGATTTAATCATTCCTTTCCTGTGTGTGTGTGTGTGTGTGTGTGTGTGTGGGCGTGGGCCTCCTGGCCGGTATTGTGTTACTAATGGTTGCTACTTTTGTTTTGATGAACAGGAGCTGTTGGTGCCTCTGGTAGGAGTGACTGGCTGATCCCGGTGGTGGTGGTTCCCTTAATTTTTTTGTTTTAGTGCAACTCTGTGGCAATAGTTGGTGTGTGGTTTGTTTTTGTGTTATTCACATGTGGTGGCCCCTTCCCCCTCAGCAAGTCATCTCTGCCAGTGAGCCCACAGTCTCAGCCCCCTCCTGTACGTTGCATTCCATGGTAACCTGAATAACTGAGAACCTGAGAAAGATTTTATTGAACTTTGTGATCGTGACTGTATTTTAAGAAAATAATTTGATATAAAAATAAACTTGTATCATTTTGTTTGTAGAATCACGTCCAGTGCCTGTGTTGTCCGAACCTGTGTCCTGTCATTGACCATGGATTGGTGGTCCCTGTTAATTCCTGGGGTTAAATTCCCTTGGGTGGCGTTGTTGGTTTTTAATAGTAAATACAGATCTCCCTCTTAGCACTGCCACACATCACTGAAACTCAGCAAGAGAAAGAGCACCGAGGTCTAATTGGACAAAGCCAATGGTCACTGCGCTCTGGCCTAAGATCATAAAAACCAACGCTAAACAGAAGTTTGAGAACCACTTAACTACGCTAACACACACATGGTGTGTAAACATGGACATCTCATACATGGTCTGTGGTCAAACTGAAAACTTTACCGCTTGCTTAACTAGTAGGGCTTCTTTAAGAAGTATGTCATTAAACTGCACTATTTGCATTACTCACCTTGACAATTCACTCCATCTTTTTGCAGTTTATAACCAGCAAAGCACCCACACGTACCGTTACCTTCACACAACTGGGAGCAGTTTAAGTCTGAAAGCAGCAGAGACACACAGGAAGAAGGAGACATTAATGTGTACAGTGTGAGTCACATCACAGGAATCATGTCACTGGCTGGTCTCCAAACCTCCTAAAGCTCTTCTTATAACAATGGAGATCACATTATGAAACAAAGGTGACAAACCTCTACAGGTGTTTAACCCCTCCTGAGACATGGTGGTACTGCTGACCTGAGGGCTTTCTGTCACTGATGCTGTGGAGAAAATGCCTCAAAATGAAAATCCCTGAATAGGAAGCATATGGTAAAACACTTCAAGGACTCATCACACATTGGGAATACAAAAGCTACTTGGGTTAGGTTACTTTTGCTTTAAACCCCTTACTGTGTGCAAACAGCAAATATTGCTGATTGTTTTGGGTTTCACAGACAGACAGAAGTCATTCTGTCTACATAAGACATAGTGAAGCTAATGAAGACACCAAAGACTTAAAGCACAACATTGTTTCCATATCTTACCATTTGTTGTCGGTTTGATTACTGTTGTGTTTTTTTCACAGCAGGCTTTAGCTGAGTCCAAACACTGTCTCCCAGGTAAGAAACCCTGGAAATCACAGATGGAATTCTGGCTCGCTGTCATCAGGCCGAGCAAACAGCAGTCACAGCACATCTGAACAGGAGACAGATTGCTAATGTGAAAATGTCAGAAACACTATAGCTGTTGATTTATTTGTTGTCTTGCTTGCTTGTGTAATAAAGTGACATGTGAAAGCTGCCAACATTGACATTCAGGAAGAGAACCTTAGACATCTGGGTTTCCCAGGGCTCTCCGTTGGGTAAGACTCCGTCACACGTCCCTTCCTTCTTGGCCATCTTCATGCCCTTGTCACAGAACCATTCTCCTACTGCTGCTGAACAGCACTGCCCCTTGGTGATGCTGTAAGTAAACAGCAGACATTTCGTCATCATCTTTCCGCTCAGTGAGGAGGACTTAGCTGAATAAAGAGCATCTGGCAATGCTCTTTAGTAGCCGGATGGATGAAACATAAAGTTGAAATTGCTAAGTTTACAGGACACACACATTTGAAGCATGAAAATTTCACACGCTCATTCAAAGAGTCCAATTTTATTTAGTTTTTGATGGAAGAACACAAAAAAAATATCATGCATTCCCTCCGTACTGCCCCAACATTGATCCCTGGTTCTTATTCTCTGGTCACCGTTCTTTTTTAAACCAGATGTTGGTTACCTGCAAGTGTAGGATGAGGAGAAGAAGGAGACGGTTGTACAGTCTTGTCCTAAAAGGGCCTGATCCCTCCCATCCTGACAGCACTTTTGCATGACACGAAGCTCAACCTCTGAGGATTAAACAAACAGCAGAGACGTGATGGATGAATAACAAGTGCCACTGACTGAATCAGACTGACTTCAGTCAGGCTCACACTCTCAGTTAGACAGACAGTTTAGGACAACATTACCAATTAGTATCTCGGCAAAGATTTATATACAACTAAATGGAATAGTATATTAAAATTGTTAAAACCACCAGCAAAGACTCCAATTCACCATTTAGATACAAACACGTAGCGGTGTGACCTCCCACTTTGCAATGTATTGCTTCTGTTAGTTATTAAATTTTTTATTATTTTAAATCTCAAGCTAGTTGATTCTTTTGACTCTTCACCTCTGGCTGGGGCGAAGGAAAAAAAGAGCTGAGCCACTGTTCTGCTATTAGACCCCACACAAGTCACTAAAGACCAAAAGCAAAACATGGTTTGTATACCTTACCATTTCCAGTTGGTTTGGTTTCTGCTGTTGTACTTTTTTCACAGCAGGCTCTGGCTGTGTGCAAACAATTTTCCAGCAGCAACGAACCCTGGAAGCTGCAGCTGGAACTTCGGCTCGCCGTCATCCGGCCGAGCATACAGCAGTCACAGCACGTCTGAACAGAAGATGGGGAGGGTGAAACAAGTACGAGATGCAACCAAAAAAGAAGGAATCGCATCTCTAATGTGACATCGTCAAAAACACTAGTTCATTAGTTATATTGTTTGTAAATATAGGAATTAATGGATATTTGTAGCTTGAAGATATTCCCATTAAAGAGAAGATAACCTTAGAGATTTTGTTTTTCCAGGGTTCTCCTTGGAAGAAGGGCGTCTCACAGGCCTCTTGCCACTCGGCCATCTTGACGCCTTTGTCACAGAGTCCGTCTCTTATTGCTGCTGAGCAGCACTGCTCCTTGGTGATGCTGTAAATAAAGGGCAGACATTGAGCTCAATCAGGAGAGAAACTGCAGACTTTGTAAGTAACTGGCTGTAACTTAAAATAACTTGTAATGGTCAGGAGCAACCTATTCGGACTTCTTTTAATATAACATTGTTAAATTTCTCGAAATGGGCTAAAAGTCTCTCTCCCTGCCTTTCCTCTGCAAGTGTTCCCCAAAAGACGGCTGGCTACACCACAAACAGTGTGTAAGAAGTCCCCCCCCCCAGTCAAGGCCAGTTAATATGCCTTTAATGTTTGTCCTCATTGTGAAATCAGGTATTTCTTACTTGCAGATGTTGGGAGATGAGATGGGAGGGGTGGATGTACAGTGTTGTCCTGCAAGGGCCCGATCCCTTCCATCCCGGCAGCACCTCTGTACAGTAGAAAGCTCAATCTCTGAGGATAAAATACACGAGGCATGATGAATGTCATGATAAATAACGTTGCTGCCCCCACATGCTGGGGACTTAATAAGATTCCATTCAAACAGACGCACGCTCTCAGATAGAAGGACAGCATTGGACAATATTACTAAGCAGTATCTCACAGAAGGATTCAATGTGTCCCAACATGGATACTATGTTAAAGGTGTTCAAAGTGGGTCAAACCATTAATAAAGGCTCAAAATCAGCATTTCAATGACAGAATTTAGCTTACAGAATGTTAGGTCTGCACACGTGATCACAGAGTACAGCGTTTTTCTTTGTGTTGCCTCTCTAACAGGTGGATAGTTTGAGTGCCTAATATTTTGTTTTATAATGATGATGTAACAAGATCGATTGATGTTTGTTTTCATTCTGGTCTAATGTATTTCTAGTTGTTGAGCAGGGTGTCAATTACATCAGTTTTACCTTTTCATTTGTTGTTTTCGGGAGATGCAGACTCCCGATTGGAGAAAGGAAAATAAGTCCCACCCTTGTTACATTACTCACCTTGACAACTCACTCCATCTTTTTGCAGTTTATAACCAGCAAAGCACGCACACGTACCGTTACCTTCACACAACTGGGAGCAGTTTAAGTCTGAAAGCAGCAGAGACACGCAGGAAGATGGAGACATTAATGTGTACAGTGTGAGTCCTACATCACAAGAATCATGTCACTGGCTGGTGCAAGAGGCTGGTGTCTAAAGCTCTTTTCTTATAAAAATAGTGATCACAAAAATTGAGTGAACATCAATCATAAGACTCAATATATTGTTTGGTTATTGGTCCTTGATCCCAGTTTGGTGCTTGGTTATTACCGGTGAGTGAGCTTGTTGACTTTAATAATTCTGTTGATATTAATAATTTAGTCTCATACAAGCTAACAACCAAACACGCTCCTTGCCATGCAAAATGACGTATTAGAAAGCAAAAGTTATGATATTTGCATGCTAACATGCTCCCTTTTAGAAAGTATGTTACCGTGTCCACCGTGTGAGTTTGGCATGTTAACAATTAAAGTGGGTGATGGTAACTTTTTGTCTTTTTCGTTTCGCAGGTATTTTATTTATAACTACAATGACAATGAAAAAACGTTTTTTTAAAAGAAATGAAGGTGACAAACCTTTACAGGGGTCGACATGATTCCAAGACCAGGTGAAATTAAGGCTTTCTGTCACTGGTGCTGTGGAGACAAAGTCTCATTAAAATGAAATTCCCTGAACAGTAAACAAAGGGTAAAACACGTCAACACCTCCTCACACATTGGAACTCCAAAACGCTAACTTGGGTTAGGGTTACTTTTGTTTTAAATCCCCTGCTGCGTGCGAATGGCAGAAAATGCTGATTGTTTTGAGTGTAACAGACAGAAATCCATCTGTCTATATAACACATGATGGAGAGAATGAAGACACGATTGACTGAAAACACAACACTATTCATGTCTCTTACCATTTGCAGTCGGTTCGATTGCTGTTGTGTAATTTTCACAGCAGGCTTTAGCTGAGTGCAAACACTTTCTACCAAGCAACAAACCCTGGAAATCACAGCTGGAATTCTGGCTCGCTGTCATCAGGCCGAGCAAACAGCAGTCACAGCACATCTGAACAGGAGACAGGGAGGGTGAGACAGCGGACGATATGCAGCTGAAGATGAAGGAATCTCATCTCTAAAGTGATAATGTTGATTTATCAGTTTGCGCACAAGAAAGAAGCGGACATGTGAAGATTGAAGATATTGACATTCGGGAAGAGATAACCTTAGACATTTGGATTTCCCAGTGCTCTGCTTTGGAAAGGAGTCTGTGACAGGTCCCTTTCTCCTTGGCCGTCTTCATGCCGTTGTCACAGAACCATTCTCCTACTGCTGCTGAACAGCACTGCCCCTTGGTGATGCTGTAAGTAGACAGCAGACATTTAGACAGATGGATGAAACAAAGTTGCAAGTGTTGCCTTACAGGACAAATACATTTGAAACGTGAAAATTTCCCACGCTCATTTGAAGAGTCCAATTTATTTTTGTTTTTGATGGAAGAACACAAACAACCTAATGCATTCCTTCTGTACTGCCAAACATTGGCCCCTGGGTTGCATACTTATTCCCTATTCTTAGACCCTATTCTTTGTGCATCCAGATGTTGGTTACCTGCAGGTGTAGGATGAGGAGAAGAAGGAGCGGGTTGTACAGTATTGTCCTAAATGGGCCTGATCCCTCCCATCCTGACAGCACCTCTGCACAGCGCGAAGCTCAATCTCTGTGGAGCAAACACACAGCAGAGGCATTATGGATGAATAACCTGGCTGCACCCAAGTGCCATTGAGTGAATCAGATTGACAATTGAGTCACCAATTAACCTAAACCCTACAGCCTGTCTTTGGACTGTGGCAGGAGGACGCGTTGGTACCCAAAGAGAATCAAAGCAGACATGAGGAGAACATGCAGACTCCACACGGAAAGGCAGCAAGGCGGGTTAGAACCTCCAGGACCTTCTTGCGGTGAGGCGACAGCGCTAACCACCACAGCACCATGTCGCCCACAATGCAAAGATATCAAGTCATTTATAATGTAAAAAACAATTTAACAGTCTGTCTGCGTCTCCGGTAGTGCTCCGTCCCGTAGCTGACATATTAAGGCTATTTGCCCAGTTTATTATACAACTCTGTGCTCCAAGTAAAGCTGCCTGGAATGATGTGACACAGTCCTTCTTAAAAGAGTGTCATAGCCTAGGGCTAATAAAATCACAACTACCCCTTTCAAATACTCCTAGACAGGGCTGCTGCCCAAAGGAGAGAACTCCAGGTGGAAAGAACTACTGCACGAGTAGAAATGTCGGTGACAGCTTTTGGGGCTCCAGACAAAATCTGATGAATAACTGGTATTAAGAGACTGTAAGTACCACGTACAAAGACTTAAACCCCTTATAATTAGGTGGCACCAAATCATACTGTTCTGTAAATCACTCTGCAAGTACTGTGTGAAATGGAGGAGAATAACGGTTTTTCATCATCCAGTAGCCCTTCTGTCTCGATAAAACATAGTGAAGTTAATCGAGTCACCTGAGAACAAAAGAAAAACATGGTTTGTATACCTTACCATTTTCAGTTGGTTTGGTTTCTGCTTTTGTACTTTTTTCACAGCAGGCTCTGGCTGTGTGCAAACACGTTTCCAGCAGCAACAAACCCTGGAAGCTGCAGCTGGAACCTCGGCTCGCTGTTATCAGGCCGAGCGCACAGCAGTCACAGCACGTCTGAAAAGGAGATAGGGAGGATGAAACACAAGAGATGCAGCCAAAAAAAGAAGGAACGTTATAATAAAGAATGGACATTTGAAGATATTGCCATTAAAGAGAAGATAACCTTAGAGATTTGGATTTCCAAGGGTTCTCCTTGGAAGAAGGGCGTCTCACAGGCCTCTTGCCACTCGGCCATCTTGACGCCTTTGTCACAGAGTCCGTCTCTTACTGCTGCTGAGCAGCACTGCTCCTTGGTGATGCTGTAAATAAAGGGCAGGAACAAGAACGGATGGAGGAGATCATTCAAATCACACAAACTGAACTCCACAGTATCTCGTCCCCCCAGTCAAGGCTGGGTAACATGCCTTTACTGCTTGTCTGCATGCACACAATTTTCAGAATGAAGCGGTAAGTTCTAAGAAAACAACACTGATAAATTGCTAAAACATTACGTGCCAATCTTTCTGGCTCTCAGGGGAATTGCAAACGCTTGTTTTAGTCCAATGTGATCGTTGGTCCCTAGGTCGCATTCTGAGTCCCCCTCCTTTGTGAAATCAGGTGTTTCTTACTTGCAGATGTTAGGAGATGAGATGGGAGGGGTGGATGTACAGTGTTGTCCTGCAAGGGCCCGATCCCTTCCATCCCGACAGCACCTCTGTACAGTAGAAAACTCAATCTCTGAGGATAAAATACACAGAAGAGGAAAGGTGGATTAATAATTTAGCTGCCCCCACATGCTAGTGACTCAAAAGGATTGAATTCAAGTAGGGTCACATTCTAAGATAGGCGGACAGTATTTTGCGATATAACCAAGCAGTATCTTACAAATTCAACATTTCAATGCCAGAATTTAGCAGTGCGTCTTACCTTGTCCATTCAGAACTCTGCATAAAGACAACAAAAGTATTGTCCACCGTGACATCACGCTGACTTGCAGATGTTTCCTTCTCCGATCGTCTTTACGTCTGTTATTCTAAATTACCGAGATGATAATCAGCAAAATGTTTCTTCAAGTAGGAGAACTTCTCACTCAGAGCAGCAGAAGGACACGCAGGGCTCGACGAGTGGGGATGAGATAATAGTGCGGTGAGGGCGGACCTGTCCTTGGTACATCCCAAACATCTGAGGCTCAATGCCATGGGTCCGGGTTTCCCTGCACCACGCGAGGAGAGAGGAAACAAAGATATATGTTTGAAGAGAAAAAGGATGTTAGTCCGCTTCAACAACTGGAGATACTAAGGCTTAATATTGTGGTCATGCTGCACAAGGGCAAAGACACACACTAGAGAACACACAGTGTCGTTAAAGCAGGACGATTAGGTAAAAATCATGTCTCTAAATTATCTAGGAGTGATAACCGTACGGTCGTCTATTCTTGCCCTGAAAAACCACACCAAGGCTTTTTTTTTTATAAAACATTTTTGAGATTACGACCTTCAATTTACATCATTGAGGAACTTTCACTTTTATCTCATATCATCTGTTTTTGTTGCTCTGTCCTTACCAACTCGTTGGAATTTTTCACTTGGGGCCATCTAAGCGACAAGACACAACACGATCTCCAAAGGCTTGATGGGCCCTGAGTGAGTGGACGAGCCGCCCCAGTTAACTTAAACACCAAGAGCAGGGACTTGTGGCTCATTATTGCATAGGGACAGTTACAGGCCGCCAGTCAAATATGCTAAATCAAGCTTTCAACCACTTCAGAGCAGCGAAAGACACACCCAAAGTCAAAGTCAGAAGCCATAAGTTAAAACAAACTGCTCTTAGTTTTAACGTTAACTCCGTCTGCTAGTTTTGTTGTGTGATTATAAACTAACTTTACATTTTGTTTGACAGTATTGATTAATTTCCTCTCCCTTAAGATTGCAGTATATTACTTTTAGCTGAAAATACATGGCTTAACTGATTTATTTTTTATTTAAAATAACTGGAAAAGGTTTTTCTCTCAACCTGAAATATATCATGTGCCGGAGGTGGAGCATAGCTTTCCTAAATTAAATTAAATAAGATGATTTTTCGGTTTTTATGGATTTTCTTTGCAAAACACAGACAGGACGGGTACCAGGAATTCACAAACACGGGAAAGACATTCAGACTTGTCGGAAAGACATTCAGTGACGCGCCCAGGGACAATAGACACACATGGTTTAAATACACTGGGAAGGTGCAGGTGATTGGAGACAGGCGGAAACAATCAGGGACACGGCAGACAATCACGTCAATCACGTCTGCGTCAAAACAAATAATGAATAAATTAAAATCTCAGTATTGGTGTTATAGTAATGTATTTGAAAGAACAAATGTGACGGTCACTTCTGCTTCCTCCTCTTAATCCATGACAATTAACAAATACCAGAAAAATAACATACGCTCTATTGCCTTCTTTTAAAGGCAGGCATTGACCATTTCAACTTTAATCTTCTCGACAGGAAATAGTTTGCTAGTGAGAATATAACAGTAAACAGTTCTATAAAGGCACTCTGCATAAAAGGTTCATGAATAATAAGTAATCGCTTTGATATAAGTTGAAGACTTGATGTCATATAGATAATTCAATTTTCCCGCTGACTTGTATCCTCAAGCATCACAGAAGCGTTTTTGGTCTTTCTGGGAAAAACAATTTATTTTATGGTCTGTATGTAACCCCCATAGCTCTGAGATAAAAGGCTTTGAAAGAGTTTATTTGGCATATGGGCCGAGCACATCATGTATTAGTGAAGAACATTATTCAAACATATTCTTCGACATTTCCACAAAATAACAGCCAATAATTTCTGGAGACAAAAATTCTGTACAGACTGGATTTCATATGCGAGTGCAGCCGCAGCTCATTCACATAGGATCAATTCATTCAGCCAGACTTTGACACAGTTTTGAGGCAATATTTGCAGCAAAAGCACTGTATAGACCTTCGGGGAATTCCATGTAAAGCAACAATTTCTTTATCACAGGATTTACCTCAGCATGGTTGCCCCCCCTGTGTGACTGGCAGTGTTGCAGACATTCCTGGTAAAGTATTCTCTGGTTGAGGGGATTGTATGGTTGATGAGACACAATCACTGTTGACAGCAAGTCCATAGATGAAGGGTTTTATTATCCATTGAAGCACGTCAAATGTGCTCTCATTGTAGACGAAATTGATCAAATATTAAACAGTTACACAGGTCAGTAACTGTTTAGTCATGATGACAAAAAAGTCTGAATTCTGAACACTGGTACAGTGAATAAGGAGATGAGAGCCCTCGTTCTATTAATAATGTTAAATTCCTGCGATGTTGGTTGGTCCGTCCACCATCAACAAGCATCAAATGAACTGAATATAATTTGGTGAACAACTAATGTATCTCTCAATTGCTTTGCTCAGAACCAGAACTCAGAGATGAAGAAACGGATGATGACAATGTTGCGATAAGAAACAACCCCTGACTTGACATAATTCACAGCCACCTGGAACACAACGTCTTTGGGACCACGGAGAGATTTCACCTGACGGACCACACCTGAGGGATGAAAAACACACCTTTGTGGAGACGTATGAGCAAATGCAATATTGGTATATCCTATTCTTGGCTTTCCAAAAAAAAAAAAAAAAAATCACTGCCTAGTCTTTAAACTTACCAACAAACATGCCCCTGTAGGAACGCTTAATCACATCAAAAGAGGACTGGTCGTCTGCAGCCAGGATGTTAAAGAAAACATCTGTGCCACCGGGTAGATGAGCATAGTTAGCCGCTGCAGATGTTTGCAAGGAAGCAATTTCTGTGGAAAGAATTGGTTTAAAGTCTGTATTCATCTGATAGTGGTAAACCACAGTGCATTTGTCCTTCAAATAATCCCACTCGTACTTATATAATTGGACAATTGTGGGTTGAAACAACTAATTGAATCTTTTGTATCGTGGCAGATTGTGAAAAACTATTAAGGCCAAAAAAACTCAAGCAGTGAAAATTAATACTATGTAAATAACTGCATTCAAGCCTCATGGTGGATTTCCTACAAATCAGGAATTAAGAATTTAGTGAGCAATAAAGTGTCTTATTTTACTTACTATTTTCTACTTTATTCAATTTAATTTAATTCCAGAAACAGCAACCCAACTGAAACGTTGAATCAACCAAATTCACCAACGTCTGCTCAGGTTAACTTTCACTTTATTAGAATTACCAAATTAAAAAGTTCTGCCATATTAAGGAACATGGGACTCAGCCAAATCACATGATTCAGACCACTACAACATACATATCACTATAGTCAAACAGCCCATAATGTCTAATTGCATATGCTGGTGTACCAATCAGTTGCACACATACGAAGACCACGCTGCACGTCCACGGTGTCTTACCTTTTGGTGAACTGATGGCTCCGAAGGTTGGCAAGGAGACAGAGATGTAGCTTATTAAGTTGATGGGATAGTAATAGCAGGCGGCATCCTGAGGACGGCAGACCTTAAAACAATTCCAACTGGCCGATGTATCTTTTCTGAATATGAAAAGGATAAACAGGAGTTATGGTAAGTCTGTCGGATGTAAAGATGGAGAAAATGGGGTGGAAATGGAAATGTATTATATATTTTCTAAAGATAAGGTCAGGAACGGTTGTAGGCGGAGACAGGACTCAAGCGCAAAGTTTCAAACAAAAAGACTTTAATAGTCACAAGATCCAAAATCCAACTCAAAAAATGCCAAGGGGACAAAAAGCAGGCGGGGACCAGGAACAAGAGACCACAGGAGTCGCAAACCTGCAGACATTACATTCGACATTTAACAGTTAACCTCCAACAACAACGCGTCAAGTGACAGGAGACACACATGACTTAAATACACAGGGAAGGTGCAGGTGATTGGACACAGATGGAAACAATCACAACACGGCAGACAATCACAGGGGATGACAAGGCAGGAAGTGAAGTTACCCAAGGACACAAGAGGCAGAAATCCTTAAAATCCTAATTAGTCGTCTTAGCATTTAGAGGGGACGGGGGGTTGTTATAAGATACAGATTCAAGAGAATAACTGTCATAATTTATATTTATTTATTTTAATCAGCACAATGCCAGACACAAATATTGTTTATCCATCTCACCAACACGGCTACTGGTCCTTTGGTGTCATTTTCAGCAAATCAACTGATAACCACCCAATAGCAACCATGCAATAGCAAGTATTGCATCCTGCTCAGCTAAGGACAACCAACCCTTTAATCCCAACAACTCGTCATTAACAAGCAGGCATCAGCACTCACCCGTGCGCTGCTAGCTGGAAGTATTGAGGACATGCCATGGACAGACACCGAAATCCTCCCAGGATGTTGAAGCAGCTTCCATGCAAAGAACAGTTATGTGTCCCTAGTGCACATTCATCAATGTCTAAAAACACAGGGGAGATGTCATTCATCTACAATTCAGTTGATTTCATGTCAAGGGTACTAAAGGTTCCTCTCCTGACCTTGGCACGTGTGTTTATTTGGTGCCAGTCTGTAGCCTGTGGATGGGCAGGTACAGTGGAAACTGCCTGGGACGTTGGAGCAACTGTAGGAACACTGATGACCTCCGTTATGCCGAGCGCACTCATTGATATCTGAGAGCAGCAGACAGTGAAATGTAGTTAGAAATAGTCAGTGAAATGTTTAGGTAACATGTGATCACATCACACTCGTAGCACTGGAGGAGCCACAGACTTTTGCTCATTAATGTCAGCAATGGTTGGCTTCACACTCATTGACATCTGTCGAGACCTCAAAAGACCAAGCGCACAGTTTCTCCACAGTGTCTGCCGTCATGGACCCCTCTGTGTTCTCACATTTGTGGACGCAAAAGTGTTCATGGCAATTAATCGTGATGAGTTTGTACTGCACCTTCACACCGTGTGGTAATAGTGTTAAACATGAAGCCAATTTTGCATTCACAGCGGTACGTTCCCACCAGGTTGACACAGATGTTGCCGCCACATACATCTCCTGTACGACACTCGTCCACATCTGTAAACGCGAAAGGGGGTAAGACATAAGTAAGATGTCTAAACAAATGTATTGATGCAGCAAATACAGTAGAAGACTTTAAACACAGGACATGATTCATTGCGACGGTATGTACCTTCACAAGACGTGCCGTCCGGATTTGGATGATAGCCTTGTCGACAGGATATTGTTTTCTTTAGACAAGTGTAGGAGCCCACTGTGTTGACACAAGTCTGTCCAGGCAGGCACGTACTGGTACGGGCCACACACTCATTCAAATCTAATGAGGAAACACATTAAGCAAAACCAGCTTAATTTACCCGGGGATTGTTTTTACATGTGTGACACTACGCTTACCAATACACCTGAGCAGGCTATTTTTAATTACACACAGAAGTGGTGTATAAACACGGCCTCCTAGTGACACCTCCGGCATTTTGGGTAGTTTTTCATGAGGTTCCATCCTTTATTGTATTTGTCTTATGTTTCATCTCACACACAGTGTCTGATGACATCAGGACCGCAGAGCGCCTTCACATCTTCCGCCATAAACTAAAGACACACCTCTTCAGACTCTACCTCGACTAAAAGACGAACAAATTGTAGCACTTAAATTATACTTATAACGCCACTCATCTATAGCAAATTATAAATTGGCTTATTTGATGAAATTGCACTTTCTTGTTTCTTGTTCTTCTGAGTTTGTATGCCCTGATTGTAAGTCGCTTTGGATAAAAGCATCAGCTAAATGACATGTAATGTAATGTGATGAATGTTTGTTCTTGTTTAGAGGTTAGGTTTGTAGTTGTATACTAATTGTTGTCATTTAAAGTGGAATTCACCTGATTATCATTAAAAAATGATGGAATAACATTCCATCCTGAACGGAGCTATGAATGAGGAATTTCACGACAATCCATCTGATAGTTATCAGATATTTTACTCTGGTCTGACCAACAGTCTGCCATGCTAATGCTATTACAACTACACTTTTATTTACATAACTCACCTTGACAACTCACTCCATCGCCTTGCAGTTCATAACCAGCAAAGCACGCACACGTAGCGTCACCTTCACACAACTGGGAGCAGTTTAAGTCTGAAAGGAGCAGAGACACACAGTAAGAAGGAGACATCAATGTGTACAGCGTGAGTCCTACATCACAGGAATCATGTCACTGGCTGGTGTCTAAACCTCCTAAAGCTCTTCTTATAACAATGGAGATCACATTATGAAACGAAGGTGACAAACCTCTACAGGTGTCCAAACCCTCCCAAGGGCTTTCTGTCACTAGTGCTGTGGAGGAGAAAAGTCTTGTTGAAATGAAAGCATAGGGTAAAACACCTCATCACACATTGGAACTCCAAAAAGCTCTTTGCCCTTTCCATTGACATACGCTTATTGCTTTGGCCTTCAATTCACATCAGCAAGAGACTTTTGCTTTAAACCCCTTACTGTGTGCAAGTGGCAAAGATTGCTGATTATTTTGAGCGTCACAGACAGACAGAAGTCATTCTGTCTACATAAGACATAGTGAAGCTAATCAAGACACCAAAGACTGAAAGCACAACATTGTTTCCATATCTTACCGTTTGTTGTCGGTTTGATTACTGTTGTGTTTTTTTCACAGCAGGCTTTAGCTGAGTCCAAACACTGTCTCCCAGGTAAGAAACCCTGGAAATCACAGCTGGAATTCTGGCTCGCTGTCATCAGGCCGAGCAAACAGCAGTCACAGCACATCTGAACAGGAGACAGGGAGGGTGAGACAGCGGAAGATACGCAGCTGAAGATGAAGGAATCTCATCTCTAAAGTGATAATGTTGATTTATCAGTTTGCGCACAAGAAAGAAGCGGACATGTGAAGGTTGAAGATATTGACATTCGGGAAGAGATAACCTTAGACACTTGGGTTTCCCAGGGCTCTCCTTGGAACAAGAGTCTCTGGCAGGTCCCTTCCTTCTTGGCCATCTTCATGCCGTTATTGCAGAACCATTCTGATACTGCTGCTGAACAGCACTGCCCCTTGGAGATACTGTAAGTTAACAGCAGACTCTTAGTTTATCAAAAGACAAACTGTATCCTGCTACTTTACAGGACACACATATTTGACAGACAAAAATTTCATGTGCTCATTTGAAGAGTTCAATTTGTTTTAGTTTTTAATGGATGAACATGGCATTCCCTCTGTACTGCCCAATCTTCGGTCCCTGGGTGGCATTCTAAGACCCTCTTATTTGTTTAGCCAGGTGTTGGTTACCTGCAACTGTAGGATGAGGAGAAGAAGAAGAGGGATGTACAGTCTTGTCCTAAAAGGGCCCGATCCCTTCCACGCTGACAGCACCTCTGTACATTATGAAGCTCAATCACTGAGGAGTAATTACAAAGCAGAGGCATGATGGTTAAACAGCACGAGTGCCCCCAAGTTCAAGTGATAAAAATGTGCGTTACCCCTTTTGAATAAGGTACTCTTAGACAGGACTGGTCACTAAAGTAGAGAATTCCAGGTGTAAGAGAAAATGACTGCACGTAAAAAAAGCGTTTGGGGCTCCAGAGGGATCAACTGGATCCCTGATGAATCACCTCAGATGATGTCACACAAGTTTTAATCTCTTGGAAATTCATATTTTAAATGTTTTTAATTCTGGGGATGCAACGTATCACAGTGTCCAACCGATCTCTTACCATTTTCATTTGGTCCGATTTCTACCGTTGTAGTTTTTTCACAGCAGGCTCTGGCTGTGTGCAAACACCTTTCCATCAACAACAAACCCTGGAAGTTGCAGCCGGAACCTCCGATCGCCGTCATCCGGCCGAGCATACAGCAGTCACAGCACGTCTGAACAGAAGATAGGGATGGTGAAACAAGTACGAGAGACAGTCAAAAAAGAACAAATCTTCTCTAATGCGACATTGTCAGAAACACTAGTTGATTAGTTATATTGTTTGTAAATATAGGAATTAATGGATATTTGTAGCTTGAAGATATTTCCATTAAAGAGAAGATAACCTTAGAGATTTGGATTTCCCAGGGTTCTCCTTGGAAGAAGGGCGTCTCACAGGCCTCTTGCCACTTGGCCATCATGACGCCTTTGTCACAGAGTCCGTCTCTTACTGCTGCTGAGCAGCACTGCTCCTTGGTGATGCTGTAAATAAAGGGCAGACATTGAGCTCAATCAGGAGAGAAACTGCAGACTTTGTAGGTGGCCGTAATTTAAAATAACAATGGTAATGTATTGTAACTTCTCATTATTTTTATGTAATAAGGATGTTATATTACAATCTCAAAGCTCTCATCAAGCTCAAAAACTCCTTCTACTATTCCTAAATTTTCCCTCCACAGGCCTCCATTTGGACGAGAGGTGGACACTAAAGAAAAGATTATGCATATTACATAATCAGGACCACCCTTTCCACTACATACTGAAAGAACAGACAACACACTCATCCTGCTCCGCTGGAACAAGGACGGATGAAGGAGATCATTCAAAGTTTTATCTGAGTACACAGCTTCAGACAAACTCAACTGCATATTTTCTTGTCTCCCGAGTGAAGGCTAGGTAACTGCCATTTACTGTTTGTCTGCATGCAAACAATATTCAGAGTGAAGCAGGAAGAAATCCAAGAAAACAACGATTCACTGATGAATTGCCAATACATAATGTGTTAATCCTCTCCTTTGGCTTACATGACTTATTACAGTTACAAACACGCATTTCACGTATATTAGTCCAATATAATTTAGGTTGTCCACTCAGGGTGACAAACACATTTTTGACAACTATTCACGCATTCCCACTGTGCCCAGTCTTTGGTCCCTGGGTCGCATTCTGAGTCCCAGTCCTTTGTAAAATCAGGTGTTTCTTACTTGCAGATGTTGGGAGATGAGATGGGAGGGGTGGATGTACAGTGTTCTCCTGCAAGGGCCCGATCCCTTCCATCCTGACAGCATCTCTGTACAGTAGAAAGCTCAATCTCTGAGGATTAAATACACAGAAGAGGAAAGATGGATAAATAGTTTCCCCCAACCCCAAGTGCTAGTGAATGAATGAGTTTTAGTTAAATTGGGCTCACACTCTCAGTTAGACAGATAGTGTTGGACAACGTTACCAAGCAGTATCTTACATAAGGATACAATATGCCCCCAACTTGGATACTGTATTAAAGGTGTTCAAATTGAATCAAACCTTAAATAAAGACTCAAAATTGGCATTTCAATGCCAGAATTTAGCAGTGTGTCTTACCTTGTGCATTCAGAACTCTGCATAAGGAAAGCAAAAGTATTGTCCACCGTGCCATCATACTAACTTGCAGATGTTTCCTTCTCCAATCGTCTAAACGTCTGTTATTCTAAATTACAGAGATGATAAGCAGCTGAACATCAGTAGTGGCGCTATGTTTGTCTCCTGTGTGAAAATGTCTCTTCAAGGAGGATAACTTCTAAGTCAGAGAAGCAGGAAAAGACTCAGGCCTCGACGAGTGGGGATGAGATATCCGTGCGGTGAGGGCGGACCTGTCCTTGGTACATCCCAAATATCTAAGGCCCAATCCCATGCGTCCAGCTTTCCCTGCACCACGCGAGGAGAGAGGAAACAAAGATATATTTTTTAAGAGAAATGAGACATCTGTCAGTCTGCTTCAACAGCTGGAAAGACTAAGGCTAAATTGTATATGTAAAAGTGGTCAAGCATGTCTCTAGATTATCTAAGTGTCACGGCACTGCTGTGACTCTGGTCTTCTTTTTGTGCTGTTTATTTGTTGAAACCTTCCAGTGTCCTATTTTCTCTGAGGCCACTCCAGAGTCTAAATCGTAGCCCAGCAACCAGCACTTAGGCTGCTTTACCTCCGTCCTCTGCTCTACCAGTCACCAGCACCTTCCCCTGCTGGCTTGCCTTCCAGCTACTGTCTGACTCCCGTCCCACAAATACCCTTTTCCAATTAAGCCCATTTCTTTACCTACTGTGCAGACTCAGCGTAACACTAAGAGGGCTACCAGTGATGTCTCAAGAATTCTTGACCTGAAAAAAAACACCAAGGCTATTTTTTGATAAAACATTTGATAGATTACGACCTCCCATTTACATCAGCAAGACACTTTCGCTTTTATCTCATATCAACTGTTTTTGCTGCTCTGCCCTAACCAACGTGTTCTGATTTTTCACGAAAGACAAAATCTACAAGACACTTCACAATCTCCAAAAGCTTGATGGGCCCTGACTGAGTGGACAAGCCACCCCAGTTAACTTAAACACCAAGGGCAGGGACTTATTAGCCTTGAATGGCATAATTGCATAGTGACAGTTACAGGGAGCCCCAGTCACTTTCCTCCGTTGACTCGATTAACTCATTTGCAAATAATTAGCATTTTACAGAATGGGCCCCTCAACCAGGAGGAGGGGGGGGGGGGGGGGGGGCTGCTCCTGTGCCCTGGGTTGTACAAGTGGTTTCACATTAAAAAGTGGATGATTTATTCCAAAAAAGTTGTGCGTGACCCTGAACAGACTACCTTCCCCGCACAAAGGACGGAAAGCTTTCCTCAATGCTATCTACAACTACTCTGATCCGGGCCCTAATTTGAGACTGATTAGCCACTAGTGACGCATTATTGCATAGGGACAGTTACAGGGCATCGTGATCAGCTTCCTCCCTTGATTCTCTGTCCAACATGAACATAACCAATTGGTGGCAATGTTCACCTTCCTGATCCAGACTCAGATCCAAAACCAGGTCCATAATCAGACGTTTTCCATTTGTTTGCTCCAAAACAACAACTTAAAACACCCTGAACTTCTCCGTACATGGGACCAGCCTTCTACAGCCTTGACCTCGCCTACAGGGTCTCCAAAACCACAGCTGCTCAAAACACCAGTACTGCGAGCACTCCATTGTGCCCATAAACCCATTACATTTCAAGAAAGACTTCTGAACAAGCCTATTAAAAGTGAAAAGTTGTTGGGCTTGGACCTCCATCCAGTTGTAGGATAGACCAGGGGGCGGGATGCCGAGATGAGAGGAGGCATATCCCCCCACGGTCCAAACACTGGTGGTGGTGGCGAATCAGTTGCTCCAATTCTCTGATATACCGGGTTTTCCTGCTGATTGGAGGTGTCAAGGCTGGTGGAGGGTTGACTTGACTGAATTTACGCCTAAGCATCATTTCGAAAGAGTTCCTTGGTTTACTCCTCTAAGGGTCAGAAACGAGCCTGTTTGGTCATCCCAGCCAAACCAGGTTGGTGCTAGAAAACCCAAATTCATATTAGGCACACAAGCACAAACGTAACCTAACAACACCCCCTTTTCATTGGTTTTCTTTTCCTTTTTTAATTGCTGACGTAATCACCATATCACAGTTAGGAATTGTGTATTAATAATTCTAAAGACAACAATAAGCTATTGTTTTTATAAAGTGTTTCAAATTTTCAGTAGCTAAGCTTTGTTAAAGTAATCTGCCCAGATGTGGCCTCGATGTAGTTCCGGAAAATAGCCTCGGTGAACTGTGAACCATATGAGCTCTAAGACCTTTTTGTTCAACTCTTTGATTCATGAAATGTTTTAACGAAAATATCAGAATAATTAGATATGCCTTCCTGTGTTCATGACAACTTGAACATTAATTTACTCAAATGGAATGTTAGCATGGGTCAAATATAAAACCAGTACACATTTCTATAAAGGAAACTTGTATAATGGGTTTATAAATAATAACTAATAGCTTTGATATAAGATGACAACTTGATGGCATATACAATGGATAAGAAAAGTATTCAGACCCTTTTAAAATTTTCACTCTTTCATTGCAGCCATTATTTCTCATTGATGTACACTCAGCACCCCATCTTGACACTCATATTTAACTCACATGCTGTCCATTTCTTCTGATCCTCCTTGAAATGGTACTCGTTCATTGGAGTCCTGCTGTGTTTAATCAAACTGATTAGACTTGGACAGGCACACACCTGTCTATATAACTCCTTACAGTTCACAGTGCATGTCAGAGCAACTGAGAATCATCAGGTCGAAGAAACTGTCCAAGGAGCACAGCAACAGAATTGTGGCAAGGCACAGATCTGGCCACGGTTACAAAATCATTTCTGCAGCGCTCAAGGTTCCTAAGAGCACAGGGGCCTCCATAATCTTTATATGGAAGAGGTTTGGGACGACCAGAACTCGACCTGGCCGTCCAGCCAAACTGAGCAATCGTGGGAGAAGATCCATGGAAAGGTAAAGAAGAACCCAAAGGTCACTGTGGCTGAGCTCCATAGATGTAGGGAGATGGGAGAAAGTTCCACAAAGTAAACTATCACTGCAGCCCTCTAGTAGTCGGGGCTTTATGGCAGAGTGGCCCAACGGAAGCCTCTCCTCAGTGCAAAACATATGATATCCCGCATAGTTTGCCAAGACCAAGACTAGGATTCAACTTTTTGGCATTCATTCTAAGCGGTATGTGTGGAGAAAACCAACCACTGCTCATCACCTGCCCAATACAATCCCAACAGTGAAACATGAGGGTGTTTTTCAGCTGCAGTGACACAACGACTGGTTGCAATTAAAGGAAAGATGAATGCAGCAAAGTACAGAGATATCGTGGAAAAATTTTTGCATGTCTGGAGAGACCTGAAAATGACCAACATTCACCATCCAACCTGACGGAACTGGAGAGGATCAACAAGGAAGAAATGCAGAGGATGCCCAAATCCAGGTGTGTATAACTTGTTTCATCATTGATTTCTGTACAGGTCAAAAGGGTGCTTCTACTCAATACTGAGCAAAGGGTCTGAATACTTATGACCATGTGATATTTCAGGTTTTCTTTATAAATTTCTAAATATGTTTTTTTCTGTCAAGATTGGGTGTTGAGTCTATATTAACGAGAAAAAAAAATCAGGCTATTGATTTTGATAATTTGATACGTTTTTGATAATCATGTTGATTAAAACCAACTGACCTTGATAAACAGCACAAAGTATTATTCACATATATTACCATAGTCTGATGGTACACAATCAATGTTGATAGAAAGTCCATAGATTAAGTCCTTTATTATCCATTGAAGCATGTTACATGTGGTCTTTCCATGTAGATGAAATTGATCAAATATTAAAGTTACACAGATCAGCCAGGGGTCTACCATAATGACAACGAAGTGTGAATTAAAGTTAAATTCTTCCAGTGGTTAATAAAAGCCCCCGATACTTCTATAACTACAAATGTCGGTCCACTGTCAACAACCATCCAATGTACTCTCAATGATTTGGTATATAACTGATGTAGTATTTCTCAATTGCTTTGCTCAGGACAAGGACTCCGAGATGAAGACATGAATGACGGCAATGCTGCGATAGGAAACAGTCCCTTGACATAATCCATAGCCACCTGCAACACGAGGTCCCTGGGACCACGGATAGGTTTCACCTGATGGACCACACCTGAAGGATGACAAACACAGAAAATACATTTGAGGAGACGTACAAGTAAATGCAATATCAGTATATGCTTTTCAACAAAGGCTTTCATCAAAGATTGACTCCTGAGTGATAGCCAACTCTTTAAACTTACCAACAAACATGCCCCCGTGGGAACGCTTTATCACATCAAAAGAGGACTGGTCATCTGCAACCAGCATTTTGAAGGAAACATCGGTTGCACCGTATACATGAGGATAGCTAGCCGCTACATTTGACTGCAAGAAAAGGATTTCTGTTGGTAGAATTGGTTGGAAGTTTGTATTAGTCTGATAGTAGTGAACCACAGAGTGCATTCTTCAAATAACCATGGACTTATATTCATGATTCATTTGAACGGTCGTTCTGTGAGATGTAACTAAATGTAAAAGAAAAATCTGATTGGAATAAATACTCAAAAATGAATATATTATATGTAAATAGTTTGTTACATCAAATTACATGTTATTCCGCAACGCATAGACACATGCTAAGACCTGTACGTCCACCTTGACTTACCTTTTGGTTCACTGATTGCTTGGAAGGTTGCCGGGGAGAGGGAGATGTAGCGGATTAAGTCAATGGTATAGTCACGGCAGCGGACGTCCTGAGGATGACAGGCCTTGTAACAGTTCCAACTGGCTGAAGTATATTTTCTGGACATGAAAAGGATATACAGCAGGTGAAAATGGAAAAAAATGGTCATGTGCCAAGGACCATTGACCTCCATGATTTTCCCAAAAATGTATATCAATTAGTAACTTCAACTTCTTGCTTTGATAAACAATAATTCAATTTAAAGTCCATTTTTAGTTATTTTGAGGAATGCGTCTATGATTTAGATTTTAAGTGAGATGAAAAGAGCAATACCTTTTAATGCCGGATTGAAGCTGAGGAGAACTTAGCAATACAAATAAATTGATTTCTCTATATTCAAATTAACAATAACAAACTACTGAACCACCATTCTAACTACGGGTGAATCCATATTTTTTCCACTCAACAAGAATAACCTTTTTGCCCTTCAATAATTGTGCAAAGGAGGTAAATAGAGAGCTGGAGCTTGTTAGGGCTCGACCAGCCAGAGAGTCGCACACCTGACGCCGCTCTGCTCATCGCCACAGCTGCAGCTCGTCAGCTCATCCCACAGGGAGGTTAAGAAGCAGATCTGCCAGTGGCTCGCTGTGAGTTCGTGCTCTGTGTTTCCCCAGAGAGGGTTGATTGTTCTTCCCCTGTGCTCCTCTTGGAAACCCTTCCGGAATTCCCTACGCAGAGTTTTTGTTTTCCCTGTGAGTATCGTGTGAGTTTTCATTTTTTGATTGGACTAAGAGCGCCCACGGACTAGAGAAGTTTTTGGAGTTGCCTTTTTTTTTGTTTTTTTTTCCCCCATGCCAATTAAGGAGGCAGTTCTTGTTTTTGGTTTGTTTCTCGTATTTGGTTATTTTGTGAAATAAACTACGCCGTTTTCCGGCTAAACCTAAGCTGTGTCTGGTGTCGTGCACTTGGGGTCAGAGACAATCCATAACAGAGCTCTGACTTAATATCAATGAAAATAAAAACTATATTTACTTATCAACATATTTACTATATTACTTAAAACACTCAAAAGTAATCTCTTAATATCCAATATCATGTCTTCTAAAAGGGAAATGTTCTTGGAGACTGATGGTGTGTGACACACAGAGCAACTGTGGCCAGCTACAGATGTGCTGTCCTGTAGGGAAAAAGCCTCTTCCACAAATTCAGTAAGAAGTCTTACGACTAAGATTATATCAATTGGAAGGTCCCATCCAGAAAATATCAGCACGGACGGGAATCTTGGTTAAAAAGAGAACGTTGTAGAAGAAATAAAGGATCCCACGTGACCTTACTAACTCACCAACGGCTGAGTGAGAAAAACTAACTGTAAACTGCGGCAGGAAATATGTGCAAAATAAGGACACAGTCTAAATACTAAACGACAGAGGAGAAAGATGCATCATTCGCAGCTAGAGAGAATCAACCCTTTAATCCCAACAGCTCTTTATTAACAAGCAGGCATCAGCACTCACCCGTGCCCTGCTAGCTGGAAATATTGAGGACATGCCAAGGACAGACACCGGAATCCTCCCAGGATGTTGAAGCAGCTTCCATGGAAAGAACAGGTATGTGTCCCTAGTGCACATTTATCAATGTCTAAAAACACAGGGGAGATGTCATTCATCTACAATTCAGTTGATTTCATGTCAAGGGTACTAAAAGTTCCTCTCCTGACCTTGGCACGTGCGTTCATTTGGTCCCAGTGTGTAGCCTCTGGGTGGGCAGGTACAGTGGAAACTGCCTGGGACGTTGGAGCAACTGTAGGAACACTGATGACCTCCGTTATGCCGAGCGCACTCATCGATATCTGGGAACAGAAGACAGGGAAATGTAGTTAGAAATAACTAATAAATAGAAATAACTATTGTTTTTAGATAACATGTGATCATAGTCGCGTTAGTAGCACTGGAGGAGCCAAAATGAATGCACAAGATATTGTACACGATAATAAAATCAGTGTTACCTTGGCAAATGTTGTTGCTGTTCACTTCAAACCCAGTGGCACATTCTGTCTGACAGATGTAGGAACCCAGTGTGTTAATACAAATTTGGTCAGAATTGCAGATGTGATCCCCAGACAGGCACTCGTCAACATCTGAGAAGAGAAACATCCGATCAAAATTCAGAAAATGCTAAATGCTAAATATCAGGATATAATAGCTTTGCCTTCCTATAACCATGCTGCCGTACTAACTAGTGTATTAGATATAAATTTAGGATTCCCCAATAAATGTCAGAGGCAGTATGCCTAAAATAGCAGAACTTTAGACACAATAAATGTTTTGGATGCATAAAAACACTTGCCAACTAAACAAAACATAGTTTAGTTGGCAAAGATTCCATTACGTAGTAAACCAAAAATATCTTAATGCATCCAATCACAGTCTGCAGTGTGTCAGAGGCTTTCAAGGTCAAAGTTCAAACTGCCTCCAAGAGTAGCCGCTGTATGAACTACAACTACATTTCTAGCTCCTAACCACCAAATTAAGAAGGCAAACCTCAACAGTTGTCATGAGACTCAGTGGTGCTGCTGACCTGATGGCTTTCTTTCACTTGTGGTATGAAAGGAAATGCCTCATTCAAATTAAATCCATTGAAGAACAAGCATAGGGCGAAACACTTCAGCACCTCATCAAACACTAGAACTCCAAGGGAAGGCCAAATATGTTCTTATTGATTTGCCCTTCAATTCACATCAGCAAGTCACTTTTGCTTTGAAACTCTTACTGTGTGCAAATGGCAAAAATTGCTGATTGTTTTGAGCGTCACAGACTGAAGTCACGACAAGTGACTAGAAGAGTCTAGATACGACAGAGTGGAGTAAATGAAGATGCTTAAGACTGATAACCTTAGACAGTACGCCTTGCGGAGGGTCTCCTGGGAATGAAAGTTCATCTCAGACCCCGTGCTCCTTGGCCTTCTCCATGCCATCCTCACAGAATTGGTCTATTTCAGTTGCTAAGCAGCACTTCTCCTTGGTGAAACTGTAAATGAATGGCAGACATAGACAAAAATAAACTGATAACCCTCTTACAAAGAAAAAGTCACGGACCTCCATGTGTTAACCAAGTGCTCCTCAGCTTTATCAATCAAGCCTACGTGTTCTCAAAGTCAAACAAAGACATTTTGTATTAAAAATGCTTTAACGTTGTTCCTGGGTTGTGGATGAAACTAGCTCTAGCTGTACACAACCTGAATGGCTTCTTCCAAGTGCACATTATCTCGTTCCTCCAGTTACGGTCAGGTATCATGTCTGTACTGTTTGTCTGCATGCACTCAATGTTCAGAGTAAAGCGATGGAAGTAAAAATATATAGTGATGAATCGCATATTGTACGGCAATCCTCTTCTTTAGCTCATAGGAAGACACTCTTCCCTCAGAAAAAAATGAAACATATTTTGAACCCCACAGAAGGTTTTGGATACACAAAAATGTATTCATTCCCTCTGTAGTGCCCCGTCCTTGGTCCCTGTGTTGCATTGTGAGACCCCGTCCTTAAAGAAATCAGGTCTTACCCGCATTGATCGGAAGAAGAGATGGGATGGTCGCGTGTACAGTTTTGTCCGAAAAGGGCCAACAACCTCCCAGCCTTACAGCAATTCTTTAAAACGTAATGATTCATCTCTGAGGGTTACATACACAGCAGAGTTATGATGGATAAATAACATGCGTGGCCTCAAGTGCTATCTGACACTCTCAGATAGACAGACAGTAGGATACAACATGGGCCCAAACATGGATACTGTGTTAAAGGTGTTCAACAGGTGTTAGCAGTGCGTCTTACCTCGTCCATTCACAACGCTGTAAACAAATAAAAGTATTATCCACCGCGCCATCATACACGTCTGTTATTCTAAATTAACGAGATGATGAGAAGCTGGACGTCAGTAGTGGACGTTCAAGGAGGAGAGCTTCTCAGTCAGGGCAGCAGGAGGAGACTCAGGCCTTAACTTGTGGGGATGAGATATTAGTGAGGTGAGGGCGGACCTGTCGGTGGCACATCCCAAATCTCTGACATGCGTCCACGTTTCCCTCCACCCAGCGAGGAAACAAGAAAATATGTTTGTAGAGAAGTGATGCGTCCTTTCCTCAGTCACGGCTCGTGAGGCTGTGTCAGTTTGACAACAACGGGCCGGTAATCACATCAGGATCATCTGTCAGTTTCCTTCAACAGCTGGGAGGACTTGTGTCTGCACACGTGATAAATGTACTTGTACTGACAAAGACACAGCTGTGGTCACTGGCAGAGTACAGGTTTTTCTCTGTGGTTTGTAACCTGTTAACCAACTGAATTGTGTATTTATTCACAGTTCTGTATCCTGTCAAAATGACTGTCTTATTTATTAAATACTTACGACCTTGAATGTACCCTCTGTTAAACCACCAAGGTTCTTCAATTATTTAATGCTATTAATTGGATTATTTTGATGCTACAATTCTCCAAGAAAAGTTCTTAAAACAAGAGAAAGATTTATTTGATTTTAGAAAGAGGTTTGGTTTTTATTTGCAGTAAACCTAACCCCAAATTATATTAAGTAACTTATGAAGTTAAAAAGCCTGAAGGAAGGTTTCTTTGACATAACAAATATCATTCTACGTCTATGTGAGGATTTATTTTTTCCTTCTGTTAGTCAGCTCGTGACCCTTTAGTGTCATTGTACCACCCTTTGATAGTCAGACCACTGTTTGAGAACGTCAGCTTCTTTCATGTCTCTGAATTATCTAAGAGTGCTATCAGCAAACATTAACTATTAACTATCATCTTGATAAAAACCAACGAGGCTACTTTATGACAAGACATTGTTCCGATTAGGCCTTCAATTCACATCAGAAAGGCCCTTTTCTTTGAACTCATATCAACTGATTTTGCTGCCCTGTCCTTGCCGACATGTTTGATTTGATGACCAGCTAAGCGCCGGATGCTACAAGATTAAACACGAGGTGTCCCTGATTTAACAATTTACAAAGTGTACAGAAGAGTAAAAGTACAGATTAGTCCATTGAATCCCTGTTACCCAGATCTGCTCCACAGCTGCCGCATCAAGGCCGCTTGTCCACATTGTTTCAAGCCCATTTAACTTCTGCCTCCCGAGGACGCCCAGAATAAAACCGTCTCAGCATTTGTCCACAGGGAAACAAACCTTTACTGTTGGTACACAAAGAGTCTGATCAACTGTTATGTTTTCCCAAAGTACACGTTATTGACATGAAACACTGTTGGCTATAGGACATGTTTCGGCCATTTTCTCTAAAACTAAAATTGCAGTAATGTTACCTTTACAAGTTTTGTTGTCTTTGAGTTCAAACCTGGTATTACAACTGATTTGTTTGTGACAGCAGAAGGACCAAATGATAATACTTGGCCTAAGATGCAGCTGTGACTGCCAGTCACAGGAGACAAATATCCAATCAAAAATAAGAAAAGCAGTCTGTACAATAAACTATTTTCAGTGGATAGGATGTAGCAGAAGATCCTGGAAGTTTTAAGATACTGCGTAGACATCCTATTTATTAGGATATAATAACTGCCTTTCAATAACCGTGCACACATGTTCTCCGCACTTACTGATAAAGACACAGCTGTGATCACTGACAGATTACAGGGCTTTTCTCTGTAGCCTGTTACTTGTTTAAATGGTTATGTATGTGTATCATTTATTAATGAATTGCATTTTTGGGAATATCCTGATTCTCAAGTAATTATAAAATAACCCAGAATATTATCATGGTTTCTCTTGTGCACTGTAATTAATTTATTAGGCTCAATATTTCAGCGGAAATTGAAATGACATAAGCATCTCAAAAAAGAGCGACAGGAAATAAATAAGAGACTTGCATTGTACCCTGTGTTTAACCTCAAGCTCGATAATTGGATTTATTTGGTAAAAACTCATATTGACCAGTAGGTTAACATAAAGGGCGGCGCGGTGGTGATCCCCGTCGTTCCCGGGTTTCACATCACCGAGCCGCCTCTCTGTGTGGAGTGAATAAAGTTGTGATAAAAGTAATAATGAAAATAAGTATCACCAAAACGGACCACAGGTTGAGAAACTCATCTCATTTTAGTGTGCAGCAGCTTATATCATCTCAAAGGAAAGAAAAATTAAAGAAAAAAGACAGTGGGAGCAAAGAACAAGCACACTTGTATTCAACCCTGTTTATGACAAATGTTGTCAATGCAGGTAATACCATTGTTTGCAGAGGAAATTTAAAACCTCCTGCGTATCCTTAATAAATAATAAAGCGTTGGACAGATTTATTGATACTAAAGTTGAAGTGTTGGCTTGATGCTGTGTGGGTTCTAGAAAGACAATTACACAATTTGGGGAACGCACACGGCGGTCAGAGTGTGATGTCAGAGTGTGACGATTAGGTGATAATCCTGTCTCTGAATTGTCAAAGAGTACAAAACAATAATGTCTTAAGAATTCTTGTCCTGATAAAAACCTACAAGGCTGCTTCATGATAAAAGATTACGCATTTACAAATAGCCAGAAACTTTAGCTTTTAACTCACATCAAGTGTTTTTGCTGCTCTGACCTTACCAAAGAGTTGGGATTGTGCCTTAAAGCTTAGTGACAGAAACGGTTTGACTGCACTCATTAACATCTGAGGAGGGAGAATTTTTAGGATTCTGCATTTGACATGCTATGTATTAGGGTATAGTATACAGTATGTACCTTCCAATAAGTATTTTGCCCTAATAAATGTGTGTAATAAAGAGGTGCCAATAAATGTGACATCTAAAAAACGTGACCCATGATATTGGTTGCTTGGTTTGAAGAAATTGTTTAGTTGGTAAAGATTATGTTCCACACTATACAAGAAATACCACAAAATCCCAACGCCTCCAATCACATTTTGCAGTGCAAAGAGCTTAACATTTTAAAGTGCCATGTGGAAGTAGAATGACCTAAGTAGTATCAGTATGTACTGAACTCTAAAGAAAAACAATGTCATTTGGAACGCACCTTAAATCTTTTGGCTTACTAAATCGTATTGTAGTTGGGTACAAGAAGAAGCAGTTAATCTATTTCTGGCGTACAGCTCTTGCTAATGTTTGCATGCGAACATGCTCAGTTGTAAGACCAGCAAGCTCACGTTTAGCAGCCATCTTCAACATGTGAGTTTAGCATGCGGACATTAACTGGGAACTCCAGTAGTTGTGTGAAGTATTGAACCAATTTACTTCCTAACCTGCTAACCCCTTCCATATTGCAGGAGGCTAAGCATGTAGAATTGCACAACCCTGCTGATAGTTGTTTAGAGCCATACTACTCCAAAGGGCTTCTTTAAGAAGTTTGCAATTTCAGCAACACTTTTGTTTGAATTACTCACTTTCACTGCATTGTTTTGCAGTTTATAACCACACTAAATGTACCATTCCCATCACTCGACTGAGAGCAGGTCTGAATACTGCTCAATTGAGAAAGTGAGTCAGAATTTCATTCTGGGAGACGTGAAAATATCTGCCATGAAAAGGGTTTATTACCCAATACAAATATAACTTATGCATGAATGTGCACCACCAATAGACAAAAGAGGGCTTTGATACCTCACATGGTGTCACATGGATGCATATGTGACCTGTATGAAGAATTTCTGAATAAATACTGATAGTTTTAATGTTGATTGAGGAACGTATGTGATATACTGTATATTAGTTAACAACCCGTTTGGCCTCATGCACAGACTGTTGTCCACCATGCCTGAGAAAGGTGTTACATAGGATTATTTTGGCAAATGGGCAGCACCCATCACATGTCTTAGTTTGTGCATATTCTTACAGCCAATTATTTCCCAGATGGAAGTTCCGCACTCACATATGAAATCAATACACAAAAAGCAATGACGCAAGGTTAGAGGATCAATTCATTGAGACATTCAAGTTTTGGCACAATGGTTGCAGCAAAGAAACTAAAACAAATTAACTAACAATTCATAATCAAAATACTAAATAAAACAAGGTAACCATAAATACAAAATATATTTGTGTGGCAAGCGTGAGGTGGGGTAGGAACTACCCCAATAATCTATGTTTTTAACTAGGGGAAAAAGAAAGAAACTAAAGGAAACCAGCAACGCCACCCTGGGAGAAATCACCCAGGGAAAAGAAAGAAATCTATGAATAAGGTAAATTACTAAATCTAAACAAAAGGACAACACAAGTTCGTTACACTGAGCAGGCGAGAGACGTGTTTCCAAAAGCATATACAACAGTTTATTGGGCACAATTCAAATCTAAAAAAGTTATCCTATTTGTATAAATTATCATGTATTCCAGGGCTGGGGCATTTGTGCTCAAGGTGAGTGAGGGGTAAAAGTATAAACTTAAAATGGGAGCACCACAATCCAAAATTAACACTCCAAACACACAAGGGCAAAGCAAAACAAAGGAGGGGAGTGAATAAGACACTACACACGAAGGGACACCATCACCAAACAGGATCACCAGTGAGGCCCTCAGCACCTGGAATCACAAAGATGGACAGTTAATGGGAGACTGAAAATAAATTCAACAACAATAGAGATCCAATACAAATCAAAAAGAAAGGAAAATATCAAAACAGGTTACAGTTGGAACTCAAAGAACTAAACCATCAAATAATCAAAAATAGCTACAAAAATAATAAAGAAAAATCTCCCTTGCCATCCACCTCCTATTTCAGGCAGCTAAACATGAAAACATAATACAATAGGCATAAAAATGCGAACAACGGGATTTCCACACCCGAACGCAGCAGCAGGCAAGGTCCGTAAAAAGTGTGGGTTTTATCCCCACGCAAAGCAGCAGCAGTCCAAAACGGGTCAGGGCAGTCGGGACCTCAGCGTGGCATAGCTCCGGGACAAAACGAGCAAACACGCAGTCCGACCTGCCAGCGCCTGCACATAAACGCAAGTTTATTACGGTGCAGACTAAATCGCCGACGCGCAATAGACTGCAACATACCTGCACGGTGGAACAATTTGCACAACCCTGCAGAGAGTGCCGAGCGTCTGCCGAACCTGCAGCCAGGTAAACCCGGAAGGGGGAGGTGCGTATCAGCTGTCAGAGAGCGAGCAGATCTACAGGTCCCTCCTTATATAATAAATTAAAGGGGCACAATACTGCGAGTGGGCGGAGCCACTGGAAAAGCAGTCATCCTGCTACATTTGCAAAGGGGCAAAAACAGCAGTGGCTGGAGCTCAGCTACAGCACCAGAAGCCGACATCACCTGTTACGAGAGGCACATACCATACACAATATGTAAAATAACTCCACTGAACATCAAAGCACCGCTAAGGAGCATATTTAAACAAAACAACAAAAAAATAACCACTCGACTCGAAACACAGACACACCTGGAAAGTGCACATTATACAGCCACACGTGGTGAGTGCTGCGCAGATGGGGTGGGCGCTCTGTAACTAGCCCCCTTTAGCGCTCAGTCCTGCACCTTGACTAGATGTAGTCGTTCCTGAGACCAGTGTGGAGCTGGGAAAACCTGGGGCAAAACCTACATTTAAGGGGAACCAGGAAGTGCTCTGGCCTCACCTGTCGGGAATCACTAACTAGGGTGGTGTGGATAAACAGGTAGAGGGGGGGGGGGAGCTCTACCCATTACACATAGATGCAGCCTTTTATTATTAATTGAAGCATGAAAAACCTGGTCTTTGAATGTGGATGAAATTGATCAAATATTAGGTCAGCCAGCGGTCTTTCATATTATTACACTGGTTAAGGAGATAAAAGTGCTATGTTACTTCATACTGACCACAACCGACATGACAAACAATCATCCAATGGGACTCACGAGGAGAAGTTTGTGACGAAAGGCTTTCATAAAAGTGATAGCTTACTCATAAGCATGCCCTCATCAGAATGCTTCATCCTCTTTATCAAAAGAGGACTGGTCATCTGTGACCAGGGTATCAAACAAAACGTTGGTGGCAACTGATAGAAGAGGGGGAGTTAGACACTGCAGTATCAGTTTGATAGTAGCAAACCACAGAGTGCATTGGGTCATTCAAATAATATGACATGTATTTACAATCTAATGAAACAAATAGGTCTTGCGTGCCGGTGAATAAAAAAACCTAGTGGTTCTTTTATTTCAGAAGCAGCAGAATGAACAGAATTGTATATACAAAAAACTGTATAGAATAGATTCAGATTTTTGAAATAATCAAGAGTAGCAGAGTAGCAGCAGAAACTATTGGCGATGTGTATTATATAAGAATATATTTGTTGAAACCCATAGTAAGTACAAACGATTGGAAGCTGCCACATAGAAGCAAGGTAGAGGAGACTTCTTTGATGCACACGCGCCTTCATTTCAGTGTTGGAGAGCTCCTCAAAAGCTAATGAGCCCCATCTAGTGGTCCAATGTCCTAACATTCTTCTGTATGTACTGTACACATTAAATGCTAGAATAAATAACTACCGGCCAGAACACCGACTTAAAACACTCGTGCATGGGACCTGCCTATTATGGAACAGGGGACACGCAGAGTCTCAAACCCATCTTCCTCCAGTTTCCCAAACTTTCAGGCCAGGCTCTGTAGGTTGGATTTCCATACAGAAACGAGACCCGGGTGTTGGTGCCTCCTCTAAAGAAGAAGACACCAGAACTGTGAGTTCTCCATTGTGCCCATTACATTTAGAAAGGTTTCCTTGGTTAAAAACTGGCAAGGGGGCGCTATGGACCAGTAGGTGGAGCTACTCACTAGCAGCAGTCCTCATGCAGCTTTTCCACAAAAAAAAAATGTTTCAAATAAAAAATTTCCGCGACGACAAAATGGCGGAACCAAAGAAACGCAAGATAGCAAGTGAATGCAGAAAATTTCAAACACGGTGGGAAAATGAATATTTCTTCCAAGAAGTCAAGGAGAAGTGTGTCTGTTAGACTTGCAATGAAACGGTTGCAGTGATGAAAGAGTACAATGTACGACGACACTACGAAACCAAGCATCCGACCTTCACGTCCTACACTGCTGCTGAGCGAGAGGAGAAAGTCAAGCAAATGGCAGCTAACCTGCAGGCTCAACAACACTACTTGTACCGTGCTAACAAAACACAAGAAAATGCTACAATAGCTAGCTATGAGGTAGCTCAACTCATGCGCGCGCCACAGGAAAGCTTTCTCAGACGGTGACTTCGTTAAACAGTGCCTCATTAAAGTCGCTGGAATAATGTGCCCGGAAAAGATGCAGGAATTCAACGTGAGCATGTCCAGAAACACAATTGTGCGGCGAATCGAAGACTTGTCAGCTAACACACAAAATCAAGTGTCACATAAAGCTTGTGCTTTTGATTTTTAATGAAAGCACAGATGCAACAGACACCGCACAACTGTTAGTTGACGATAACTTTTGCATTACGGAGGAGCTGCTTGATCTTCGGAGTCCAAAGGGCACAACAATGGGTAAGGACGTTTTTGAAGCCGGGTCAGGTGCAATTGACAAGATGGAACTTAAATGGGACAAGCTGTGGGGAGTTGCAACGGACGGGGCTTCTTATCTGATGTCGATGCTGAACACGGGGGACGTACTCTATCATTGTGATGTGCGCTGGCTTAGTCGCGGCTCCGTGCTGAAGCGGTTTTATTCCCTGAGGTCAGAAATTGACCAGTTTTTGAAAGAGAAGGACCGACCTCTTCATGACCTGAGTGATCCTCTATGGTTGGCAGATCTGGCCTTTCTAGTTGATCTTACTGGTCATCTTAACTCACTGAACAAGAGCCTACAAGGCAAAGACCAGCTTGTACCACAACTTTATGCACACATGAAAGCATTCTGTGCGAAGGTTTGTCTTTTTAAGACACAACTACGCAACCTCAACCTTGCGCACTTCCCTACGCTGTCCGAAAAAAAAAAAGAAAACCCGTTAATGGAGAGATGTGATTTATGCAGTTTTTTTAATTATCAAGCATAATTTACCTACATTTGATTGATTTTATTTGAAAATAGATAAATGAACACTCATACATAGAAAGATATGATGTATGCAGTTTTTTCTTTAAGTATAATAAATTATCAAGCATAATTTACCTACCTTTGATTGATTGATTTTTATTACTGCTAAAGGTGAGGTGATATACCTTAACTTTAGTGAGTGGCTCAACCTTTCGCATATTTTTCTGTATGTGGCCCTCAGTGAAAAAAGTTTGGACACCCCTGCTTTAAGGGCTCCACTAGCATCCTTAATAAGTCATTTTGTCAGGAATTGAGAATGTAGCTTTAAGATACAACCAAAAACCAAAAATCAACCAAAAAGGATGCCACGGCACGCCCAGGTTGATTCCTTCGTTATCTAAAATACGTAAAAAATGCGCCAAATTAATTTATTGATTGCAGGCCCTGAAAAATAATTCTTTGCTATAATTTCAAAATGTGTATCAAAAGGTAATCTGCCCAAATGTCGTTCCAGAAACTAGAGCATTTACATAGGAGAGTTTTGACGGTCAGATGATGAATTTGTTCGCAAAGTATTATTTACATATATTACCATAGTCTGACGGTACACAATCAATGTTGATAGAAAGTCCATAGATTAAGTCCTTTATTATCCATTGAAGCATGTTACATGTGGTCTTTCAATGTAGATGAAATTGATCAAATATTAAAGTTACTCAGGGAAGCCAGTGGTCTACCATAATGACAACTAAATCTGAATTCAAGTTAAATTCTTACAGTGGTTAAGGAGGTAAAAGCACCCGATCCTTCTATAACTACAAATTCCTGCAATGTCGGTTGGTCAGTCCACCGTTAACAACCATCCAATGAACTGGAATATAACTGATGTAGTATCTCTAAATTGCTTTGATCAGGACAAGGACTCCGAGATGAAGACATAAATGATGGCAATTTTGCGATGGGAAACAATCCCTGACTTGACATAATCCATAGCCACCTGCAACACGAGGTCCCTGGGACCACGGATAGATTTCACCTGACGAACCACACCTGAGGGATGACAAACACAGAGAAAATACATTTGAGGAGACGTACAAGTAAATGCAATATCAGAATATGCTTTTCAACAAAGGCTTTCATCAAAGATCGACTCCTGGGTGATAGCCAACTCTTTAAACTTACCAACAAACATGCCCCCGTGGGAACGCTTTATCACATCAAAAGAGGACTGGTCATCTGCAACCAGCATTTTGAAGGAAACATCGGTTGCACCGTATACATGAGGATAACTAGCCGCTACATTTGACTGCAAGAAAAGGATTTCTGTTGGAAGAATTGGTTGGAAGTTTGTATTAGTCTGATAGTAGTGAACCACAGAGTGCATTTGGTCCTTCAAACAACCATGGATTTATATTTATGATTCATTTGAACGGTCGTTGTGTGAGATGAAACAATCAATTAAAAGTTATTCTGCAACGCATAGAGACATACTAAGACCGTGCTGTATGTCCACCTTGTCTTACCTTTTGGGTCCCTGATTGCGTGGAAGGTTTCCAAAGAGAGGGAGATGTAGTTTATCATGTCTATGCGATAGTTATAGCAGTGGAAGTCCTGAGGATGACAGGACTTGTAACAATTCCAACTGGCTGAAGTATCTTTTCTGGATATGAAAAGAATAAACAGCAGTTATGGTAAGGAGGTCGGATGGAAAGATGGAGAAAATGAGGAGAAAAAAGAGATGTATTACACTACAATTACAATTTCCAAGGATAGATGAATAAAAACAACAAGGAGAAGTGTGTGTTTGAAACTATTGTAACCTTCACAGGAGAGAAACAGTATTCATAACAAAACATCCACCACAGATCCACAGTTGAGTTGAGCAAGAAGAACCTGGCCACACCTGGGGAGCTACCATTGCCCTCCACGGTTAACCGATCAAAGGATTTCTCAAACCTATAATCAGGTCTGTGTGTGGTTCGTCCAAACCACGGATATGATTGAGTGGGGTTCATGTCACAGAGGACATTTCACTCAAGAGGGTGGTGGATGAAAATCCAATAACTTTGACAGAATCAGCAGTATTATACGCATATTATGACTGCATAGAATAGTTACAGATACTATTATTAAAGCAATGAGGTATGAGAGGCTTGAAACAGATCATAGGAAAAACATTAGAAATTACCAAAGCGGAGGAAGGGTGAGAGTAGTACTGTGATTGTGCATTAATATATATTTGTTTGAACACATAGGAGGTACACATAAAGCTGCTGCAAAGGAAACTTCTATGATGCACATGAACCATCCTTTCAGTATTGGAAAAATCCTCAAACGCTAATAAGCCCCTTCATATCCTAACATTCTTCTGTATGTACTACTGCATTAAATTCTAGAATAAATAACTGAAATAAAGATATTGAGTGTTTAAAACAGGAAAAACATAGCAAAGTTTTAAAGAAATGCATCCTCAAGACAACCCAGCAATGCGTTTGCATCAAAAATGCAAAATCAACTTCAACTTCTTGCTTTAAGAAACATTTTTAGTTATTTTGAGGATTGTGTGTTTGCATTTCAATTTTACGTCAGATGAAAAAATCAATATATTTTAATGTTGGATTGATGCTGAGGAGAATTAAGCAACGCAAATACATGTAATACTGAAGCACCGTTCTAACTAGGGGTGAATCCATGTTTTTTCAACAAGAATAACATTTTTGCCCCTGATGAATTGTGCAAAGGAGGTAAATAGAGAGCTGGAGCTCTAAATATGAATATGGATGGAAATAGAAACTTATTAAAACGTATTAAAAAAAAAAGTAATTCACTTATTAACGTATTTACTATACTACTTTAAACACTCCAAAGTATTCTTTTAAAATCCAATATGATGTCTTCTAAAGGGAAATGTTCTTGGGGACTGAGTGGGCTGACAAACAGAGCAACCGTGGCCAGCTACAGATGTGCTGTCCTGCAGGGAAAAAGCCTCTTCCACAAATGCAGTAGCCATCAGCACTCACCCGTGCCCTGCTAGCTGGAAGTATTGAGGACATGCCAAGGACAGACACCGGAATCCTCCCAGGATGTTGAAGCAGCTTCCATGGAAAGGACAGGTATGTGTCCCTAGTGCACATTCATCAATGTCTAAAAACACAGGGGAGATGTCATTCATCTACAATTCAGTTGATTTCATGTCAAGGGTACTAAAGGTTCCTCTCCTGACCTTGGCACGTGCGTTCATTTGGTGCCAGTGTGTAGCCTGTGGATGGGCAGGTACAGTGGAAACTGCCTGGGACGTTGGCGCAACTGTAGGAACACTGATGACCTCTGTTATGCCAAGCGCACTCATTGATATCTGAGAGCAGCAGACAGTGAAAGATCATTAGAAATACTCAACGGCATTTTTAACTAACATGTGGTCATAGTCGCGTTAGTAGCACTGGAGGAGCCACAATGAGAGTTACATAAAGCTCATGTTCATCCACAACATAATGAAAAGGGATCACACACTCGTGGCTGGGTTGTCTGCGATAAGGCCTGCACTCATGGATGTCCTAAAAGCACGGACTAGTCAAAACATTATTCCAAACTGACTTCCCCTTCCCACTTGTCTTGTGTCACTTCCTCCTCCTTCAGTTTCTTGCGTTTGAGTAATCACAATAGTGTGACCTTGGCAAATGGTGTTGCTGTTCAGTTCAAACCCAATGTCACATTCTGCCTGACAGATGAAGGAACCCACTGTGTTAATACAAACTCAACATCTGAGGTGAGAAACATCTGATCAACACTAAGCTAGACGCCGTTCATCCGTACAGCAAAGAGTTGTCAGTGGATGGGATGTAATAAAGAGATCCGGGAACTTGTACAATACTGCATTTGACATGCTAAATGTTTAGATATAATAGCGTACTATCTAGTACAGGGGTCTCAAACTCGCGGCCCGCGGGCCAATTGCGGCCCTCGGGACGATATTTTGTGGCCCCATCCTTAATATGAAAGTGTAATGTTTGTGTGGCCCGCAAGTTTTATACTGTAACCCCACTGTCAGCCGCTGTGTGGGACATGTTATGATGTTCTGGTTTCCTACTGTGTGCTTGTCCAGTGAACGTGGCATGCATGTGACTGACATGGGGGGCGGGTCGTGTGTGTCGGCCGAGGTGCAGAGAGCAGGAGGGTGAAATTCAGTTTCCTGCCCTCTTTCGCGCAGGTGATCATGTGACTAACCGTTAGCATCGCTCGTTTAATAAAGTTTTCCTTTACGACTCACACTAACAACACATGAAGCATCTGACGTCACCGACGAGCGTCTCCGTCCATTACTACGCAGCTTCGATTCACGTAACTTCACGTTTGGCTATAAAGGAATTCCACGGTCACATGACCTTAGGTCTCCCCCGCTGAGTTAAAGGAGGACTAGTGTTGTAGTCTCATTCGGACCGATCCCCCAGGGTGGGGTTCAATGACTGCTTTTGAAAGTGAGTGTTAAGTTGTGTTATTGTCGACCATGCCGTTCGGACGCTAGTCTGGCCCGCGTTCGGTTGAAGTGGGCTGCATCTGGCCCGCAGCTGATTTGAGTTTGAGACCCCTGCTCTAGTATGTTATGTAAATATTTAGAATTCTCCAATAAATGTCAAAGGCAGCAAAAATAACAAAATGTTGTATTCCATTCTATGATATTTTGCAGTGTGCGAGCCAGTATGCTTTTTTGTCTATAATGATCCCCAGTCCTTTGTGGAGGTTTTTACAAGAGGGTCAAAGTTCAAGCTGCCTGTGATGAGGAAGTAGTAACTGAATGCTAACTGCATAAAACATATGTTCTTCATGAGCAGCCACGGTATGAACGACAAATAAACTCCTAACCTGCTACAGGCACTAGATGAAAAATGAAGGGATTCAATTTTATTCCGTAAGGAAGACAAATAAATAAGAACTGTGCCATTTCAGCAACAGTTTTATTTACATTACTCACCTTGACAACTCACTCCATCGTCTTGAAGTTTATAACCAGCAAAGCACGCACACGTACCGTTACCTTCACACAACTGGGAGCAGTTTAAGTCTGAAAGCAGCAGAGACACACAGGAAGAAGGAGACATTCATGTGTACAGTGTGAGTCCAAAAAGGAATCACGTCACTGGCTGATGACAGGGAAACGCCACAAAGAGGCTGACGTCTAAACCTCTTAAAGCTCTTCTCATAACAATGGAGATCACATAAAGAAATGAAGGTGGCAAACCTCTACAGGGGTCATGAGACTCGGTGGTGCTGCTGACCTGAGGGCTTTCTGTCACTGGAGCTGTGGAGGAAAAGGCCTCATTAAAATAAAATTCCCTGAATAGCAAGCGAAGGGTAAAACACCTCAGCACCTCATCACACATTGGAACTGCAAAAAGCTCTTTGGCCTTCCCATTGACACGCTCATATTGCCTTGGCCTTCAATTCACATCAGCAAGTCACTTTTGCTTCGAATCTCTTACTGTGTGCAAATGGCAAAGATTGCTGATTGTTTTGAGCGTCACAGACCGAAGTCACTATAAGCGACTGGTGTCTTGTGTCACTTCCTCCTCCTTCAGTTTCTTGCGTTTGAGTAATCACAATAGTGTGACCTTGGCAAATGGTGTTGCTGTTCAGTTCAAACCCAATGTCACATTCTGCCTGACAGATGAAGGAACCCACTGTGTTAATACAAACTCAACATCTGAGGTGAGAAACATCTGATCAACACTAAGCTAGACGCCGTTCATCCGTACAGCAAAGAGTTGTCAGTGGATGGGATGTAATAAAGAGATCCGGGAACTTGTACAATACTGCATTTGACATGCTAAATGTTTAGATATAATAGCGTACTATCTAGTATGTTAGGTAAATATTTAGAATTCTCCAATAAATGTCAAAGGCAGTAGGCCAAAAAGAACAAAATGTTGTATTCCATTCTATGATATTTTGCAGTGTGCGAGCCAGTATGCTTTTTTGTCTATAATGATCCCCAGTCCTTTGTGGAGGTTTTTACAAGAGGGTCAAAGTTCAAGCTGCCTGTGATGAGGAAGTAGTAACTGAATGCTAACTGCATAAAACATATGTTCTTCATGAGCAGCCACGGTATGAACGACAAATAAAGTCCTATCCTGCTACAGGCACTAGATGAAAAATGAGGGGATTCAATTTTATTCCGTAAGGAAGACGAATAAATAAGAACTGTGCCATTTCAGCAACAGTTTTATTTACATTACTCACCTTGACAACTCACTCCATCGTCTTGAAGTTTATAACCAGCAAAGCACGCACACGTACCGTTACCTTCACACAACTGGGAGCAGTTTAAGTCTGAAAGCAGCAGAGACACACAGGAAGAAGGAGACATTCATGTGTACAGTGTGAGTCCAAAAAGGAATCACGTCACTGGCTGATGACAGGGAAACGCCACAAAGAGGCTGACGTCTAAACCTCTTAAAGCTCTTCTCATAACAATGGGGATCACATAAAGAAATGAAGGTGGCAAACCTCTACAGGGGTCATGAGACTCGGTGGTGCTGCTGACCTGAGGGCTTTCTGTCACTGGTGCTGTGGAGGAAAAGGCCTCATTAAAATAGAATTCCCTGAATAGCAAGCGAAGGGTAAAACACCTCAGCACGTCATCACACATTGGAACTGCAAAAAGCTCTTTGGCCTTCCCATTGACACGCTCATATTGCCTTGGCCCTTTTTTTTGCTTTTGCTTCGAATCTCTTACTGTGTGCAAGTGCCAAAGATTGATGATTGTTTTGAGCGCCACAGACCGAAGTCACGATAAGTGACTAGAAGAGTCTAGATAATATCTCTTACCATGTGTAGTCTGTTCGATCACTGTTGCCTGTCTCTCACAGCAGCCTTTAGCTGCATCCAAACACAGATCCCCCAGCAATAAACGAGTGAATCTGCATGTGGGAACTTGGGTCAGGCCTAACTTACAGCAGTCACAGCATAACTGAAGAGGAGACAGGGAGGGTGAGACAAGTGCGAATGAAGAAGAACTCTTCTGTAAAGTGATCTGGTCAGAAACACTGAAGCGGTTGATTCATTAGTTGTATCAGCAAGATTGAAGAGACATGTGAAGGTTGAAGGTATTGACATTAGAGAGGAGAGAACCTTAGACAGGACGCCTTGCGGAGGGTCTTCTGGGAATGAGAGTTCGTCGCAGACCCCGTTGTCCTCGGCCACGTCGATGCCATTCTCACAGAATCGGTCCAATTCTGCTGCTGAGCAGCACCTCTCTTGGGTTAAACTGTAAATGAACGGCAGACATAAATAACAAATAAACTGATAAACTGCACACTTTGTAAGAGACCCACCTGACCTTAAAATACATTGTAACAGCCAGCAGCCTCTTTGAAACATTAATATCTTTAATAATAAAAATGTTAAATTTCTCCTAAATGGGAAAAAGTTCTCTCTCCACCTGCCTTTCCTCTGCAAATGTTCCCTTCACTGACCTCCATGTGTTAACCAAGTGCTCCCTTTACTGACTATGTCAAGCCGCCACGTTCAGTCAAACAAAGACATTTAGTATTAAAAATGCTGCAGGGTGCTGCTTGAAAGCTGTCCTTAACGTAGTTAATGGGTTGTGGATGAAACTAATCGATACGAGAAAGTATTTCATTGACAAGCCATCAAGAATGATTCAGCTGAATCGTCCGAGCTCTTTCCACACGGTTGATTTGGAGGTCTAACAACTAGTTTTTGCTGAGTATATCGCTGTACACAAACTGAACGGCTTCTTCCAAGTGCACATTATCTCGTCCCTCCAGTTAAGGTCCGGTATCACGTCTTTACTGTTTGTCTGCGTGCACTCAATGTTCAGAGTAAAGCGGTGGAATTAAAGAAAAATATATTCTGATGAATTACAACAACATTGTGCGGCAAGACACTCTTCCCTCAGAATTTTTGGGGGGATTTTTCAAGATTCCAATGAAACATATTTTGAAAGAAAGAAAGACATTTTCTGATAAACACAAAAAAGTTCTGCATTCCTTCTGTAGTGCCCCGTCTTCGGTCCCTGTGTCGCATTCTGAGATCCCCTCCTTGGTGAAATGAGGTGTTTGCTTACCCGCAGTAAACGGAGGAGGAGATGAAGACGGGAGGGTCGCGTGTACAGTTTTGTCCAAGGGCCAAAAACCTCCCAGCCTTACAGCATCTTCTTAGAGTTGTAAGATTAATCTTTGAACCTTAAATACACAGCAGAGTTATGATGGGTGAATAACATGGCTGGCCCCCAAGTGCCACTGACTGAATCCGACTTAATTCAATCAGACTCACACTCTCAGATAGACAGACAGGACGATACAACATGGGCCCAAACATGGATACTGTGTTAAAGGTGTTCAACAGGTGTTAGCAGTGCGTCTTACCTTGTCCATTCACAACACTGTAAACAAATAAAAGTATTATCCACCGCGCCATCACACTGACTTTCAGATGCTCTGTTATTCTAAATTAACGAGATGATGACGTCGTGTGTGTGTCTCCTGTGTGAAAATGTCTCTTCAAGGAGGAGAGCTTCTCAGTCGAGGCAGCAGGAGGAGACTCAGGCCTCAACTTGTGGGGATGAGATATTAGTGCGGTGGGGGCGGACCTGTCGGTGGCACATCCCAAATCTCTGACATGCGTCCACGTTTCCCTCCCTCTTATTTATTTAATACTTACGACGAAGGATAGTGCCCTGCATTTAACCATCAAGGCTCTTTAATTATTCAAACAACGCCATTAATTGGATTATTTTATACAGAAATTCTCCAACAAAGGTTTTTAAGACAAGAGCAAAATTACATAAAAGGTAATATACACAGTTATACACATTTTTGTTTTTAAGTTTCGTAACTCTGGCTTTAAAACAGTCCCAAAAAATGTTGAATAATTATTTGTTATTATATTATGTATTATAAGATGCAAAATTATCAAGAAATGTATGAAGTTAAAAATGCTGACGGTAGAAGGTTTCTTTGACATAATAAATATCATTCTGTGTCTATGTGAGGATTTCTTTTTTCCTTCTGTTAGTCAGCTCGTGACCCTTTAGTGTTATCGTACCACACTTTGATCGTCAGACCACTGTTTGAGAACGTCAGCTTCTTTCATGTCTCTGAATTATCTAAGAGTGCTATCAGCAAACATTAAGAACTATTATCCTGATAAAAACCAGCGAACTTCATGACAAAGCATTGTTGAGATTAGGACCTCAATTCACATCAGTAAGACACTTTTGCTTTGAACTCATATCAACTGTTTTTGCTGCCCTGTCCTTGCCGACATGTTTGATTTGATGACCAAGCGCCGGATGCTACAAGATAAAACACGAGGTGTCACTGATTTAACAATTGACAAAGTGTACAGAAGAGTAAAAGTACAGATTAGTCCATTGAATCCCCGTTACCCAGATCTGCTCCACAACTGCCGCATCAAGGCCGCTTGTCCACATTGTTTCAAGCCAATTTAACATCTGCCTCCCGAGGACGCCCAGAATAAAACCGTCAAAACTACTCTAAGAGCAGCTGCAGCGTGCACTAAAACCCGGGTCAAAACTCGGGTAGACATGGAGTGCAACAAACTATTCGTCTATTTCCGGTGTACTTTTTGCGTGGGTATTGGGAACCACAGCTTATGCTAATGTGCTAGCATGATTCCAATGATAATGCCACTTGTGGAGTTAAGATAATAGAGGGGGAAGAGGGTGGACCTGTTGTTGGTGCATCCCCAATCTCACATTTCCTGCACCTATATGATATGTTCAGAGAGAAAAGAGACGGCGGGCCGCTGATCACATCTGGATTATGTGTCAGGTTTCTTCAACAGCTGGAAAGACTTTTGACAGAGTTGTTCTCTGTACTTGTACTGATAAAGACACAGCTGTGATCGGTGACAGCGTACAGGGCTTTTCTCTGTAGCCTGTAACCTGTTTAAGTGTTTAACACACTCGTCGGGTCAAACACAGTTCTGAATCACAGTCCAGACAAAACTCATACTGACCAGTAGGTCATCATAAGGGGCGGCGCGGTGGTGGGCGCAGTCGGTCCCAGCTGCCTTGCTGTGTGCAGTGAATAAAGTTTTGATAAAAGTAAATATGAAAATAAGCACCACAAAAACGGACAACAAACTCATCTTACATTATCTCAAAGAATAACATAAAAATTAAAGGAAAAAGACAGTGGGAGCAAAGGACAAGCACACTTATATTCAACCCTGTTTGTTGTCAATGCAGGTAATACCATTGTTTGCAGAGTTCATTTAAAACCTCCTGCGTATCCTTATTAATTAATTCAAGTGTTCAACACATTTATTGATACTGAAGTGTTGGCTTGATGCCGTGTGGGTTCTAGACAATTACACACTTTGGGGAACGCACACTGCGGTCAGAGTGTGATGTCAGAGTGTGACGATTAGGTGATAATCCTGTCTCTGAACTGTCAAAGTACAAAACAATAACGTCTTAAGAATTCTGGTCCCGATAAAAACCAACACAGCTGCTTCATAATAAAACATTGTTGAGATTACGCCTTCATTTACATTAGCGAGAAACTTTAGCTTTTAACTCACATCAAGTGTTTTTGCTGCTCTGACCTTACCAACGTGTTGGGATTGTGCCTTAAAGCTTAGTGACAGAAACTGTTTGACTGCACTCATTAACATCTGAGGAGGGAGCATTTTTAGCTTACTGCATTTGGCATGCTATGTATTAGTGTATAGTATACTGTATGTACCTTCCAATAAGTATTTTATCATACTACCCAGTACGACAGAAACGCCCCGATATATGTGTTGGACATAGAAAAAACGTGAAATTTGTTTTGGCTTTTAAGAAAAAATGTTGATTGAAGAATTAAAAAGTTAAGTTTTGGGTCAATGGTTGCAACAAAGCCACTGTACAAACTAACTCCACCAGATTGGGCCCTGTGTTTTTCCCTGGCCAGGCTCAGACGGCACATCACCAAATGCGCTCAAAGCGTGCCAAGAAAACATCCCCCCCCCCCCCCAACTATTACACCACCACCAGCAGCCTGAATCGTTGGCACAAGGCAGGATGGATCCGTGCTTTCAGAGATGGTATTCTGCGTTCCTTGGTTGTAACGAGCGGTTATTTTAGTTACTGTTGCCTTTTTATTATATTTTATTTTATTTATTATATGAGTAAAGAAATACAAGTCATATAAAAAACAAAAACGTGTACATTTTGAAAACCTTTTCTGGCAACCTTTGGCTTCCAGGACACACACACAGGATTTCACACACTCATTTTAGGAATCGAATTTGAACATTTTGAACCCGTGAAGGTTTTAGATAATCAGAGAACACGTCATGCATTCCCTCCGTAGTGCCCCGTCTTTCGTCCCCGGGTCGCAGAAGTAATTTGGAAGTTGTAAGATGTCAAATTTATTAAGATAAAAAGCTGAATGGATTTTCTAACAAAACAATTTTCTTTTTTCATTCTGTCAATCAGCTCACGGCCCATCAGACCGTTAAGGAACCTCAGCTTTCTTTCAAGGTTCTTAATAATAAAATACAATGACAAAGGGAGCTTAGAACAAGCATAATTATATTCAACCCTGTTTATTACAAATATTGCAAATACAGGTAATAACATTGTTTGCAGAGTTTATTTACACCTCCTGTGTATCCTTAATAAATAAAGTGTTAATGTTGAACAGATTCAGTGATACTGAAGTGAAGGGTTAGATAAGGGAAGCCTATTTGCTGTGTGCGTCTAATTGCACACTTCCATTGCTTTCAGTGAGTGAAAAAAGTTAAAGCAACAAAGCTCGGGAGAAATCTTACATGTAAAACGAATCATGCTGCAGAACGGCAAAGACACAATTTGGAGAACGCAAACGTTTTTCAGTCTCTGGATAATAATTATATTTTATCATAGTCCCAACAGTAAATTCTTAAGAACTATTATGATAAAACCCAACAAGGCTGCTTTATGATAAAGAAGAAAAAAACAAAACATGGTTCTAAAAATAACCAGCCAGCTTAATTAAAAAAGAAAGTTGTTTTTTTTTAGATAGCTGTGCTTTAATACAAACTTAAAATAAAAAATAAAATACTATGGTAATAAAACAATTTGTTTTCAGCGTAGTAGCTATTGCAAGAGAGCCAAAGTCTATCAACACAAACATGGAAGCATTCATATTTACATCAAGGCATCTTGCATGCAACCAAAATCATGTGGTTTTTTTGCCTTTTTTCTTCCAAATGATCTCATGATAAACAAACAGCTTTTTGGGGCTTTTTAGTTTTGTCATTGCAGAAAATACCAAACTATGTAACAGTGAAATTATAACCACTGTTGAGCAGGAAATTTACGAATTTACTCCCTCCATTGTGCATCTACTGCGTGACTGCTACTAAAGAAGTCTATTCAGCATAGCAGAACCTTTTTCCTATTGCGAATATAACATAACAGACTAAAAACCAAATATCGGTCCCCACTGGGGCCACTTCTGCGGAAGACTGAAATCATCCATCTGGTCTACAGCGCGTCTCTCTGCTGTAATCTATCCCTGCTGCTCCTCCTTCTCCTTGGCTGCTTCTGCGGGAGCCGACTCCTCCTGGCCTTCAGGCCGAAGCACATCCGTGTCCATGGGGAGCTGCGGCTCCTCTTCTTTTGGGGATTTGGGAGGTTCCTCTTCTTTTGTCTCCGCCTCAGCAGCTAGGGGGCATTCCGCCTCCTCGGCAGGAATCTCCTCCTCCTCTGCAGGAGGCAGATCCCCCGCAGCAGGAGCAGCAGCCGGCGCCGCCGCCTCCTTCTCCTCCTCCTCCTCCTCCTCCTCCGTCCCCTTTTTGCTTGCGTCGATCACCTTCTCCTCCGTCTCTGACCTTGCTTCCTCTGTGAGTGCCGTTCCTTCCTCCAGAGGAGGCAGGTCTTCCTCCACAGGCGGGATTCCCTTACCTGCCGGACTTTGTGGTTTATCGTCTTTGACGGGGGCCGCGCCCTCCGCCGCCATCTCTTCCTCTTCGTCTATCTCCTCCTCCAGGGGCGGGATCATCTGTTCCTCCCTCCCGCCGGCGAACACCGCATCGGGGAAGACTAGTTTCAACTGCTCCTCGAAGTAGTCCTCCAAGTACAAGCCTGCACTCCCCACCTCGGAGGTGGCCTGTACGGTCAGGGCACAGAAACAGGAGTGGAAACGAACTTAATAGGAACGTCAGGGAGAGCACCTGCTAATTATTCTTAAAAAGTCACAATGAGATTTCCCTTAAAAAAAAGATCAAAAATGATGAGTCAACTCTTAGAAAAAGAATCCCTTCCAATCACAGCTTATGACTCACTAGAATGTGATTGAGACGTTATGATTCTGCAAACATTTAGCAGAAAAAAGGTTACTCTCCCGAAGAGACACGTTCCCTGTAAAGTGAGGTTTACCTTGTAGTACTTTGCACAGTTGAAGAATATGAGCCGGATGTCGGCGACGCACTCCTCCGGGCCGCTGTAACCGTCCCCTTCTGGGGACTTTGACTCCAGCTTCTTCTTGACGATCGACAAATCCATCGGGTTCTTGATCAGCTCTTTGTAGCGTCTCGTCTCCTACAATAAAGACGAGACGGAAGTGAAATCCACGACACAATCTTAATCCTAAAAAAAAAAAATACAACTCAATTCACACATGAATTTAACCCTTTCAATTAGGATTTTATAAGATGAAAATTATTACATTATCATCCATTTTACATTAACTTCACTATTTGAGTACACATTAACTCATTCGTTATAACAATTCTCCACAGGAAAAATGACCCCAGTCTCCTTCGACATCCATTGATGTTTACTTTTTCTGTACTTCCAAACCCCAAAGTGGCTCTCAGCGTAGCTTTTAACATGACTTACTGATGGAGCAGCGGGCTGCTGGAAGTCAGTGCTGAAGTCGTTGCAGAACAGACGGAGCAGCAGCCTCTCGCACTTCTGCATATTACAAAAATGATTAGAAACGGCAGCAACCACAAGAGCAATGGAAGAATATCGACTGTGAGAAACAGCTGAGGGAGCGCACCCTTCTTCCGTGAGGAGGGAAGCGCTCAGAGACGGGGTCGTCCTTGCTGTCGCAGACGTACTCCATCTCGGGAGAGGTGAGGTCTCGGCAGAGCGAACAGAACCACTCCCCGCTGTAGAGACATCAGAACAAAAAGCCTTTTCTGTTAATAACTAGCATCGTAAAACCTTTCAGTCACAAACATTCAATGTCACAAACTAATACTGCAGATTTAAAAAGACTCTTAACGACTAATCTTGATACTATTGAACATTTTTCAATAGGGCCTAACAAAAAGTCCTTTTCTTTTTACATTCAAAGCTGCCATTTCAGTTTTTAGAAAGAAGGTGAATGTTCTGTGAGGTCATCACTAAAAGAATAGACTGCGAATAGAATGCCTTGTGCAGGCCTCCCTTTCAGTGGCACATCTATGAATCCAACCAGAATATTTTTACAAATGCGTTGTGAATTTGGGAAATAACATCTTTCGGTCTAAACAGTAAGAGTTTTTGGAAATGTTTCGATCAGACAAGTTGAAAACAATCCTAGGCCACAAACACGGGACAAATAAAATAATAACAATATCGGTGTTGCCTAATTTTGCTGGCAGAACACGACAACAAAAACTATCATAATATCAAATGCCAGTCTTAAGAGATTATGGTCAGAACTACTGTGATAACTAGTTTTTGGCTTCGTTGTTTTAAATCCAAGAAGTGTGTCTCGTCATGAAAAAAATTAACGGTCATCTTATTAGACAAGCCGTCCCTCACCTGGGGGACTCATTCAGTGCGGGAATGTGGCAGGCCAGGTGGAAGACTTTGGGACACTTGTCGCAACAAAGCAGCTCCCCCCCGTTCTGACAGACGGCGCACCAGTCCTCGTTGGGATCCTCCTCCGGCACCGCCCTCTTCTCGCACTCGGGCTGCGCCGCGACGGGCGGCCCGCGTTGCTCTTGGACTGCTTCGCTCGACTCAGCTCCGGACTCCGACCCGGGCGCCGCGGCCGGAGCGGGGGTCTTCGGCTGCTGCCGAGGCTTCGCCTGGGCGCCGGTGCTGCTGTCCGGCAGGCTGGAGCCGACACTGGACTGCACCTGCAGGCCAATCAGAGTGCAGGACACATGCAGTTAGGCTCAGACTTGCACGACCCAAACTAATAAGTACTAAAATAAAAAGAAAATGGCCGTCCAAGTTTCTTGTTTTAACGTGACCCCCTGCAGTTATAAAGCAGATTATAGTATTTTTGCAGAATCTGGTCAAGCTGGGAGGGGTGCAGTGGATTCATGCAGTCATCCGCTTACAAATCGAACATCGTCCTCGTCCTCTGGTTCGTCCTTGATGACGATGACGGGCCCCGGGGACGACCGTCTTCGTCGCTTGGCCGACGAGGCGGAGGGAGGCTCGGAGCTCTGCCTCCAGGACGTCGTCCTTTAACAGAGAGGGAGGGAAGTGAGGATTGCTCCCGTGATTAAGCCGCGCCGGCCTCTGCTCACAGGAATTGGCTTGGCCGGTCAGGGAGTGTTCATGAAGTATCCTCTGACACTCGCTTCAATGTCATGTAGTACATGTAGGTTGTAAATTAACACCACATCTCCAGTGAAATTGCAAACTAGAACAAGAAGTGGTGGAGGAACCGTGGTGAGGACGACAGATGTTTAGGGTCTTTCCTTACCCTGTGCCCCTGTCTGAGGAAGATGGTTTGGCCATTGGAGAGTTCTGCCTTGCTTGAACTTGAGAACAGAGGGAAGAAAAAACACATTTCTTAAGGGATATTTTTCACACAGGATAAGGTCTTTGTAGTTGTTAAATCACAGCTGACCTGACGTGTGATTAAATGCACTGGTTTTATCCGCAGTTGCTGAAGAGAGACTTGGAGCAAAGCTGGGTTTGGGAATAGAGATGGTGATGGAGGGCACGGACCCCCCAGCCTCGCTCCTCCTCAGGTAGGAGGACTCTGTTAGGCCCCGCTTTAGGGAACAAAAACAGGTTGTTGTTGTTGTTGTTACCGCTTTGGAATAGATGGAATAGATAGATGAAAAGATGGCGCCGTTGATGGCCGCCACGGTGCTTCGGTGCGCTTCGTTTTTTTGTCTATTGTCACACTGTGGCGCACCAACCGCCAAGACAAATTCCTTGTTATGTTTGGCATATTTTGGTAATAAATGTTTCCTGATTCCTGAAATAGCACTTTCTCCCTTGAATCATGCCCTCTCCGTTCTCCTACCAACCTGTAGTGACATCTGTGCAGCTGCTCCTGCAGACAGAGGCTGTGGGTAGCGGGACGTACCCTGCAACACCTCCATTGGCTTGGAGGGGAAGCTGGAGCTATGGATCAGATCTCGCAGAGACTGAGTGCAGAAAAGAAGAGAGTTGAAAGAAAAAGTGTAAAAGTTGGTCAGAGAGACACTTCACACATTAACAGTAATCCAGATGCACTCAAAAGGATTCAGCCCCATTGCAAATTAGGTTTGTTGGCAACATTTACAAACTCAAGTCTTTTTCAAGAACTTGTTTCTCTTAATTTGATACAAATTGGTAGCGAAGGCACTGAATGTTCCCTGAGATAACGACGGGAAGCAGAGTTCACAACTGTGACAGATTTCTGAGGCGACAGGGGGCCAAAATCCTCGTGGTGACTACAAATGGCCCGCGGCAACGCCAGGTGGCAGCGGCATATCAGCTCCATATCTCACGCGCTTGAGCGCCGCTCAGCATCTCGCCGTCGTAGACCGAGCTTTGTCATGTTTGGCAGAGCGCCTTGAGCGCCGTGTACAACCAGTATGGATCAACCGATTAACCAATTGATTCATATATATAAGGCGCTCGGGATTATAAGGGCATATAGACAAGTTCATTATCAAGAAGCTAAACATATAAAATTACATCCAACAAACTGGATTCAGCCCCGTTAAGAGGCAAAAGGTAAAACGTTTAATCAAACCTGTAAAAACAACATTCACAACCATGAAACGCAGGCGATGGGCGCTTCAGGCCTCACGCATCGCTCCCGTCGTGCTAAACGCCGGCGCCGACCTACCTGAGCAGGTGGGAACCCCGTGTTGTGAAGCATGGACGACGTGGGGCTTCTCGGGTTGGGGTAGGAGCTTCCGTACCGGCGTCCCGGCTGTCCCAAGCTTGGAGGGCCTTGAGAGGGGGAGGACCCGCCGTGGCTGGGTCTGGTTGGGGGTGGGAGCCCCGGGTGCCCCGGAACCCGGACGTTTTGGTACCAGGACCAGTGGTTCGGGGGGGGCTGTCTGTTGGGTTGATGGGCGAGCTTATCCACCTTGGACAGAGGAGTAACATTCAATTCAATGAATTAGATGAGAAATTAACACATAATTAGTATGCCAGTGTTTTTACATTTCACTAAAACAAGTTTACACGACATGGTGCCTGTGATTAATACATATATATATTAGATAAGTATAATATATACATGCATCTGCAGCTGAGCCAATGTGCTCTGTCGCACTGTCTGCTGAGCTGAAGCGGAAAGCCCTCCAGCGGGCGCTTCTGCTCTGGGACCTGCCGGGTGGGTAGTGATGGGGGTCCGGCTCTGGCCCCTTTCTACAACTAAAGAACCTGGAACAGACAAGGCGAACACTCAAAAAGGAAGATCAGATTGTTTTTGTCCATCAGCTCAACTCAAAAGCAAAACTTCCTCTAATCCCAAGGTCGGCTCGGGAGTTTGATTCCGTTGCTTTGCTGGTCAACAGTGTCAACAGACAAAAAGGGCCAAGTTCAAACTTGTGGATGACATTCAAGTGGACATTAAAAAAGGGGTTTAAACCAATAAAGGAGAATGAATGAAATGAAAACCTGTGTGTTACTCACTCCAGGGTTCTTACACATTTTGACCAGTGGATTTCCATGACTTCAAACAAAATTTCCATGACCAAATAAGTGTGAAATCTCAGTATATACATGAAAGTGAGAAAATGTAGTATTTAAACAAACAATGAGAATACCAAAGCATACAGTGTTTCCCCCACCATTCAATTCGGTCTCAAGATGTTATAATTATACAATTATCCACTATGGATGAGTATCGTTTGGGGGTTTCCTGATACCAGTGCTAAAACGATACTTATAAAACATACCGGTGCCTAAACAGTGCCTAAAACAATACTTGTTTTCCATTATTTTACTTCAAATTATGGACAATACATGAACTGTTAACAGTTTACAGTAGACAACAGTCTCTGTAAGAGCCGGAAGTGAATGTATTACTTAATTGGAATTTGGGGAATATTAATCATTTAATTTATGGTCATTGTGCAGGAACTAAAGATATGTAACTTGTATTGAACGCATTTATGTTAGATTGACGCTCCTTGTGTGTCTCCATGTATTGACGTCGCGATTGCAGTAGGTGCAACATAGAAGAGCTGCATTAGGCACAAGAGCATATCGTTTATCTGCTGTGTGACAGAATGTAGTAATTGTATATTATGTTGACGCATGGCAGCATAAAATAAACACAAAACGAAAAGAATCAAATGATTCTCCTGTCATTCGAGGAGGAAAATTAAGCCACGTGTCAGCAGCTTAATACGGCTCAATGACAAAGAACATCGAAGCAACGCCGCCGCGCCCTCTGTTTACAACTTGGAACTGCTGCTAGCAGACGGGCAGCGCACGGACAGCGCCGGTGGCCGAAGAGAGAGACGTGCTGCTCGGCATGGTGGCTTCGCTAACAGTCGCCCTCTGATGGGGTTTCTGTAGTAGCTTCGCTAGCAGCAGTGCTGCTTCCTTTAGGACGGCTTGTTAATGCCGCTCTCCCATGTTTAAAATATATCATGTTCCGCCTCCACATTACTTACATTCTGCTCGTCACGGGTCTTTGTCGTAACTCATGAGATGCACTTTTCCATATGTAGCCAACCACGGTTAAATCTACACTTCCCTGACACTGGATGATTCCTGAGCTACCCAACTTTTCAGTTAAGGCGCGTTTACACTCTTATCCTCCGACGGAGGAGGAAAGCTACACATAACTTCAGTTTTTTGAATATACGGTTTTCAGCACCAACCAACTGATCCGCTCTCGTACACTCAATGTTGCTGTTTAAGACTACTGTCTGCGATGAAGTCATTCTAGCACTCACAGATCAACACTGACATGTGCAGTTGGTCATTTCCCTCACTAGACTTTTTCCCCTGCCACATTACTACGCCTTCTATAAATCAGTGTCAGACGTGTTACTTATAGAAATGGTTTGCGATCCATAAGTGGTGGTGCTTGGCTCCTAATAAAGAAAGTGAAAGGCTTACCGAGGTCCACATTGGTGGCCCAGAAACCAGAGCGACACTGAAAGCGAACGGAACTCTGAGGGACGATGGAGGGATTACAGCTTGCTCTCATCAGGTAATGGATCTGGAAAAGTATCTGGAAGACCCAAAAGAACATTCAAAAGGTTAGAAACACCATTGGAGAGTTGTCAAATTTTTGTTGAAAAAAAAAAAAAAACTCAATAGTGATCAAAATCAACTTTTGTATCTTTTTTTTTTTTTTTCATAGTTTTTCTACGGCAACGTGTAACAATGACTACACTCAACTTTTTTAGGGCTTGTTGGAGAATTTACAAACGGAAGTGTCGACTAAGGCTGTGCGGTACGGACGAAAATTCGACAAGCGTTTTCCGATTGAACCTACGACTTGAAACAGACACAGCTCCTGTCTTGGACACAAGTTGTCCTGGTGCATCTCTGGTCTCTCATCGTTCCTCCTGCATCGCTCTTTTCCGTTTTCAAGTAGCGACAAGAGTTTCTTCTTGTTGTGATAGCGGGCGAGCTGCACCCAGCATGCAGCCCGGCAGTGTAATTCCATCATTAATGTAACAAATTATTTATGTGCCACAAGCTGTTGTGTGGTGATGTTTCGCCCTGTTAAAGAGGGTTCGTTTTGAGTTATTAATTGTTGTTATCTAAGTTATAAAGAGTTAATTTCAAAACACAAAAGACAAGTAGCTCTGACCGCCATGCCCTCGGCGATGAGGTGGACAATTATATTTTGCGACAACAGGCGTCACAGCTCTGCTGGTGTATGAAGAAGGAACCCCGGTTGAACCGGCACGACGCCCGGCGCTAGTGTCGCTGTTGCAGCACGAGGCTCTAATGTGTCGAACCGTGCGAAGCGTTATTACATCTGTTCGGGATGGGTGTCTCTTATGAGACGGTGTACGCGGCAGGATTAGAAAGTCACTCACCAGTCTCTTGCAGTACAGCAGGGCCGTCCCGCTGTGGCTGGCTGTGGCCCATTTAGTGAAGCGGATGACGTGGTCGAGGTGCCTGCTCAGAGAGTTGACGTCATCTTGCTGCTTTTTCAAACCCAGCTCGTGGTCTTTAGTCAGAGCCTACGAGCAAATGTTGGCATAAAGCGTCAGACAATAAAATGCATTTGATTTGATTTTGTATAATCCCAAAAAAACGCAAATTACAAATGTGCCTCAGAGGGCTTCAGAGTATGTACACAAGCGACATCCCCCGACCCGAAACTCTCACATCGGCACAGGAAAACCTCCCCAAAAAGAATGAAAAACCCCGGTCGGTGGTGAGAAAAAAGGATTATATATATGAATTATACCTCAAGCTGGTTAACCAGAATCTTTCCCTTCCTGTTGATTTCCATGATCAGGTTACAGATGGACTTTTTTATTTCGTTGGTGACGGCCTTTCGGTTTTCCTCGACATGCTGGAGTCTATGAGTCACATTAATCAAGCATCAGTTTCAATATGCACGTTTGTGAAAGTGTTCGGTAATAACTATTCGTATATAACTACTAGTAATTATTCCATATAAAATGTATAATAAACACTATACTTATATGTGAAGAAGAAGGAAACCAGCTAAAGTTCCAGCTGCAGAGGAGAACTTTACCCAGAGCTGATACAGCTGGACACGTCCTCGATGGCCTTTCTTTTCTCTTGCAACTGCTGCGTCATGTTCTCCAGATGCTGCTTGTGGTTCCGGTATGCATCATCCAAAAACTGGTAGCTGGCCAAAAACAATATGTGCGTTCATTTAAAAAAAAAATGTTTTAAAGCTGTTGTTTGTTTGTTAGTTATTGTATTGCCAATGATCATTTATCTAATATGGGGCTATAAACTGGTTTGGACGCGAACATGCCTCTGACGTGCACACACAGGGCTTGTAAAAATGGAAAATCAGCCTACTTGTGATCCTTGTGCTTCAGCAGCTGACAGTCCCGACATGTGAGCCGGTCACACGTCTCGCAAAACAGCTTCAGCGGCTCCTGCTTGTGGACGTCACAAAACACAGGCTTCTGCGTGGACACACCTAATGCTTCTGGGATACGTACATTGAGGGCGGGGAGGGTAGAACGTAGAGAAATATAAACCTTTTTGGGAAATTAAATCTTTACTTAGCTTTTGGATACAACTACAATCATTTACATTTTGCTGACATCGACGAAGGTTACCTGGCTGCATCCATAAACATAAACAAAGGTACCAAATGCTGTATTTAACTTGTAATAGATTCATCTAATTACAGTCATTTGGGGGAGGGGTGGGGGGGGGGGGGTATCTGCTAGGTACCACAAACTACCTGGAGACATCTCCTCCTTCTGCCGTATGGTGTGATCCCTGGTGAACTTGACCCTCTGGTGCGCCTCGATACACGTCACACACAGAAACTCCACACACTCCACGCAGTAACCCGTCGCCTCGGTGTTGTCCTCGCAGCTGATGCACAACTACGGAAGACAAACGGAACGAGCAAATGAGAGGAAGGAGGAAGAAATCCCCCCGTCCCGAAGAAGATGAAAACAATCATCTAGAGTCTCAAGAGAAGGGGGGAAACGTCTGGAGGGTCGGACCGACCTGGCTGCTCTTCTCCATGGTGCTGCTCGGGACCTCAGCCGAGTCCTTCACGAAGAAATTATCCAACATGTCCATCTCCCAGCATTCCTGGCGGCACACTGGACATCGCACAGCGCCCACTGGAGCAGGAGAGACAAAATCCACCATTTAAAAAATGTAAAATTAAAAGGGAGGGACAGCTCAAGTCACGATGGACATGAGACCAGGACTTTAGGACTCTAAACTTTAGGTTAACTAAATACATGCATCACATATTTGGAGTGGGGGGGGGTCGCTTCTCACGTGATTTGCTGTCCACTGGAGCCTGGGAGTCTCGTCTCGGGTCGGCACTTCTGTGGGGGACAGGGAGACACCTCTTGCAGAAGGAGTGGAGACACGGCAGGAGTTTGGGCTCTCTGTTGTGGAAGCTCAGCTTGCAGATGGGACAGGTGTCCATGAGCCCGAAGGCGCCTTGCGGCTTCAGCCGCTCGTCCTCGGCGGGCAAACTTTCCGCCTCGTTTTCCACAATGATGACAATGTCGTCGTTGTCGACATTTTCAAGACTTTCATCCATTTTGGTTTTTTGTTGTTGCTTCTCGGCGCTTTTCCCTTGTGCGCCGATCAATACGGCGTTACGACAGGAAACAAAGGGAAGCCTCTTCCCGATTCAACGAGCCACACCGCGAATATAATACATGTTAATATCACGCATGGCGGCCTTAAAAAGAGACATTTCATCCTAGAAGGAGGTTTATTACGCGGACAGATCAAGTGAAAGTCCAACTATTAATCATTTCCGTTACGAAAGCTACATTAGCAACGTAGCCTGGTTTCAACAGTACGTTATAGACAGAAGCTACGCAGAATCCAGTCCTTGGTTTTAAGGCGTTTACAGCTCCAACACAAGGCAGAAAAAACTGCCCACAGTCGCTTATGATCTTAAATTTACGCTGCAAACATATGGTTGTAAAACGTAAAGCTCATATGTCCAAGGGAAAGGCGACCATCTGCACTCTTCTTCTTCTTCTTCTTCTTCTTCTTCTTCTTCTTTGGTTTTCAAATGGCGGATCGCCACCAGCTTGACTACGTGCAGACCGCCGCCTGCTGCACCGGAGCGAGCGGATTGTGCTCAGACTGCCACTAATACCTGGATCCTATACGTAGATATTATTTACATATAATATCTATGGATCCTGCAGGCAGTGCTTCATCGTTACGTACTGTTTCTGACAGAATTGAAGCATAAGCAGCATTCCACTAATAATATACCATAATATATCTCACCAGACTGTCATGTAGCTCAACTTAAGACAGTTCATTTCAATAATTAAATTAAATTAAATTAAACACAGCTAGTGAACTAGTGAACTTGTTTGTTTTAAATTTGTAAAATGCCTGCCTGTCTGTATCTCTCTCCTTCTCTCTAAACAGCTGGACTAGCTTTGAAATTACGTTAAGTTTTTTGTTTGTTTATTTTTTAGGAAACGTCGGAGCTGTTGCGACTAATCTTTTCAGCGGCGCTAATGTGGTTAACTTACAACCGGGGCGAGAACAAGAACTCAAATAAATGATATCAAAACACATTTGGGGGAAATTGATGACAGAGAGAGTCATTTTTATTCAAATATTGATAAATGAATAAAAAAAAGTCTGCTCCAGCAGAAGGGCCACCTGTCTCACCCAGGGCAAAGGGGCAGATGCTTGAGCACCACTAGGTCTATCTGTGCACGTGGCTGACCTCTTGTTTATGTACTCTTGAGTTTGATGGCCAATATCACACACGCGTTTTCCCCCACCCATTATCCCCTCTAATCAAACTTATGCATAATATACATTTTTTACCGCTGGTTGTTATTATTGTTGTTATGTTAATATTTGGCAATTAAAAGGTGAGGTTAGCTTTCAAAAGTATAATTTATTCAGTCACATTAATAACAAAGGGCATTTTGAGTTTCATATACTATTGAAACAAGGATTTTCTTAGCTTTCTAAAGACATCACATCATCTTTGTAGCCAAAATAAACAAGACATGTCACTGAACTGTTTAACTGTGTAAAGAAAAGTGTCCCAGTTTCGTAGCCTTTTTGACTTTACATGCCTGTATTAAAACATTTTCCGAACTGTGCAAAAAAAGAAAATAAACATATCAAGTGTCCCATTCACTTGTTGTATTCCCACATTTTAATGTTCTTCAGTTCTTCTTTTCTCATTCATTGTGAGAAACCCAGTCTCTGTTGAGCTTTAACAGGTCCATCAAAGTCAGGTTGAATGTCTGAGGTGGAGATGAGCATCTGTCAGCTGTGCCTCGCATCAGTGAGAGAGGATCTGTACCTGGATTTGGTAAACTTCATGACTGAGAATGTCTGTTCACATATGTAGGTGGATCCACAGATAACCAACATCTTCTGAGCACGTCTCCTCATGTTTGGAAAGTTCTCCTCTTTGAGAGCAGAGTAGAACTCTGATGCTGACTTAAAGTGCTCTTTCAGTAGTGAATCAGACTGCAGGTCAGTGAGTTCAGTAGGTCAAATGTTCAGCAATCTGCCATCCAGTCCTTATCAGACAGCTCTGGGATGGTTTTGTCTTTCATCTCACAAAACTCTTTTATCTCTGATTTCAGAACTCAAAACCTTTTTAGCACTTTGCCCAGACTGAGCCGTGTGACAGCTGTGTGGGACATCACCATGTTCGCTCTCTTGCTAATCCAATAGTGAAACAAACTGCCTGTGATTTAATGCTCCGCTCTGATGAAATTAACTGTTGTACTTCACCCACAGCCATACTAAGTTGGGTCATGGTGCAGTTATCAAACAGTAACAATTAAGCACAACACAACAGAACCTAGAAAAACACGCATAAACTTAAACACTAGAACATGAACATAACGGATAGGGATCTAAATGCATCCGAAGATTGTCCCATAATGCAATGCACCTGCAATGCAGCCTAACGCAATCTGCCTCCGATTGCTACATAGCCCCCACCTGAAGGGTCAGTTGTCCTCAACCACCCCATCACCTAGCACAAAGTCTCTCCAATGTCCCGGTAGACGCCATTGGCGTACAGGACGTCGTCGGCTTGCGGAAGGCACATTTGGGGAACCACTTGTACCAGCACCGTCACTGCCCTCTCCAGTTCTCGCCGGGCTCCTGCCAGTGGCTGCAAAGCTTGGGGGAGACGCCCTTCTTCCGGACTGGACAATACACCCAGATCTGGACCCCGGGTACGAGTGCTTGCCCCTGGCCCCTGGTGTCATAGGCTCGTTTCTGCCGCACTCTGGAGCTGGCCTGGGCCTGGCGAGTATAGTCATGGACCACCTGCAGGCGATCCCTCAATCAACGACAGTAGTCCATTGCTGTCCCTCCGCTGATCTTGGGCTCGGGGGGAGCCCCAAACACCAAGTCGACTGGGGTCTGTAGTTCTCGCCCGAACATGAGGCAGCAGGTGTGCATCGGCTGGACTCCTGGACAGCTGTCCGGTAGGACCACAGGACCAATGGTAGGTGGCGGTCCCAGTCACGCCAGTGTTGGCTGGTGAGGATAGCAAGTTGGGTGGCTAGCGTGCGGTTAAACCGTTCCACCAAGCCATCACTCTGGGGGTGCAGGGGTGTCGTCCTGGTCTTGCTCACCCCGAGCTGACGGCAAACCTCGCTGAAGACCTGGGACTCAAAGTTCCGCCCTTGGTCGCTGTGCAGCTCAGCAGGGGCCCCGAAGCGGGCAAACATCTTCACCACCAGTCTTTCCGCAATCGTGATGGCGCTCTGATCCGGCACAGCATAAGCCTCGGGCCACTTCGTGAAATAGTCCATGGCCACGAGGACATAACGGTTGCCAGAATCTGTGACCGGAAAGGGCCCAAGAATGTCCACTCCTACTCGCTCCGAGTCTTGGTATTCCCATAGTGCCCCGCCCCACCGAGCCGTGGACAAGCTTTAGGACTTGGGGGCGGAGTGTGCGAGGCACCAGCAATTGTACAAGGTCGCGTCCTCTTTCAGGAGCCCTCCACCTCCGGTACAACCCCCCGTCGTGGAACTCAAAGTTACCCCATTGCGAGTAGTAGGCCTTTACCTCGGGCCCCAGTGCTGATACCACAGCCCACTCGGGGCGCTGCTCTGCTTCCAGCCAACTTCTAACTAATGCCAGAGTCCCGTCCTCCTTCTGCTGCTGCTCTAACTGCAGGCTGGTCAGTGGGAACAGGTCCGCTTCGCCTGCACCGTCGTCACTGCTGGCATTGATTGGTCCTGTTCCTCCTGTCGCTGACAGTAACGGCACTCAACAGCCACGCAGGGGCATCTGGAGAGTGCATCGGCATTGCCATGATGTCGCCCTGCCCGATGCTGAATTTCAAAATCATGCTCTTGTAGGGCCTCCAGCCATCGAGCCACCTGCCCTTCCGGATTTTTGAAGTTCAGGAGCCAGTGTGGGAGGCATGATCAGTGCGGATCAGGAAGCGGCTGCCGTGCAGGTATGGCCGGAAGTGCTGTAGCGACCGGACCACCGCTAGCAGCTCACGTCGTGTCACACAGTAGTTCCTCTCCGCCCGGCTCAAGGAGCGACTGAAGTACGCCACCGCACGTTCCCCCTCGTCGCCGTGTTGGGAAAGGACAACCCCGATCCCCACGTTGCTGGCATCAGTGTCCACAATAAAGGGCCGGCGGGCATCAGGGTAGGCTCAAAGGATCGGGGCTTTGGTTAGCGATGCCTTGAGTCGGTTGAAGGCTACGGTGCAGGTGTCATCCCAGAGGAATGGCTGGACCAGGTTAGTCAGACGATGGAGGGGACTGGCAATCGAAGCAAAATCTCGGATGAAGCGCCGATAGTATGACCCCAGGCCCAGGAAACTTCTCAACTCACTGACGTTAGCTGGGGTTGGCCAGTCCTTTACTGCAGTCACCTTTGCTGGGTCTGTAGCTACACCACGAGCACTGACAATGTGGCCCAGGAAAGCTGTTTCCCTTGTTAGCACTCGGCACTTCGCAGGGTTGAGTCGCAACCGGGCATGGCGGATGGCGGTGAATACTTCTTGAAGGTTGGACGGATGGGCTGTGCAGAGCCGGTATTGATGGAATGCTGGACCAACTCTGTCTGCGTGCAGTCTTTGTCTATTGCCACAAATATGTCCGTATAATTATCCAGAAGACACTTCAACTGACGCTGCTGTTCCGGGTCCAGACCAGCACTGCTGTGCTTCCATAAATCACGGACGGATGTGCAGGGCCACTGGCGACGGATGGCATGGGTGGTGGTGCGGCCCTACCGGACTGGAGCTCCACAATCTCTGTGCCAAGGGTGATGGTTGCTCCTAACACGTTGACACAGGCACCCCAGCGAGTAAGCAGGTCCAAGCCGATGATACATAGGTCCCGAATGTCAGCAAGCCAGAACTTGTGCACCAGCTCCTGTGCCCCAGCCTGGACTTTCAGTGCCTTGGTCCCTCTCATGCCCGCTCGTTCCCCTGTTACCGTGACCATTTGAGTGGTGGTTGTCGACCAAGTCTTTGGGAGGTCTCCGCTAGTGCCAGGGAGGATGCCAGGTCGTACCAAGGAGATGGTGGACCCTGTGTCGACCAGCGCCCGACACGGTTAGCCATCCAGTTTGCAGTTCAAGTACAGCCATTCAGTGTATCAGAGGCGGCCAACTAAAGTGCATCGGCCATGGAGGGGGAATGGAGGCCGGAATTGTGCACCCCTCGCTACACCATTCCTTTGTCGTTTCCCGCTGGTGGAGAGTCTCAGAGTTTCGGTGTTGGGGCTGGGCATTTCCTGGTCAGCGTTTTTGAATTTAGGTTGTGGACATCAAAAATTCTGTAACACCTTCTGGAGAAACTCAAAGGTGTACTTCAGGTTTTTAGGAAAGCTGAGGTCAAGGGCCCAAAAAGCATGATGACTGGCATGGTAACACTGTCTATATTGTTCATCACTTTAAAATCTTTGATTTCACAATTGTTTTTAAAAGAACATTTTTAGAGGGGTGTGGTTACTCAAATGCCATCCTAGAACATTCTTTAAATTTTCCCCAGTTGGCTTTATGAAACCCTTTCTATCTTTTGTAGTACCCTCCTGTGTAACAGTTCTGCAATTTTCTGAGAATAATATTGGGTAATGGTCACTTATGTTCGACTTGCTCAATACATCCCAGTCACAAAACTTACTCATACAGTATCTCCGGAGACCAAGGTGAGATCTAAGCAGGATACTACATTTCGACAGACGGATGCTTATTCCTCCATAACTTCTTCTACTACCCCTCCGTTTGCTATCTGTACCCTCGCCTCCCTATAGTGAATTACGCACGTTGAAATCGCCGCACCAAATTTCCCCTTTTCCATTATTCTCTGATATCTCGTGGAGCATTTCCAAAGAGATCTTTTTAAACGGATTCTAAAAGTTCACGACGTTCATATCTCCTCTGCATACCTCGATCACCACACATTCATACTGCTCTGGTATGTTCATTTCCCGGTATGATAAGGTATCACCTTATCACCTTAATAAATGATAGCCCCCCCCCCCCCCCTTTGTTTTTCAGTTCTATCGCGTCTGACAGAGCTGTATCCTGTAATGACAAAGTCCAAGCGAGGTTTAAGCCTAAGTTTCTTGGATACAGATAACGTCTGGCACATCTTTCAGTTCAGCCACAACTCTCTTAAGTTCTTGCCCATTGGGGAATAGACATCTAGCATTCCACTGTAGGACATGTAACACCATTAGGATGTTAACCACCCTCTACAATTGTCTTAATTCAGTCAAGTTTTTTTCCTTTTGTTGCATTGCCAAATTCATGTTTTTGCATATAAATGCAACAAAGCACATTTTAACAATGAGCGTGTCCTCGTTTATCTCTTGTATGGGTTTACCTGCCCCAAGATGCACAAGGTGCACGTGCGCGTTCCCCCTGGGTGCTACCTTATCGGTTACCTTCACCTTTTTTTAACTGCTTCTGCATAAGACAACTCGATTGAGTATTTCATACTTCTGCGCTGCCTTTGCTTGCATTTGAACTGGCCGGCGCTGTGTTCACCTCCATAGTTACAGCATTTTCATTTTCCGTCCACATTTCCCGTGCTCGTGCTCGCCGCCACATCGCGCACGTGTCTGCTTCCCTTCAGCTCGCCCCGCCGTGTGTCCCACATCCTTTTGACACTTGAAGCATCTTAACGGAGCTGGAATAACACCATAGCTCACGTGTCCCATGTTCCTTTTCTCAGTTTTAATGGATGGATTCCTTATTCAATGTAATCACTGCTTTCCATTCTGCTGCAACATCCTTTTCCACCGCAATCTATACAGTAATATTTCATGGAAATATACATGAGCATAGAGGAGGTAAACATGAACTAGGATCAAGTGAAAGCAGAGTGTTACCGTTTTGTGATCTGTTTTAAAGACAGTTCAAAGATTGAGAAAAGACGAATACCATGTCATTATTACTGATTTCATCTTTACTTTTCTCAAAATCTATACAGTAATATTTCATGGAAATGTACATGAACATAGAGGAGGTCAACATGAACTAGGATCAAGTGAAAGCAGAGTGGTACCGTTTTTGGATCTGGTTTAAAGACAGTTCAAAGATTGGGATAAGACACTTTACAAATGGGCCTTGAAGGCCGTAAGTTATTTTACCCTAACACCTTAAATAGAGGCACATTTCATTTTTGAAATGCGGTCCATATGACCGCAGTCTTAACCTTCACTTTCTTTCTTTTTTATTCTCGTCGCCAAAATCATTTCCGGAGAAGCCCTTGTCGCTTCTCTTTCTGGTAGCTTCTTGCATTGTCATATGCAAGACGTTTGTCACCCATGTCCTGTGCATTCAGGGTACAGTTTGTTGTTCTCCGCACACTCTTTGCAGGAGGCAAACGCCGCAAACCACATTTTACCCAGTGCGCACGATCCTGTACGGTGCTCTGTTGGGTCCAAACTCCATCCCGCGGACACGCAACACGGGAGAAAAAAAAGAGATTTTTCAAATCAACGGTCCCAAATGTGTAAAAGATTGAGCTCTATATTAATTTTGTATAGTTATCATTTAACCTCGTTTTGCGTGTTGGATGCGGGGTTGTGTTTTTGCGGTATGAATAAGTTGTCATTCAGTGTGGGAGGATCCTTTGGGCAGGATGTGAAATATAATCAGGAAGGAGTTTCTGCTGTGGTCAAAGTGCAGCCAAATAGGCCTAACTTAAAGTGAGACAGTTTGCCTACTCAATCTAAAAGAACGCAGACAATTCAAATAGTAGTTCGAAGAGTTTGAAGAGCATGGACTTGACAGTTGAGAATCACTCTATTCCTCTGAGTGACGGAAACAGCATACCACTAATTGGACTGGGAACATATGGGGATCCACGCACGGTAAACCGCACTATTTCAACAGATTGTTTATTAGGAAATGAATTAAAAAATGCGCATGCAAGTCACATAATAACATTGTCAATTTACTCTACGTGATTTTGTAAGATATTATTCACTCATGAGAATTTTGTCTTTTTGATAGACTCGTAAAGGACTAACTTATGAGTCCGTCAAAGTGGCAATTGAAAAAGGGTACAGACACCTTGATGGGGCGTTGGTCTATTTCAATGAGCACGAGGTGGGACAAGCAATAAGGGACACAATTGCAGATGGGACTGTGAAGAGAGACGACATCTTCTACTGCGGGAAGGTTTGCAGTTTGCTTGTTTGCCGTTTGAAAAGTGTTTCCCAGCCTTTTGGCTTGACCTCTGAAATCTGCCTAAAATAGACTGCACGCACGGCTGCAAATGACAACTAACGCATTCTCCGTCTGCATTGGTTGATCCAGCTGTGGAACACATTCCATCCCCCAGAATTGGTTCGACCTGCTTTGGAGAAAACTTTGAAGACATTAAAGCTGGATTATGTCGACCTCTACATCATAGAAATGCCCACAGCCTTCAAGGTATGCATGCATTAAATGTCACAAAGTACAAAGATTCCGGTTCAATTGTTAACAGTTTTACAATGTTTTTTTGTTTGTTTTTTGGGATATTTCTTGATACCCATTGCTGTGAATTATGCCACTGAATATATATTCTTTTTTCGTTTTCTAAAGCCAGGAGATACATTTTACCCCAAAGATGAGAATGGGAAGCTCATTTATCATGAGACAGATCTCTGTGCAACATGGGAGGTGAGACTTGTTTGTAAATAATCTACGGAGAACACTGACTATAGTTGAATGCATAAATATGCACCCCATACCTGGAAGATGAGCTACTGGTATCAATCGCTAAAAAGTTCAGTTCAATGACACAGAAAGACATTAGAAATGTGCTGAAGGTCAGTCTCCTGTGTTTTCTGCCTATTTCTGTTGTTGTCTGTGACTGTTTTTACGTGGACAGGCTTTGGAGGCTTGCAAAGAGGCTGGGCTGGTAAAGTCTCTTGGAGTGTCCAACTTCAACAGGAGACAACTGGAGTTGATCCTGAACAAACCTGGGCTGAAACACAAGCCTGTGTCGAACCAGGTAAAGAGACGGGAAAATACAACACAGAGACATGCATTCAGCAGTGGATTATAAAAAGAAAATAATACAAAACAGTAGCCATGTAAAAACTACTCGCGTTGGCTCATACACACACTCACTAAAACCCATTCGTTTTTTTAATACAGGTTGAATGCCATCCCTATTTCACTCAGCCAAAGTTGCTTGACTACTGCAAGCAGAAGGATATTGTCATTGTGGGATACAGCCCTCTGGGGACATCTAGAGATGCATCATGGTATGGAAGAGAAATTTACCACATTCAGTTAATGTGTAACCTGTAAAGGTGATTGTATTCTAGGGAACTATTGTTATGACGATGTACAAACAGTATAAAATTTGATGGTATTTCTGGTGTCTTCCTGAAATGAATTACTTAAATTTTAACAGGGTAAACCTCAAATGCCCCCCATTGCTGGAGGACGAGCTACTGGTATCAATCGCTAAAAAGTACAACAAGACCACAGCCCAGGTGGCGTTGAGGTTCAATGTTCAGCGAGGAGTAGTGGTCATCCCAAAGAGCTTCGACCCTTCTCGCATCGCTGAAAACTTTCAGGTTTGTTTGCATTGCATCAGTATGGAGATTCGCCGGGTAGAGCCTGCGACTGATCTTGTAGAAAAACAGAAAATATCTGAAACGCGTTGTTTTTAATGCTACAGATCTTCGACTTCTCTCTCACTGATGCCGAGATGAAGGCAGTTGAGGGATTGAACAAGAAGATTCGTTTTGTGGAGCTTCTCATGTGAGTATATATGAGAAGTTCTACACTTAAGTTCTGTTCCAAATAAATACATATTATTTGTTTTCATTGACTCAACAGGTGGTCCGATCACCCAGAGTATCCGTTCCACGATGACTACTAGATACCAATGATGCCAAGACTTCATTTCAACAAACAACTACCTTTGTTTGTTTTGTTGCATGCTTTTACATGTTTGGCCGTTTTTACTTGGGAAAAAAACAACAGTAGCCTTTTTATGCTGCAGTTAATGAACCATGTATTTATTTAACGATATCATATCAGTTTGTATTATCATTTCAATGATTTAAAGACAAATAGTAAACGCAACCTTGATTATTTTACTTGAGACGGGAGTATAGCTCCTGCTGATTGTAAGCTGTCATTGTTTTATCCTTATAATACATCCATTTATGAATGTGATATTTTAGATCGAAAAATAAATAACTTGGATCATGTTCACTATTTAGTGCTGATTAACGCCATATTAAATAATGTGGCCTTCAGGTAACGTGGGAATGTTCATGTTACGCAAATATGTACAGTTGGCTGTCAAAATATTTTTACGGGTAAATAGTTGCTCAACATCTGGCATGCGGATAGTAAACCTTGTACGTTTTTAACAACTGATGTAACCACATGCATTCCTAATAATATACAAAATATCATCGTTTACAATACATTTTACTGATTCAGCGCAATAGCAGACATTATTCTCCGTTTCTCCTACAAGTTGTTATCCAACCTGCGAACTCGGAAGTAGTATAACGTTTCCGAGTGTTAGTGAATGCACCATAACAGCTATACAACCTTGCTAGTTGTAGCTAGCACGTTGGCTAATGCGGATACAGTACCCATAGACGACGTTATATGCTCGGGAAGGGACAACCGGCTCAACCAAACAAGGGGATTATAACCTTCTTTCTATGTGGTTCCGATTAACTTGCCGAAGTCATGGCGGACTGTCCTCCTCCGCGAACTTTCTCAGCTAATGCCGATGTTAGCTGCGCAATGAGCTGCAGCAGCAGCTAAGCGATTAGCCGAGCAAATTAGCTGTATGCTAGTTTTTCACAGCTTCAGATGCTTCAATGAATGAGGGCTGTCGCACGGACAGGAGGCATCAGTAAACAATGTACGCTGGCTACTAGCCTCCTCCTTGTTGTGGTCCAGCTCGGCTGGTTCTAGGCAATCAGATCCTCGGAGAAGTAGAAGGTTCCAGGCTATAGATTATTTAGAGAAGAGCGACGGTCAGTTCCGTTCGCTAATGGACATTAGCAGGTAGCCACGGGGACTAATTCAACCGGGAATAACTTTGTTGGAAATACATCATAGCGAAGAAATCCTGCCTTACCCGGGTACATAATTAGACTTAGCAATAGCAATGCTAGCTTGCGCTGCGATATTACGTAGCCAGCATCGCAACGACAAAGCCAGGGGGATCTTTCGTTTGCAAAGTTATATTCGATCCTTATGAACGCCCCTGGCTCGAGTCCTCGCAGCAGAGTTTTTTTTTAATTTTATTTATTTGCGTAACGTTACCTGCCGTTTGCGAGAATGATGGCGTTTGGGACCAACACCACCCTCGGTCCCAGGTAGGGGAGCGGTGGTGAAGACTCACTGGCCTGGCTGGTCCCGGGCCCCTTGTTTACCGATGACGGCGAGACATTGATCATTAAGCAGCTATGTCGTTGTGTTGATGTATTCACCTCGCAAAGCGGATTATGAATCGCGACCTGGATGCCATCAAATGCCGTCAAAGTAGTGAATCATGACGGACACGGAGGAAGTTCCCCAAGACGAAAATTATTGGAAGTAATCATGGACTGCTGAGCTCAACTGTGTGTGTGTGCATTATTTTATTTTTTTAAATCAAAAACTGCTTTTTTTAAAAGTCTGTTTCACCGGCACCGCATCGACATGTCCGCGTTCGCGGAGTTCGTGCCCCCTCCGGAATGCCCGGTTTTTGAGCCGAGTTGGGAGGATTTCTCAGATCCTTTAGGATACATCAACAAGATCCGACCCATTGCAGAGAAAACGGGCATCTGCAAGATCCGGCCGCCCGAGGTACAAACTATTCTGGTCTTATTATCATTTTTTTAAACCTTACAATAAGAAAGTGTTTCGGTGCCCCGTTAAAAGCCCCTGCGTAGATCGGGGAGCTTCACCGGGGCCTGCGAGAATCTCTGCGGCGACGTCACAATGTTCCCAACGCGCCCCATTAGAGGTCAAGTACGGCTTCGTTGCCTCGCACGCAACAGTGCACGTATTGTACTTGCATTTCATATGCAGGAAAGTTTTAGAAAGGGGAAATGTATTGCAAGTTTCGGCCTCAATTAGCTTTGTTTTTGTTTTCTTCGTTGCTAGCATATGGAATATAAACTAATATTTCTGTTATGGAGACTAGCAAGCAATCAATACATCACATTTGCATGTTCTAGCACCTTTTTTAAGGTGTTGAGGCGTCACTGTGGCCACTTAAGCTCCTTTGCCCCTTTTAGAATGAACAGAATGAAACAAAAGCTTGAATTTCTAATTTTAAATGATTTTGATCGTGTAATGAATAGTGAGGACTTCCTATGCTGCGCTTGTGTTCTTTCCTCTCGAGAATGTCAGCTGTTGCTCTCGTTTCCTCATTGGTTAACGCTGATTTCTCGTCCATCAGGACTGGCAGCCTCCCTTTGCCTGTGATGTGCGCAACTTCCACTTCACCCCTCGGGTGCAGCGGCTGAACGAACTTGAGGTGAGTTTCCCAAAAAGTTGCATCCCGACCGCAGCGATAACCGAGTGGGGGCGCGTCGCAGACGCCGCTTTCTGAATGACATTCGGAGTGACGTGCATTTGGTGTTATTTAAACTGCGATCCATTTCCATTGAAACATTTGGGAGGAACCCGAGGAGCTGCGCTCGGAGGTGTGTGATCGCATGCTAGAGATTCCTTGGGTGGAGCTACGCAGACTTCACCTACGATGTCTTCTGCCTTACACGAGATTCACGTGTTGTCATTTGCCAGAAGGGTCGCTTGTGTTGGTAAGAGCAGAACGCTGGGCTGCATCCTGAGGGCCTCTGTTCTCTCTCCCGCCCGTGCAGGCCCTCACTCGGGTTAAGCTCAACTTCCTGGATCAAATCGCTAAGTTCTGGGAGCTGCAGGGATCCAAGACTCGATTTCCTCACGTGGAGAGAAAAGTGCTGGACCTCTATCAGCTCAGCAAGGTAATATCAGATCAATTTCTTTTATTATTTTTTAGTTGTATATGGAATAACTTTGATTTCAGCCATTTTTACCAGCCTTTTAGTCTCTGCACTTTGCTGTTAAGTGTTTTTTTTTGTCTGTCCTTAACGCTAGTAAAACTGCTCATGTCGTACCCGTGCGTTACAGATCGTGTCCTCAGAGGGCGGCTTTGAGAGCGCGTGCAAAGAGAAGAGGTGGTCCAAGGTGGCCAGCAGGATGGGCTTCCCCGCTGGGAAAGGCACCGGCTCACTGCTGCGCTCCCACTATGAGAGGATCCTTTATCCGTATGAACTCTTCCAGTCCGGTGCCACGCTGACTGTGAGTGCTGCTTAATAAACAGAAGCTGTGCGGGGGACTTTTTTTTCATTTTTTTATTTTACCGGGCAAATTCTTTTATGGCCCAGTGTCGTTCTTAATTTTCGTAAAATGCAACTGGTTTTCACTCGTCTCTTTTCTCCAACCAGGGCATCCAGCGGCTATACGACGAAGGCGACGACGAGGACGAGGTGGATGAGGGAGTCGGCGAGGAGGCGGATGAGGACGAGGAGCAGGATGAGGAGGAGGAGGAGGAGGAGGAAAAAGATGGAGAGGGTGACACCATGCAGACTAAAGAGCAACTTCTGCCCGAGAGACGCTCCAGGCGCCTTAAGTCTGAGGTAAAAGGGGAAAAATACATTTGCATTTTTTTGTATATGTATACTAAGCTGATCTCAAAAGTATAATATAGTGTTGGTTATTTTTAAAAACGGGTTTGCTGAAAGTCCCGGTAGTTGACAAAGAATGCTATTTATTTAAGACTTAGTCCGTCTCGGGTGTGCAGGCGTGCTGCCCGGAGGCCGTTTAACATTTGGCCTTCTGGCAGGATGCCTTTGTTTCCCAGTGGGCTGATATTGTGTTTCTCCAGAGGGAAAACAAGGAGCCAAAAGGCCTCAAGATCTTTGGTACGAGTCCCAAGATGGTTGGCTTGGAGATCGTGTCGGCTGGTAGGCATCACTTCTGGTTGACCTGTATTTTTATTCATTTTCTACACACAGCTGACACTGAGTACAAAGTCAGCAGCGTCCCCGTAAGCGCTCCTGTCCTCACGCCACCGCTTTCCCCTTTCTGTAGACGACGGATTGAACAAGAAGCAGCGTCACCTCAAAGCCCAGGCCTTCGCCATCAAAATGAGGCCACGCAAGGAGACCCTGGAGGTCAACTTTGTGAGTGCCGGTTGATTTCCCTGGGGGTTCATGTTAAAACGACATCCGTGAGGAACTCTGGGCGTGACCACCTCCCGTGTCGTCTGTGGCTGTTTCCCCCTCCCGCCGCCTAGATTGACCTCTACCTCTGCCTGGTGTGTGGACGGGGCGACGAGGAGGACCGGCTCCTGCTGTGTGACGGCTGTGACGACAGCTACCACACCTTCTGCCTCATCCCGCCTCTGCAGGATGTGCCCAAAGGGGACTGGCGCTGCCCAAAGTGTGTCGCCGAGGTGAGCCCGTCAAAATCCCTTAAGAAAGATGAAATTAATGAATTGATTGCAAAAATTGTGTTTACAATCCATTCTAAATGAATGTGTTTTTTTTTTTAATGTGTTGGTTTTTTTGTGTATTGACGATTATATTCTTTTTTTTTTTTTTTAAACGAATGACAGGAGTGCAGTAAACCCAGGGAGGCGTTTGGCTTTGAGCAGGCAGTGAGGGAATACAGTCTGCAGAGCTTCGGAGAAATGGCTGACCACTTCAAGTCGGACTATTTCAACATGCCCGTTCACGTATGTAAAATCCCCCCGGGGAGCTTGAGTGTGTGTATGTTGGGGTTCTTCCCATCATCTGGCCGGCACACATTCCTTTACTGACAGGAGGTGAAGTGTGCTGATCACTGCCGGCTTCTCCCCTGTTGAGCGAAGGCACGGGATTCCATCATTTCCGCCTTGTGCCTCCAGATGGTCCCCACGGAGCTGGTGGAGAAGGAGTTCTGGCGCCTGGTCAGCAGCATCGAGGAGGATGTCATCGTGGAGTACGGAGCTGACATCAGCTCTAAGGAAGTGGGGAGCGGCTTTCCTGTCAGGGACGGGAAAAGGAGGCTGCTGGGAGATGAGGAGGTGAGTAGATTGATACTTTGGGTTTCTAAGAATATGACTTGTTTTATTTGTCAGTACTTGGGGTGCATAAGGCATTAGCCGCATCCTTTGATTCATCAAACTTCCATCTCACGGATCCCAGCTTTAAAAAAATGTATTAATGGCAGTGAATTAAGTGAAAACATGACCCCCACCCTCCCCTCCTGCCCTGCAGTGAAAGAAAGCAATTTGTTTCTTCTCCCATTAGGAGTATGCCAACTCAGGCTGGAACCTGAATAACACGCCAGTGCTGGAGCAGTCGGTGCTCACCCACATCAATGTGGACATCTCAGGTATGAAGGTGCCCTGGCTCTACGTGGGCATGTGTTTCTCCTCATTCTGCTGGCACATCGAGGACCACTGGAGTTACTCCATCAACTTCCTGCACTGGTGAGACTCACGTTTGGCTAAAAGTACACTGCAAAACAAAAGCATGCTGCAGTTATTTGAAAAAAGTAAAACTAATGTATTATTGTGTGTCTCACTGGAAAAGAGCATCAGCTAAATGTATTTATTGTGAATGCATTCCTTGTTTCCTCCCCTAGGGGTGAACCAAAGACTTGGTACGGAGTGCCGGCCTCTGCGGCAGAAAAACTGGAGGCCGTCATGAAAAAGTTGGCTCCAGAGCTGTTTGACTCCCAGCCTGACCTCCTCCATCAACTGGTCACCATCATGAACCCCAATGTCCTCATGGAGCACGGAGTCCCCGTATGTAGTCTGAGGCGGGAGGGTTTTCTGCAGGCTGCCTCCGATTTTAGAAATCAGATTGTGCAGGTCATAATTGTCTGTTAGTGAGTCACGTGTTCATGTTTCCTCCCTCAGGTGTACAGGACCAATCAGTGCGCAGGGGAGTTTGTGGTCACCTTCCCCAGGGCCTATCACAGCGGCTTCAACCAGGGCTACAACTTCGCGGAGGCCGTTAACTTCTGCACCGCTGACTGGGTGAGGGGGAAAGCCACGGCATCATTACCGCATTGGCATTTCTTTCTGCTTGTCGTCGATCGCGTGCGCTCATCTTTCACACGTTCCCCTTCGTCAGTTGCCCATGGGTCGTCAGTGCGTGGCCCATTACCGTCGCCTCCACCGCTACTGCGTCTTCTCCCACGAGGAGCTGCTGTGCAAGATGGCCGCCGATCCAGAGAGTCTGGACGTGGAGCTGGCTGCCGCAGTCGTCAAGGAAATGGCCGAAATGATGGAAGAGGAGACCAAACTCCGACAGGCTGTCCAGGAAAAAGTAAAATGCTCGGCCAATTATCCAGAACTTCCAAGTGCACAAATCAAGAGAGGAGGGAAACAGTTACTCTTTAACAAAGCTGCTGCTGCTGAGTTACTGTGGCCGTACGTTTTGCGATGACGTCATCCTTCTCCTCTGCAGGGGGTACTGTCGTCGGAGCAGGAAGTTTTTGAGCTTTTGCCCGACGACGAGCGCCAGTGTCACAAGTGCAAGACGACCTGCTTCCTGTCTGCTCTGACCTGTTCCTGCAGCCCCGACCGACTGGTCTGCCTGAGCCACGCGGCAGACCTGTGTGACTGCCCACCTGGCAACAAGTGTCTCCGGTAAGATATCCGACGTGTCCGGGAAACAACGGCCTCCGCATGTTCTTCACCCACATTCAAGTGTATATATCCGCATGGTTTTATTTCAGGTACCGCTATGATCTGGAGGAGTTTCCGTCCATGCTGCATGGGGTCAAGACTCGGGCGCAGTCTTATGACACCTGGGCAAAGAGGGTCACGGAGGCCTTGGCTGCCGATCAGAAAAACAAGAAAGGTTTCACAAACTACCACGAGATATGCACAAGTTGCACATCTATTTGTGCCATTGCGTGACAATTTCTTTTTCTGGCCGTGTCTCATAGATCTTATTGAGCTCAAGGTTTTGCTAGAGGACGCGGAGGATAGGAAGTATCCCGAGAAAGCTTTGTTCCGACGGCTGAGGGAGATGGTCAAAGAGGCGGAGACGTGCTCCTCTGTGGCTCAGCTGCTGCTCAGCCGCAAGCAACGGCACAGGTCAGTGGCCGGAGATGCACGAGGCCTCAAATGTCGTCCAGCAGAAAAGCAACTCACCAGCAAATCAATGCTGCATCTGCTGGGGTTCAAAGGTGAACTAAAACCCTCTCTGTACGCCTGCAGCGCCCGTCTACGTTCTGAAATCAGTCGTAACCGTACCAAGCTGACAGTGGATGAGCTCAAGGCCTTCGTGGATCAGCTCTACAGGCTGCCCTGCATCATCAGCCAGGCCAGACAAGTCAAAGTGAGCCCCTTCCCACTCACCAATGAAACACGGTTCCTTTTTCTTCTTTCCCCCCTAACGTCCCTAAACACCCAATACTATCAAACTATCGCCAAAACTTGTGTGTCACATGTCGTGTCTCCAGGAGCTACTGGAGAATGTGGAGGACTTCCACGAGCGAGCCCAGGTGGCCCTGTCGGACGAGATGCCGGATTCCTCCAAGCTGCAGGCGCTGTTGGACCTGGGCAGTGGCCTGGACGTGGAGCTGCCCGAGCTGCCGCGACTGAAGCAGGAGCTCCAGCAGGCCCGCTGGCTCGACGAGGTGGGCTTTCGGGACCCTTTCGGGCATTTTGCCGTCTGGCCTGCCTGTTGTTAATCGCGTCCTCGCGTAACGCTGTGCTGTCCTCGGCGCCGTCGCAGGTGCGCGTCACCCTCGCCGAGCCGCACCGCGTCACCCTGGAGCTGATGAAGAGGTTGATAGACTCTGGGGTGGGTCTGGCCCCCCACCACGCCGTGGAGAAAGCCATGGCCGAGCTGCAGGAGATCCTCACCGTCTCCGAGAGGTGGGAGGACAAGGCCCGCGCCTGCCTGCAGGCCAGGTGAGGTTTTTGCGCACGCAACGGACATGTTGGCGAAGACCCCATGGGGGAGGTTGGCACTCTCCTAATGGATCCTCCCGTACCTGTCTGTCCTCCAATAACTGCAGGCCTCGACACGGTATGGCGACCTTGGAGAGCATCGTGCTGGAAGCTAGGAACATTCCAGCATACCTACCTAATATCTTGGCCCTCCGAGAGGCCCTGCTGAAGGCCAAGGACTGGACATCTAAGGTGGAAGCCATTCAGGTACAGGAAGTCCTTCTAATCTGTACCTAAATCAATGTCTCCCCTTTTAGGATCTTTGATAGGGTCAACGCTCTGGTCACTGCACCGGCTCAAAATGTCTCTAACCTCTGTACCCCGCCCCCCCGTCTCTGATACAGAGCGGCAGCAGCTATGCTTACCTGGAGCAGCTGGAGAGCCTGCTGGCCAGGGGGCGCTCCATCCCCGTCCGGCTGGACCCACTGGTCCAGGTGGAGTCTCAGGTAGCCTCGGCTCGAGCCTGGAGGGACAGGACCGGTCGCACCTTCCTCAAGAAGAACTCCACGTACACACTGCTGCAGGTGGGCTACCGGGGAGGGGAGAGGGGGGCCTCGGGTGTATATTTTAGAAGTGACTGCATATCTCAGACCTTTTTTTGGGGTACTTGAAGGTGAATACCCCCCACCCTGGGGGTCACTAGATGACACATTTGTGGGAGTGTGCTTTATCTAGTGTAAGCTGAAAAAAACCTGTTCATATTTAGTTTCTGTCCTCCGCGCCGCATCTCTTAGGTCCTCAGCCCTCGCGTGGACATTGGCGTTTACGGCAACAGCAAGAGCAAGAGGAAACGCGTCAAGGAGCTCATGGAGAAGGAGCGGGTGGGCTTTGACCCCGACGCCCTGAGCGACCTGGAGGAGAGCCTCGAAGAGGCGCGAGACCCTTCCACCGTCGTGTCCGCCTTCAAATCCAAAGAGCAAAAGGAGGTGGAGGCCATCCACTCCCTCCGCGCAGCCAACTTGGCCAAGATGGCCATGGCCGACCGCATCGAAGAGGTCAAGTTCTGCCTGTGTCGAAAGACGGCCAGCGGCTTCATGCTGCAGTGCGACCTCTGCAAGGACTGGTTCCACGGAGCGTGCGTGCCTCTGCCTAAGACGGGAACTCAGAAGAAGGCGGGCGGGGGCTGGCAGAGCAACAGCAAAGACTCCAAATTCCTGTGTCCGCTGTGTCAGCGGTCCAGGAGGCCGCGGTTGGAGACCATCCTGTCGCTGCTGGTCTCGCTGCAGAAGCTGCCGTTGCGTCTTCCCGAAGGAGAAGCCCTCCAGTGTTTGACGGAGAGGGCGATGAGCTGGCAGGTACGCAACCATTTGCTCTGAACTGCTCCACGTTGATCAATTTACATTTTACATTGTGTTGTCTCTGGATCCCTTAACCCACGTGGTCGTCCTCACATTGCTCTCACTGTCCCGCCAGGACCGAGCGCGTCAATCTCTGGCCACGGAGGAGCTGTCCTCGGCCCTGGCCAAGCTGTCTGTGCTGAGCCAGCGCATGGTGGAGCAGGCGGCGAGGGAGAAAACCGAGAAGATCATCAACGCCGAGCTGCAGAAGGCTGCCGCCAACCCGGACCTGCAGGTACTGTATTCTCAGCATTTGATGATTTTACATTGTGCTTATGTCGCATCAGTGAGACTGCGATTCTTGTGGGTTGCTCTGGTGCTTTGTCTGTAACAATGGAATACACCAGAAGAGGGCACTCATTTGAAAAGTCTATTATCTATTAAGTTATTCGTGGGAATAAATTCATAAAAGCTGGTTAGAACCATTGAAGTTGGGTAAATCTTAAACGGACTACAAACACAGACCCTAAACCAGCCCGACATCTGCATTTTATGTGTCTACGCTTCATCATATACGATCATGTTGTGTGTGTGTGTACTTTTCTGTTCAGGGCCACATCCAGACCTTCCAGCAGTCCGGCTTCAGCAGAGCCGCATCACCTCGCCAATCCGTGGACTACGATGACGAGGAGACCGACTCTGACGAGGACATAAGGGAGACGTACGGTTATGACATGAAGGTATTCGTGGCGAGCGCCGTTATTCAAGTTTCTTTCTTTCTTTTTTCTTCTCCTAAATACTACCCTCTTGCGTGTTGTTTTTTGCTGCAGGACCCGGGCGAGGTGAAGCCCTACCTGTTCTGTGACGAGGAGATTCCCGTGAAGTCTGAGGAGGTGGTCAGTCACATGTGGCCGGTAGTCACGCCCTCCTTCTGCGCCGAACACGCCTACTCCTCTGCCTCCAAGTCCTGTGTGCAAAGTGAGGCCCCCTTTAACTGACTGGGATCACTTCTATATACCCATAATCCCCTGTTCTTGCAACATAATATTAAAAAAGAATCTGCTCATGTAACGAACCTTTAACGACCCTCCTCTGAGACGTTCCACTTTTGCACGGTGGCTGGGGATTAGTAGCAAAGGCCGCCTGTCGTCACGTCGCACTCTCAATGTTGACATTTCAGACATGAGCACGCCCAGGAAGCAGCCCAGGAAGACCCCTCTGGTGCCTCGCAGCCTGGAGCCACCGGTGCTTGAGCTGTCCCCGCAGGCTAAGGCCCAGCTGGAGGAACTGATGATGCTGGGAGATCTGCTGGAGGTGTCCCTGGACGAGACCCAGCACATCTGGAGGATCCTGCAGGCCACCCACCCCCCCTCTGAGGAGAGATTCCTGCAGGTCATGGAGGTAAGGGAGATCATCCGTTACGCAAACCTGGGCCCCAGGGTGAATGCTCTTTAGTGACGAAACATTGGCTTTTAGTTATGGTTGGTTCTGAGGGGGGGAAAAAAACCCTACTGTCTTTCCCTTTTCCACAGCCTGATGACTCCCTGATGGAGAAGCCTCTGAAGCTCAAGCTCAAAGATTCCGAGAAGAAGAGGAAGCGGAAGCTGGAGAGGGCCGAGCAGCACCACATGCTAATGGCCGCCGCCGTCGCCGCCGGCGGAGCGGCTGCGATGGGCGATATGAGGCCGGCCAAGTCCAAAGAGCTGAAAAGGGTCGGCCTGGAGCTGGGCCTCGGGGGCAAACCCAAGAAGAAGAAGCTCAAGCTCAACCTCGACAAGAACCGGGAGATGAAGCAGCTGGCCAAGCGGCTGGTCAAGGAGGAGAAGGAGAGGAAGAGAAAGGAGAAGGCTGCGTCCAAGGCAGAGGCTGTCAGGGAAGGGCTGGAGAAGAGGAAGGAGAAGAAGATCCTCGACATCCCCTCCAAGTACGACTGGTCCGGGGCCGAGGACTCCAACGACGAGAACGCCGTGTGCGCATCCAAGACCTGCCAGAGGCCCTGTAAAGATAAGGTGAGCGCACATTCCAAAATAGTCTTCCCTAACGTTTTGTGAGGAAGACTCCGCCTATGAGATTGTGTTGTCGGGACGTGGCAGTAAAGGATTTGCAAAGGAGTAATCGTAGATGAGTGATTGCTACAGTTTAGCGATTAACAGCGGTCAAAGCGGACACTGTGACTGTAAACCGTATTAAAACTCCAAAGTTCTGTATTGTAAAAATCCTATTTAGGATATTCATCTAAATCTGGGCCTTTGCTAGGAATAATATAAAATATTCTACCCAATTAAGGTCCTAAAACGAGTGGAAAAAGTGGCCTGAGCTGATATCTCTAGATGTCATTTTCTTTGCGACACATTCTCTAGATATTAGTTTACAAAATTGAAGTTAATAAACCTTTACACATGACAACTGTGAACCAGACATTCTCAATTTGAGTTACGAGTACACCGGGCGGGACGTTTTCGCCTCGTCGGCTATCAAAACGGCCATAATAGTTTGAGATTGCATTTCGATCTCCCGGATGTGAGACAATCTTCAAATTTAGTACAAACCCCCAACGTCAAGTGCAGACTGAATGAAATTGGGACTTGTTAAAATGTAGCTACCCTGGAACTCAGATCAAATCGTTCTTGACCTTCCGTGCTGGCATCGCCACCACACAGGCGGTAAATTTTAGTTCACTCCTTCCATCCCGGGGTTGTTGGCGAGCCCACAAAACGCCCAAATGTCTGATAACAGCACTGGAACACTCTAAAGAGAGTTACACATAACGTATTAACAGGACACACGGATGTGGTCCATCTTGGAAACGGGCACATACTGTCCGAGTTAACCAGTGGCCAACCTCCGACCCCCGTGTGTCCAACAGGGCAGGTAATCAGAGCGGAGGGGCCGGGGGGCTTGTAGCTCGGTGGGCGGAGTAGAGCTGATGAAATTAATGTTATCGATCTCGGTCGACTACACCAAAAGGTGGGATGTTTCCGACAACTTTTCAATTTCTTAATCAAAGAGTGTGACTCTTTCATTGCGGTGCACTAATGGCGCAGTGACAGGGTTTGAACAAACTAAATAGCTAAATAACAAAGTTATTTATCTTCTGTCATTTCTTTCTCTATAATTCTCATGTGAGCACGCACACTCACGTGTGCATGCCGTGACAGGTGAGCACACTCCTCAGCGGAGGGGTGTTGCAAAATGTGTGTGTCCGCCCCCTCCAACCCCCTCTCCCCGCCCAAGCTGTCCAATCTATAAGGATTATAGGTGTGTTTATACGTGTAAAATGTGTACGGATTGTTTTTTTTTACTCCGCAGTATGTTTTTTTCCAGTCCGACACCTTCAGACCAACAGTTTATTGCCAGTCATGTTTCAGCTCTGTTCTCCAGTACATTAGATCAATACAAACAATAAATGACACATGCTGTGAAAAATTACTCAAGTAGGCGCTTTTGTCTTTTGCTTGACAAACCACAGCCCCAGGTTTGTTTTTTTCCATCCTCGTGTATGCCTTTTGTTGGCATCCTTTTCTCACACGTCTGTGTTTGTCCACCCCTCACCCCCCCCCCCCCCCCCCCCCCCCCTCACCCCTAACCCTCTCCTCCCCCAGGTGGATTGGGTGCAGTGCGACGGCGGCTGCGACGAGTGGTTCCATCAGGTGTGCGTGGGCGTGTCGTGCGAAATGGCCGAGAATGAGGACTACATCTGCATGGACTGCTCTGGCAAGGCTGCCGGGGGGGGCGTGGCCATGGAGGACGAGGAGGAGGACGAGGAGGAAGAGGAGGAGGACGAGGAGGTGGTGGTGGTAGCGGCCGAGGAGGAGAGCGTCGTCGTGCTGTCCACGTCCATGTGCGGCGTGCAGAGTCTGCCACCGCCCGCTGTGGTGGCCTCGTGGTCTCATGTGGCCTCCGCCTCTCATCTCATCCCAGTAGCTTCTCCTCATCATCATCATCATCATCACCAGCAGCCGCAGGAGCCTCAGCAGGGAAGTTAGCGCTTAAAGAAGAAGGAGGAAAAAAAAACAGCGTCGGACTGTTTGAATACTGTACCTCGCACAATGACCATAACACAAATGGCTAGTGTTTCAGCCTCTGGACCTGCAAAACAAAAGCCCTTTTTCACAAGCGATTCTGAAGGAGGATGAGGAGGAGGGATGGGCCGCCTCGATTATAGAGCACAAGAAAGAAGAGGACTTGCCACCCGTGCGGCTTCTTCAACGTTGTGGTCCGTCTCCAAGCGCTAAGATGTGTTGATTAGTACGCGCACAAGACTCAACCCCCCCTTGGACCCTGAGCAAAAGACAGTTCCAGGTCTACAAGCATCCACCAGCTACTTTCTGGTCCTCCCCTGAACAAGAGCGTGACATTGGTGCACTTTCAATGTGCTTCCAATCAAACACCCACTTACTCCAGCTGTTGTATTCAGTGCAAGTGGGCCAATAGACAAATGTGTCCCCAGCTGTGTTTCACTGGACATCCTGAACCGCTCCCCTCCGCCCTTTGTGTGGCCCTTCAGTCAGTAACATCTCAATGTGTAGGACTCCAGTCTAGGAAAAACACAAATGGTTGTAATGTAGTGGAATTATTTATAATGTACATACTTTTAAGCAATTAAACAAATGGATTGTGGCTTTTTTGTTTTTGTTTTCTCACCTTTAATAAACTATTCCTAGTCAAATGATTTGATAATTGTGATGTTTTTTTTGTTGGGTTAAGTAATGATTTATGCTCGGGTTGTTTATTTTTGTGTATTTTCGTCTGGGAGACAACAGAAAACATCTAGCAAAGCAAAAGCGCAGTTGAAAAAGTGCAATATGACGGATTTAACGTACAAAATATGAGACGAGCAGGCAGGAAAAAAATGTATATAATTCGCTCTTGTGTCATCAGCATGTGAGGTTGATTGGTCAAATTTCACTTCGTAAGTTAATGCTTCGTGTTCCTTCGTGAAGCCTAATTAAAGAAGAGATGTGGTGGCATGTTGTTGTGGAGCATGAAGATTGGCTTCATAAATGTTGATTTCTTTTCGTGATTTTTTTTCACCTAAGTCATAAGAAATGTAATGTGCATTTTGCAAGAAAAAAAGCTTCTTCTTTTGAAGTTGTCATTTATTTTTTAGATAAGATTCATTTTGAGACTAATGTTGCACACTTTTGCAGTTGGGAATAAAAAGCAACAATTTCATGCAGGCGATACACGTGAATATGTAAATGTGTGTCTGCAGATGGGGGGGGTACTGCTGGATGCTGTCATTTCTAACTCCGCCGAGTCAAATCCGGCGCGAACTTACCCAAGCTGCTTTTTGCCCCGAGACGCTCACCTCTGCCACGGTGCTGAGTGGGAAAGTTAGAAATATGCGGCCTGCGAGGTGTCGGCCAAGTCAGCTGCTAATGGTGCGTAATTCATTGCATAACTGTCTGCTCTGTCATCTCATTGCACCGCATCTTCCTTGCCCGCCGTTGGTTGTGTTCATTCTGAGTGAGTGGGAAACGTGGTTGGGTGTCTCAATGTCCACAAAAGCCCTCTTATCATCCCTTTACTTCCACTTCCAATTTAGTGATTTGTTTTCACTGTTTATTGCTCCCCTTGTATGCAGGAGCAGGTCATGCAGATGTATGTTTTTGCCAGGCTTAAACATGAGCTCCTCACATGAAATGCTTTGATTCATAATTGTTTGATTTATAACTCAACTTTATAACTCAAATTTCTGAAACCCCAAACCTTATCAGTGTGCTTCTCTATTTTTCTGAAAGCAGAGAACAGGAAATATGACTATTATTTAATTGTGTTGCTAAATAACACCGTTTCTGCAGCAGAAGTGGTCTGCTGCACTAGACGGTGACACTATGCACACCGGTCCAGCGTCGTCCAATGGCGCACCTTATTTTAAGCATGGAGTCATGTACTTTGCTCCGAAAGGGGCTGACGAGGGCAAAGGGAGACCGGAAGAGGCTGGCCTCAGTTTAGCATTACAAATCCCCGCCCCTCACTCCAGTCCGGTTAAATTCCTAAAAGTGCAGCGTTTACTGATAAACCTCCAGAGACGGCTTCAGCCTTGAGACCACAGCCACACACAGGGGATCAAGTGGCACGGCGATGAAAGGTGAGCTATGAATGTTGTGCATTTTGCAAATAGACTATTTAGAAAGGTTTAAGTTACATTTGTTTGTTAAATTAATTGCTGTGTTTTTTCTGTTTTATTATTCAGAAATGGATAACAAAAGCATTGCAATAAAGATTTTAAAATAAAAATGAGAGAGCGTGCATGCTCCTTTTCATTAACGACATGCTTCACATCTACAGTTGCACACATGGATCTAACATATGTAAAACCACGTGACTCCACTTTCTCCCACTCTGCATCTGGAACTCTTCGGTACCTCATATCTATGTTGTATTGTTAAATGTTGACCTGTTTTACTTGTCTTTGTGTTGTCCTTGTTTTTGTATCTATTTCTGTACAGCGTGTGGAAGAGCACAGAAACAAACATTCAAATTCATGTATGCATAAGCATACTTGCTTATTCTGATTCTGATTGCCTAACTGAGTAAAGGAAAAAATCAATCGACAGCAACCAGCCTACATAACCTGCTGCAAAGGTCCTCGTCTCTCCGTCTGCCTCATAGGTGACGCTGCCAAAGCGTGTCCCCCAAATGGCGTCAGCCAGGCCATGGACGAGAGGGCCTCTTCTGAGGAGAAGATGGAGGAGCGGGGCCAGTGGGGCAACAAGCTGGAGTTTGTTTTATCCGTTGCCGGGTCCATCATCGGCCTGGGCAACATGTGGCGCTTTCCGTACCTCTGCTACAAGAATGGAGGAGGTGAGTGGATGGAGGAAGGAGCTCATGCGTGTCCCGAACTATAATGTTTATAAATGAAGGGCAGCAATGACGGAAGGAAAGTGTAACTAAAACAGAAAACAACTTGTACCAATGGTGCTTCCATACCAGGCTCATGCTGCAATAACGACGATTTTCATATTGCACCAGTCAAACAAGCAGCTCTATTTTAAATGCACTGAATTAGTGGATGACTCGTGATAACGGATGACAAATTGAGAGTAATTGCACGCAAACAAATATGTACGGCACTACAGAACACTCAGCGCTCAGGTGAAAGAGGGGAAAAAAGGGTACGTATTTAAGGCCTCGCAGTGAACCAAGGCAGACGTCAGACCCCATTGGGCATGCTTGTGTAGGTGCTTCATTGCACGCACCACTTCATCCCTCCATGGGGTGGCGAGGTCAAGGTTCAGGACCGATCGGGGTCAGGCAGCTGTTGTTGCTCCTTGCTCACAGCAGCTGTCCCTGCAGAGAAGCGGAAATTTGAGCACTCTGAACACACGGCGGGAGGCCGGCACAAAATCCCAATTAAAGAAATTATATGTCGTCTCATGCCCCATTGCTTCACCTCGTGCGGTTTCCTAAGAGTTACATGACAGCTTCAGTTTGTTCAGGCATTTAGTCCTTCATATAGTCCGAAAATTGACTAACTAGTATGTTAAATACTACTTCATCGAGGCTGGACCTTCTGTGATTTATAAATGGTATGTGTTTACTTAGTTTTTTTTCTCGAACCCGGTTAATCTGGTCTAGATGTTTTAAAGAGGATCATTTTAAATCCGGGAACATGAAAACAGTAAATGTAGTAGGTCATATGTAGTTAGCAATAGCAAATCCAAGAATGGAGATTTATATTCATCTGATGGATACACTGCACACGGTTGCTTCGTATATACAGCTCACTTTCTCATTTAATTGAATAAGAAACAGTGTCCAAACTTTTGTACTGGTACTGCTCATGGGCTTCTGGACAGTTTGTTCCCATTCAAACAAGCCGACTGTAACTTCTGGAGCTACGGTCTGTAATTTGGGTCCACATTTGTTCCGGTACAAGAAGACCCAGGGTTATGTTAACCCTGAATCTTTGGCTCTACTTCGACTCATTTCAAGGTGCATTCCTCATCCCCTACTTGATCTTCCTGTTCACCTGCGGCGTCCCCGTCTTCTTCTTGGAGGTGGCCCTGGGCCAGTACACCAGCCAGGGAGGCATTACCTGCTGGAGGAAAATCAGTCCGTTGTTTGAAGGTAGGTAGAACCCACAGCCACTTTGGGATCTGGGCAACGCATATACATTTGGCAAATTTTATGATGCAATAATTTTAGTGCCTAAAAGATTGATTTCTGAAATGGGAGGAGAATATTTGCAGACGTTTTCAATATCTTTGGAATGTTAATACATAGATTACAGTAGAATGTTACTGATTATTTGTGTTAATTACTAATTATTGCAGGTCTTGGCTATGGCACCCAAGTGATTGTAGCTTTGTTGAACTTCTACTACATCATTGTTCTTGCCTGGGGCATTTTCTACCTGTCATACTCCTTCTCCTGGGACCTGGCCTGGTCGTCCTGCAACAACACCTGGAACACAGGTAGCAAGTGCACTTCCAAGTGCAAAAAGGAATTCTTCACATGTTTTGATAAGTTGAAGAATTGGGACCATTTGCTCTTCATCCAACCTCCACAGAAAACTGTGTTGGGTTACAGAGAAGAAACACCTCCATCGGACTGACGATTAACCCAAATGTCACCTCTCCCGTCATCGAGTTCTGGGAGTGAGTTTTCAGAGACCGCCTCAGCTCCTCTTGGCGATACCTTACTGTTGTGGAAAGGAGTGCGATGCATCACCTCCGTGTGTCTTTCCTTGGCCCTGCAGGAGAAGAGTGCTGAGGATTTCCCCGGGCCTCGACCACATGGGCTCACTGAACTGGGACCTGGTCCTGTGCCTGTTCATCGCCTGGGTCATGTGCTACTTCTGCATCTGGAAGGGGGTGAAATCCACAGGAAAGGTGGGCGACCCGGTGACCCTCTTTATTGATGCATTTTGTTTTACCAGACAGCTCTCTGACACTTTACAAACGACATCTGGTATTTGTTTTTTCTATTTGGCATGTCTCTGTATTTATTGGCCCTGCCCCCGCCTCCTCCATTCAAAATCACGGATGGATGTTTCTTTATTTGTTTGGATCCTTCTCAACACTGTATATATGCGTGTCTATATAGGTGGTCTACTTCACCGCGACCTTCCCCTATCTGATGCTGATTGTGCTGCTGATCAGAGGGCTCACCCTGCCTGGTGCTGCCATCGGCATCCAGTTCTACCTTTATCCAGATCTGGGACGCCTGGCTGACCCACAGGTACCACGGTGATTCATCACCACAACACAAATTCCCCAAGAAGTCCTTTAGAAGATCTATATCCCTCCCTGTGGGCGAAGGTGCACCAGGTGCAGATATCCCATGGTTCTCTGCTAGCGAGCCTAGTTTCTGCTGGGTCCATCTGCTCTCCATGAAAGGGGCAGGCGCGGCAGGGCTTGAATGCAGGGTCAGGACTCCACTAGGTGTGTCAACACACGCTCGACCCGGACTGAGGCCCAGTAAGCCTAAGTGGCGCTGCAGAGTCCTCAAAACACTCGATGTGTCCCTTATTGTTTGATTATGCTTTTATTCTGTTGTCTTATTCCTGTTTAGCTGCGTGCTATTTGAACAAAACTGAACCAAATAAAGTAAACACACAAAACTAATTATTTCATTTCCATCTCCGTCAATCGCCTTTACTCCCTCTGCAGTTTTTTGTCATTTTTAAATGGTCTGATAGGAGATGAGTTTTGACTTACCTAATTGTTGCTGATCCTGCACGCTTTCCATTTTTTGAAAACTTGGGTCGTTAATCAATGAACAAGACTAATAAGAGACATGTGACAGTTTACTATTGCGCAACTGCATTAGTCAATGATTGTGAATGCCAACGCCCTGCAGCTGAATTCCTATAGATTACATAATCACTCATCGAACACATAGGTTTGTACATCCACCAACGTTATGTATATGCACGCCCTCACAGGACTTAGCGTGACTTTAGTTTCAGCGGTTTATTGTTTGTTTTGATTTTGTCTTTCTGGTAAGGTGTGGATGGATGCTGGCACACAGATCTTCTTCTCCTACGCCATCTGTTTAGGGTCGCTGACTGCTCTGGGAAGCTACAACAAATACAATAATAACTGTTACAGGTGGGTAAATAATGTACATGCATACATACTTGAATGAAGAGGAGTTCCTTCCTACAGGAGGTCCTTCAGCATTAGTTGCGATCGATGTGAAGCTTCACGGCGGTGAAAAACAATGCAAAATGTGCTTGTCTGTCACAGAGATTGCATGGCGTTGTGCTTTCTGAACAGTGGCACCAGTTTTGTTGCAGGCTTTGCAATCTTCTCCATCCTGGGTTTCATGTCCTACGAACAGAATGTTCCCATCTCAGAAGTGGCAGAATCTGGTGAGGCTTTCCCTGCCATGCTTTCAATGCTGAGAAGAAAAGAGGAAGAAAATAGGGGAGTGGAAAAATAGTCTGTTTATAAATCCTCCTGCAGGTCCTGGCCTGGCCTTCATAGCTTACCCCCGCGCTGTGAGCATGATGCCTTTCTCTCCTCTGTGGGCTGCACTCTTCTTCATTATGATCGTCTTTCTGGGGCTCGACAGTCAGGTGCGTCTGGTTATTACCACTTATAGTTTTCTACAATGACGACGGCAGAATTAGGATGAGAATTATTGTTGTCTTGAGCAAAGCAAGCCTTTTAGACTGCTGCATTCCCTTTAATATTCTAATCACTTTGATCAAATCGATTTAGTTGATTTTTACATTAAAAAAAAAAATTGTATTCTTATTCTCTTGCATTTATATTCAACACACTTAACATATCCCACCTCTCGGTATTTGAATCACTATACATTATTAAACATGTTATACATGATAACATGATGTGTCAAAATATCAAATTACATCTTCCATCAGTTTGTGTGTGTTGAGAGCCTTGTGACGGCGATAGTCGACATGTACCCGACTATCTTCAGACGTAAAAACCGACGGGAGCTCTTCCTGCTTGGTGTGGTGTTCGTCTCCTTCTTTGTGGGCCTCATTATGCTGATGGAGGTAGGGGGTCACACACACACACAGATGCATGCACACAGGCAAACCTTTATTTACTGATATGTAGTCCTGATAATTAATTAAAGGTAACAATATTTGTAACCTTAAATGTCCTTTAAATGTTAAATTGCATTACTCCCCATTGCATATTTCCTAGCAAGGGGGAAAATGCCTACATTTAGATAATAATTGCCTAACCCCTTTGAAATTAGTTTTGCATACGCAACAATGAAGCTATGGGATGGTCTTGCTGTACCTGATGGTTGTTTAGGGCTAAACCAGCACAGGATGCCCCTCTTTCTGCTGAAATAAGCTCTTACAGTTCAACCTAGTTGACATGGTTTCACCTCTGCACAGCTGGAAACATGAATGCTCTGCAGAGGTGTCAACAGGTCATCAGTTTGTAAGTACAAGCAAGTCACAGGTTTTGTGCAACAAGTCACAGGTAAGTCTCAAGGATATCTGAAGCGTCCAGTTTTGGCCTAGATGCGTTTTAAATCTCTTTCGCAAACCTGTATACCTTTCGATGTCAACAATAAAAGCGAAGATTTATCTAGAGGCTGATGTACATTTTATATGACCACTGAGGTAATTATGTGATCAGGAGTGACCTTTAACTTTAGAACCTTAAGTTTGCCAAGAAAAAAGAAACACCTCCAAGATGTCCATGATCTTTATAAAATGACCACACATGCAATTATATTGTGATTTCAGTTAATTTCTTATTTATATTTCTGGCTTGAGGTAGATTTGGTAATATTAAGATCATTAATTAAACTTCTATTCTAGCATTAGTAGTTCAAAAACGTTTTCCAGCTTTAACTTTGACTCAGTGCTTTATATTTCTCTCATTGTAGGGAGGCATGTACGTTTTCCAGCTCTTTGACTATTATGCAGCCAGTGGCATGTGTCTTCTCTTCATGTCCATCTTTGAAACTGTCTGCATTGCTTGGGTCTATGGTAAGCTGTCCTCAAACATAAAAGGCTGTTTTTCACTTGTGACGGTTGAAAAATGTGTGTTTTCCAGTGTGCGTGCTGTGAAATACTTGATTACTTGTGTCTTTTCAGGTGCAGATCGCTTTTATGATAACATTGAGGACATGATTGGCTACCGTCCAGGATGTTACTTCAAGTATTGCTGGTTATTCTTCACACCTGCCACGTGCATTGTGAGTTTCAGTAAATTAATAAATTGGAATCAAGGTTTTGCTACTGACAGCACCTGAGGCCTCCTCTCCTCCTCCCTCATAGAAATCAAAAAGAAGTCAGTTCTGTTTGTTCTTCATCAAAAGTAATGCAAGTCTAATTGTCTCTCCAGGGTACTTTTGCCTTCTCTCTCATCAAATACACCCCTCTAAAGTACAACAACGAGTATGTGTACCCCTGGTGGGGTTATGCGATTGGCTGGCTGCTCGCTCTCTCCTCCATGGTCTGCATTCCTCTTTGGATGGTGTACAAGATCAGCACCACCAAAGGGACGTTCAGAGAGGTAACATTTGATCCTGTTTCATGTTGTTCAGTTAGCTGGGAGCCTTACTATTACTACCTCATACATACACTCATTCTCATCATTAAAGACGTGTGTAGTTCTTTTCAAATTAAAGAATTGAGAATTCTTATCCAAAACAAAAAGGCTTGACCTCTGGTTTTACATTTGTACAGCGCATCCAGCTGCTCATCACGCCATCGGACACTTTGCCCAAAACCAAGAGGGAGCAGGAGAACTTACTTGCCATCTTTGCTGCGGATGGAGAAGATACCGTGACTAGAAACTGCTACTATCCCGTATCAGAGACGGACACCAACTTATGAGCCCCCAGTGGAGATGTGTATGGGATAGACATTTGGGTTTTGTTTCCATCTTTGACTGCTGCACCCTCGCCTCCATCCTAAATATTACTGCAGGGAAAGATCACCATTAAATGTTACATAACCGATTTTCAATTATAACAGGTATAGAGGACTCAGGAGATAATAGTAAATATTAGATAGTAAGCGTACAATGTGCTGGGTTTGGCAGCGCCTGTACATTTCAGGGATGCCAAATGTGGATACATAAAAAGGAAAGAAAACAGTAACGCAAAAAGTAATTTGTTTGAGTTTTAAAGGGACATGGGCATTTTCTGTGAGGGACAAAAGTTATTTACTCTACTCAAACTGAAATATATGAGTACATTGGCATATATTGTTCAACTGCATTTCAAGAAAGATTCAAATTAACTGATTCAAGGACAGCTTTGTGGGTGACAATATTTCTTCATGGGGTTGATGGTCAAAGTGTCAGTAGCAGAAACATAAACCCAAGTTCCATGAAAGGTTTGCGCTATAAGGATAAAGTTTGATGAAACAGATTACCGCTGCGTTTAAGATACTTTTCAAGTGTCCCTGTATATCTGACATTACTTCATGGCTATATAGCCACATTTGTATCATATATTGTATTACCATAACTGATCAGGGAAAGTTTCCCTTTTGCATTTACATTAATTCAAATATAATCCTGTGTTTGACATGAATAGGAGTTGTAAGAAAAGGATATGTCAGTGAATAGTATAATACTGCAGTAGCTGTAGGACTAATATGACATACAAAATAATTTCATATTTTGTACTGTAATAGAATATGACTGTAAAAATGTGAATCTTGTAAGTATGTTTTTAGTTAAATACGTGTCTCATGTTTTCTTGAAACATTGCTTTGAAGTGCTGCATTAAAGTCTGATAAAAAAATCCAAGTCACCAAACTTTGTGAAAGCTGGAGTGCCTCTTTAACTTACTGATCATGACACTGGACGCCCATTGTTGTGTTTTCTTGAGACATCCCTTTTTGTGATGAAGCACAGCAGGCGTTAACCTTCCATAAGCTTGGTTTTCATGTCCCAAAATGCAATCAGCTCTTTGTGACACAAACTTCTACTGATATGACTCCCAGAATGCGGTCAGGAAAATGTAGAAACTCTGCATTTTGCAAAAAAGAAAAAAATGCAACGCCTAATGTTTATTCAGCTAAACCAGAGAAAGGTATAATTATGGTATAAAGTCAACTAAAAAAAATCTAAATAAAATATTTAAAAGGTATTTGCACCATTGAACCCCCACAGTATGAGGCACATTACAGTAATTATATAAAAAAATTACCCTGACTGGTTAAATATGTGTGTTGTCATTGAACACGTGTTTTTAGCTATCGTGAATCTACAATGATGAAGCAGTTTTTGATCATTTTCTCAAATAACTTTACCGCTGGGTGTCATGCGCCTGCCGTACTGTCGGCGGGCTGACGATTGGCTGAAACTGCAGCGTCACGCTCCACGTACCGCGGTGACGCCCCGCACTTTCCCACCATGCAGCGGGTGATGTCTGAGGAAAGATGGCGGAAGGAGGAGCGGCGGATCTGGATACCCAGAGAGGAGAGGTCTCGGCGCTACTGAAAACACAGCTAAGAAAGGGAGACACTTGGTAAGACATGAGCCGAAACCTTTTTCGAAGATACCCCGTGGACGTCGGCCGGCTCTGCCAAGGCTGTCAACGCCGCGGAGGATAAGAAAGCTGAGGTGGCGGCCGTGTTGACAGTTAGCTTCGACTTAGCTAACGGGAGCCTGTCAGCTTCATGTGTGGCTGCTCGGCATGCTAACGGTGCTTGAGCTAACGCCAGACCGCCAATGAGCAGCGATAGTCTCCCACATAACATATTACGTTAATTGTCGTATTCCGGACGTTATATTCCATCCTTCCGCACGACCATGTAGGTATTTATCCAATGACAACATTTCAATGAGACTGCATTAAATTGATCTATAATCTAATTAAGAGCCTACTACGTAATTGGGTCGCCCACCGAAGCACTAACTTAAGTGGTTTGCTAGTCAGTGGGTCAGTCAGGCGACTTCGGCAGGGCTGAGTCGGGTAAAAGCCACCTGTCAATATGCGTTATCTTAGCCTCGCGAAGTTTATAATTGCTGACAATACGGAGAGGAAAACATCCTTTACCCTGCTGAAATATTTCTTTTATCGCCATTTAAAAGAAGCAATACAAAAAGAATGGTTTACACTTCAAAGCGTGTCGCATGACCCTTTAACAATCCAACGTTAGATTGTTTGATCTACATATTATTCTATGTTCTACTGGAGCTGACATCCTAATAGCGTTTGCCCTCTCTGTAGGTACCTGGTGGACAGTCACTGGTTCAAACAGTGGAAGAAATATGTGGGATTTGACAGTTGGGACAAATACCAGATGGGTGACCAGAATGTCTACCCTGGACCAGTTGATAACTCTGGTCTTCTCCGAGGTAATTTACAATGTGTAATATATTGTGTAGATACTGCGTGCACCACGCACTCATTCTGGAAATGATGACAAAGAGTTCAGAGGAAAATGGAACAAAAACAACATTGTTGACAGACTCCTTTTTATGGGGTTCATAGAAAGCTCTCCGGCATACCTTCCTCCTTTGTGTGTTTTGTGTCGTTTGAGACGACCAGTGCAGGGCCAATTTAGTAAGTGCTGCCCTCCCAATGAGCTTTTCCTACCCCTGTCCGCCTGCATGTTTCTCATCTTTCCCCCTTGTCCCACACTTGCCTCTAGATGGGGATGTGCTGGCCATCAAGGAGCACCTCATCGATGAACTTGACTACATCCTGGTCCCCACGGAGGGCTGGAATAAGCTCGTCAGCTGGTATGCGTTGACGGAGAATCAGGAGCCAATTGCACGGAAGGTGAGCGCTCAGTCATTAGCATGTGGCTATGAATAGATTATATGGTTGAAGGATGTTCCCGCTGGCTGCGTTGAGAATACAATCGGTGGGGAAATACAATGCGGACAGAGGCGGCTTTCTGTGATGGGGTTCAATGGTTGTTGTTCGCTATTGCGACGGTTGACATCATTTTAAGAAACTTGTGGTTTTTAAAATAGAGACTCGACATTGTGTGGTAAAAGACCGCCCAATGATACTGGGCGCAATACATCGTGATCAAAATGCATCGCAAAAGACAGCCCAGGACAACATTTTGTAAGGAATAAAATCCCCTAAGCTTCTGTGGCCATGATGAATGTTGTTTTAATGGTTAGGATTAGGGTGATTGACCAATTAGATGTTCAAAGAAACACTGCGCGGGATTTAAATATTTATCTGGCACAAAACAATTTCAGTGTTTTTCCTTCAATTCTTCCACGAGCTGCAGTTTGATATTTTAGGTTTAACAATTACTTTCACAATGACTGTGGAGGGCAACAAGCCTCCAAATGTCCGTGTGTGTCGGAGGATTAGTCAGAGGAATAATTCATGATGGCGCCTACAATTTGGAAGGACCCACAGTACCAGATCCCTAATTCAAAACTTACTAGTCACGGCATCATGGCTGCTAGAAGAGGTTCCTGTCCCCCCTTCCCCCTTCCCGCCCCCATTGACCCTCCCATTTCGCCATGTATGTCGCGGGACGTATCGGGTGGCTTCTATTTTCAGGGCAACGTTCTGGATGACTGAAAAGCTACATGGAGCGATCTGCGAGACACAACATGCAACAGGTTCATTACGAGTTTTCCTCTTCTTTTGAACTCCTGGTTCCTTTTTCGGGGGGGGAGGGGGTTCCCATCTTGTGGCGCAAAGACAACACAAGCGTTGAAATGGATTTAGGAGGATTGTAGACACAGGTTTGGCGCTACTTTTCCTCCTGTTGGCCTCCGCTGGTGTGACATGCCCACTCCGGCGGAGTGTCCCTGCGTGTCCTTGTTTTCTGAAGTGGAGAAATGCCGGCTGAGGTCACTCTGAGTGAGGCAGTGTGAACGCTTCTGAGATGTGTATGAGGCACAAGCAGCCAGGGAGGAGGAGGGGCGGGCGAGCCGGGGAAGGGGGGTGGGTGGGGGAAATGGTCTGGCTCTGATATGACAAAATCTGAGTTTGGCGACGACTTTTGCGAGTTTAAAAAGACACGGGTGTTTTAGTGAGGGTTAGGACGGGCCCACTGCAGGAGCGGGACACGGATCGGTTGGGAGTGGGGGGAACCTGAGCCGAGCGTGTGTGCATGACTGTTGCTGTTCTCCGGGACATTTGTGAAGTTGTGTACTGTGTGCACATACGTGTGTGTGTTTGTGTCTGTCGTAAGGTTCTCAGCGGTGAAATAAATAGGCTGGACCCCTCAGCTGTTTCCACGAGGGGCTCCTAATTTAGGCACTCTAACACTGCTCCCATCAGATGAGTGACAACCAGGCCAGAAGACTGTAGTGTGTCAACCATGAGAAACCGAAGCATAACCCCAAATTCATCGATAATATATATTTTTAGGGTGATGTTGGAAGATAAGCATTGACATAACAATAGCAGAATTACAAATTCCTCTTCAAATAATGACCAACTTATGTCTTGACTTGACTTGTTTCATGTTGGTAGGCATAAAAGTGTCAATTTCTGGTAGAAGGCTGTTATTATCTGTGTGATAGTGACATCAGAGATTTATCGTGTGCTTTTTACTTGACATGTAAGCAAATAATCCTGATTCGTTCTAGTTTGTGCAGTGAGAACATGTGTTCCATGTGTTATGTGTATATGTAGATATTGAGTTCTGCACATACACAAGGTATTGTAGTATTCCTGGTTTCATTCAGATGATCTTGACAGTTAATGGTTTTCTTTTCTTCTTTCTCAAGGTGGTAGAACAGGGCATGTTTGTGAAGCACTGTAAGGTCGAGGTGTACCTTACAGAGCTGAAGCTCTGTGAAGACAGCAACATGGACAATGTGATCACGAGACGCTTCAGTAAAGCCGACACAATAGGTAGGCGTGAGTCACTCCATTTATACTCCAGTGGAGTGTCCTATTTCATGTTTTGACCTGTGATTTCCCCCGTTTACATTTCTCCTTGGGTTGGATTATGGCAGCTTTTAAACCATTAATTATACTTGAATAATTGTGTTATGTCTGAACTGAAATGGGAAGTAAGAAAGATCTTGCGATTGTTAAACTTCACCTTGTAACCAAAAAGTAGCAAACTTACAGCGTTATTTATCTTTTGTTTCTTTTAAATAAATAATTATTCCCACTTTGCTGCAGACACGATAGAGAAGGAGATGAGGAAATTGTTCACCATCCCTGATGAGAGGGAGACCCGGCTGTGGAACCGGTACATGAGCAACACCTTTGAGCCTCTCAACAAACCAGACAGCACCATTCAAGATGCTGGCCTCTACCAAGGACAGGTAGGGACCATTTCTAATTTTAATAGTTTCAATGGCTTTGCAGGTACAGTCGAAAATCAGCCAAAGGAAAAATAAATCATATTTGATAACTCAACCCATAGCTGTCCAAAAACCCTGGGCTCAGTGAAATACGCTCACGTGTCTTTCACCTTTTTAGATGGCTTATCCTTGTTTGTGCTCTCTGCCGCTCCGCCCTTTTAGGTTGGTGCTATGACAAGTTTCCTCTTTGATGTTCTATTGACATTTGAGTGTCTTTCAGAGGTGCTCTTGACTGTTTTTTCTTTTCATCGCTGCTCCCACCATCCAGCCCGTTTCTCACGCCTCACATAAGCGTGTATGAGAGACACCAAGAAACCAGGATGAGGGGCTGTCAAATGCAAGGAAATCAAGATTGATAGCGCAAAGCTTTACTTTACTTGAAAATACTCTTAACGAGCATCCTGTATTGAGTTGGGTAGAAAGGCCAGGAACAGAGTGTGACCACGTGAAAGAGTGGATAAGATCCATCCAGCTCCTGCTACTAGCTTTTAAGAAGTCACTGCTAGATATTCTCAGGGTGTCGTGATGTCTTTTTGTGTGATATGTTTTTTTTTTTAACCTTTTCGAAGGTGGGTATTTGTGAATATTTGTGTCCATATCTGAGTATCCCATTTAATTGTGAAACAAATAAGGCAAATAGAAGTAAATGCAGGCTTTTCTTTTGCTATTTTGGAGTAAAACGTCACAATGTAGGATTGAAGTACGCAAGCGTTAGGTGTCTTTAAACTAAGCAGATGAAGCCCTGCTCTCCCCCTGCCGTCTCCCACAGATTCTCGTTATAGAGCAGAAGAGCGAAGATGGCACGTGGCCCCGAGGCTCCACGGCACCCAAGTGAGTGAATAAACACATCACCTGGTGCTTCCTTGTCGACTGAAGGAAACTGTAACCTCGCAAATAGGATGCAATCACCGCTACCGATCCACCGATAGATCACACATGATATTGAGTTGTTAGAGACTGCTTACGTGGTCAGTTTGGAGGGGATGAAAAGTGGCCTAATATAGCAGAATAACAATCTGTTTTGTAAGCGGTCGAAAACAACTTTCAGTTGCTGCCTCTTTGATAATTGCAAAATGTAATCGTTCCCTTTTTTAGATTTCCTAAGTGTCCCTGCTATGTCACTTTAGCACTGCATCATCCTGAGAGCTTTACTGCCTGTGACGCCTCAGTCTACCACTTTTGTTTGACCTTTTTTTTGCTCACATATCCCTTTTTATTTGTTCCGATTCATCTCAGTTTCATTTTATTGACACTCGCGCACCTTTTTGAAACGGCTCCTTATTTCATTTTTTCTACTCTAACTCATAACTCTTATTCTTTTATCTTTTGAAGGTCATCTGGTGCTTCCAATCTCTCTGCTTTGCCAAAGATCTCGCCTTCATCCCTCACAAACCATAACAGCAGCTTCAACAGCAGGAAGTAAGGCCTGGCAGTGGGTTGAATAGCTCTCGGGTGGGTTTCGGGGGCCACAGACGGAGGACAGAGAGAGTTGCTCAGCACAGACCTTCATGTTAATCCCAAAGTAGACGGAAACAAATTGGCATACCGTAGAAATTCCTCAAGAAATTCTTGCGGAAATGAAATATCTTTCATAGGTTTGATTTATTTGGACTTTTTCTCCAGCTGTGTTTTGGCTCAACGACTGCCTGCGGTCTGAACCTTGTCTTGCACAGGCCTCTCTCTGCCTGTTCTTTGGGTCCTGAGGCCATCTTGTGATGATGCTGATTCAGCTGTAAAAGCTGAAGGCAGGGAGGGGGGAGGGGCTTAACATGGATTGATCTTTGTTTCGGAATTTTGTCCAGCGACAGCCATGCTCTCCATAAACAGCGTCCCTGGGTGCCTTACTCAGCATTTAATCCTGTTACTTGATTGTTGGCATGTTTTTCTACCTGACTGATTGACAGCTGTGGCCAGGCCTGCATGATTGTGGTGAAACTATTTTACCCATTAATGTGTGTTACACAGTCTTAATTTAACATTTTTAGGGTTTTGTACATCAGTGAAACGAAACTCATTTTTCAAAACCTAGAATATTAGCAGTGAAGTTGGGGCTCAAAGGCGGCCGGTGTGATATTTCTCACTGTGAGACAAATATGTTTAAGTGCACATTCCTTGTAGATAACTTGAGTTTATCTCACAAATGTATTGATTTAGCTCCTAATTACCACTTTCAAATGATAAAATATCAGCACTTCCCTCTATTCTTAAATCATCTTAATCTCCTCTTTCTCTTCCTCTTAAACCAAAACGGAAGCTTTTGATTCTTCTCGGACCGTTTCTGGAGGTGGCCTCGCTAATGTCCACATTCTCATCTTTACTCTCGTTTTGGTTTGGAAGATGATGCACCACATTATGATTAATCAATCAAAAAGTGAATCCCAGTAATCCTGCAGCTCAAGTATAAGCCTACATTCTCTGAATCTTTACTTTTCTTAACCATGAAGAAGAGCTTTAGCAAGTATGTAGTCCAATCACAGAAAGAAGCCCTCATATATATCAATCAGTATAGCCTATATCTGTGCCCAATGCTTACTGTCTTTTCAAGTCAGTCAGTGTTTCCTGAGAATGTCTCCCTAGTTTCCGGGTAGCATAGATGCAGGGTTGTCTGCTTCAGCGCTAGGAGTTAAAAGGGGCTCCGTGAGCCCTCTGCTAAAGAGCACTGCTGCACTGTAGGTGGCCTCTTTCCCTGCAGAGGCGGGGACTTGGGAACATGGGATCCTCCTGTCCCTGATTCACTGTGGTGCCGGAGTTGTCGTTTCCACTGAATTATGCATGGGGCCTCTTCTTCTTTTTCACCCTTCTCTCTCGCTCTCTCATATGAAGCGCTCCCGCATTACGTAACTCTTGTCTGACACTGATTTTGGGGTTTTGTCCCGGTCGGTTTAGCCTCAGTAGCGATGCTCTGTAACAGCAGTAAGTTTCATTGTCTTACGGTGTCCCGTGACTGGGAAAGGCAGCCCCCCCCAGCCCCCCTCTCGCTCCTTGTGTCTCTTTACCACTCCCTCACATCAGCTCATTGCGATGCACATGTTCTGCAGTCTAAGTGACCTTCAGAATGCATTTCATCTGCATTTCATCTGCTCCCCAGACCATTTTGCGGAGTTTCCCCCATCTTATATATTAACGCAGCAACGACATATGAAAGGGTTAGTGTGTGTTTGAGGGATTATAGCTACGTCACAGGGTGTAATTTCATCGGGGCGTGCGGAGCACAAGTTGTGTGTCTAGAAGAGTGTAAGAAAAGGGTGATAAGTGTGTGTGTGTGTGTGTGTGTGTGTGTGTGTGTGTGTGTGTGTGTGTGTGTGTGTGTGTGTGTGTGTGTGTGTGTGTGTGTGTGCGCATGTTCCATGTGTGTTGGAGAGAGGGGAGCTAAGAGTCAGGCCTGTGAATACTGCAGCCTCAGCCGGACGCAGTGAACTGCCCCCCCCCACCCATCGTTGTGGTGTCCTCCCCTCCCCCTATTCGCTCTCTCACTCTCTCTCTCTGTGTGCACCTCTAGCTTTGGTAGCAGTAGTCTTGAGCATCCTTGCTGCTGCTGCTGCTGCTATAAATATCTGCTGGTAGCCGTAGAGTGGCAGAGGGAGCAGGCAGGCCAGAGGGAGGTGTGCAAGACCAGAGGACGGGACGGGACAGGACAGGGGAAAGAGATCTGAGACTGAGTGGATAAGGAGATGACACGGTCGCGCTCAAAAAAGACCGGAGAGGAGCTGCTTAGTTAGCTCTAAGAAAGAGGAAGATTGTGTGTTTTTTGTGTGTGTTAATGCTTCCCGCGGCTCTGTTATTGGCCTGGCCCGACTTGGAAGTGAAACATGGGCCTAAACGTGGCACGGAGCACATTCTGGTGCTGCAGAGTTGAGCTGAGTTGAGCCGAGTTGACATGAGGACCCACTAGTGGAGACCGGAGCCTTGCGACGCCGCCCCCTCTAAACGCAGGGCGTTCGCTCGCGTCACACCAGAACCCCCATCGGAACACGTCCGGCTGCTGGTCAGCAAGTTTCGCGCGGAGATGCGGGCCGGCATGGGCCGGGGCGGGGCTGAGATGTCATGCTCCTCTGTTGCTGGTGGTGCCTGAGGCCAGAGGCGGTGGAGCTGGAGAGCAGGAGGGTGGACCACCGCGTGCTGAACTGCGAGGCCAGTGCCTCCCCCGCCATCAGAGCCGTGTCCCTCGACCAGTGGGAGCCGGAAACAGCCAACACGGCCTTGCAGCCGTCCCAGAGGTCTGCTGATTGCTGCAGTTGAGGAGGCCTAGCTTTAGCACTCAGATTGTCGAGGACGTTTTTTTGGGGGGGGTTCATAGGTCTGGATTGTATTTTGTTTTGTTTTTTTTGTCCAGGAGGAAATGTTGGAAACTGAAGCGGCATATTTGCATGGTTTTGTTTGTGTCGTTGAGTGCATTAACGGCGTTATCTGATTTAGCTTAAAATAGCTGTAGCATCATTACATACGTCGTTACAATAGGATGTCCGTGACCTTTTTGTTGCTTGGAGCAGTTTAACAAATCCCACTAGGCCCTACGTAACGTGCCTGTTGGGGATTTTGTGTGTTTGTTGCACAGTGTGAAGAATTCAAGCTATAGTCTACCATCCTACCACCCCTACAGCAACAGCTATGACTACTCCGACCAGAGCAGGCAGAGTGAGCGCTCGGGCCTCTGTGGACTCTCCAACCTCGGCAACACCTGCTTCATGAACTCTGCTGTGCAGGTAACGGCAATGCCTTCAGGGGACAAAAGTTTGTTCTTGGGGTCCAAAATAAGTACTTTAACACAGTTAAACTTTTAACAGTTGTTTCTTTCCTTTTAGCTTATCACCACGATCTAACCGAGTCACTACATTGTGGTTCGGAATTCAGGTCTTGTGAAGATTAGAAGATGCTCCGCTGATTGTCCTCTCCTTCCTCCCTCCCCCCAGTGTTTAAGCAATATCCCTCCTCTGACGGAGTACTTCGTCAAAGATAAGTTCACAGACGAGCTGAACAAGGACAACCCGCTGGGCATGAAGGGGGAGATCGCCAAAGCCTACGCCGATCTAATCAAGCAGATGTGGTCGGGAAAATTCAGCTACGTCACGCCAAGGCCTTTCAAGGTACCTGGGGAGGAAAACAAAAATACATATGGTACAATTCTCTCAGCAGTTTAGTATGATGGCGTCTCTATCGTGGCAGTTTGGGTTGGTGATGGAGGCCGGTCAGTATAGGGTCAGTCCGGGTCAGTCCTCTGTGTCTCCCACAGTCAGGCATTTGGAGCAGGGGGCAAAATTATGCATACTACTGTTACTACTCCGGTTTTTGTGCCCTTTTGTCATTGTCTCGCCGGTGTCTTCCGTGCTCCAGACCCAGGTGGGCCGCTTTGCCCCACAGTTTTCGGGCTACCAACAGCAGGACTCTCACGAGCTGCTGGCCTTTCTCCTGGACGGCCTTCACGAAGACTTGAACCGCATCAGGAAGAAGCCCTACATCCAGCTAAAGGACGCCAACGGCCGGCCAGACAAGGTGAGATCATAATGGCTCCGCTAACCACTCAAACCGTCTCCTCATCCTAAACTGTGTGTAGCTGGAGACTGCCCCTCTGAATGAGCACAGTGTTGTTCTTCCAACTGGCCGGCCACGTTTCTGAGGTTGCAGAAAAGGTAATGCCGATGATGATGTTGATATAACTCTGCCCCTCTACTTAATCGCACCAAATAGTTACATTATGATCTTCTGGACCTTTGCTTCTAGAAATGTTCTCTGCCTGGACCTCTTTACATTTTAGTTACATCTCTGCCTTATGAGTTTGCAGGTTGTTCATTATGATGTGTTTTACTTTCACAAATTAAAATGCACTGACTTTTCTATTGCTGGTCTACGTTTCGCTGCTCGTCTCAGGTGGTGGCGGAGGAGGCATGGGAGAACCACGTCAAGAGAAATGACTCCATCATTGTGGACATCTTCCACGGCCTTTTCAAGTCCACCCTGGTGTGTCCTGTGTGCTCCAAGGTCTCTGTGACCTTTGATCCTTTCTGCTACTTGACCCTGCCCCTGCCCATGAAGAAGGAGCGCACCCTAGAGGTGTACCTGGTCAGACTGGACCCTCTGGCCAAACCCACACAGGTACAACACGCACATTGCCCGAGCCGGGAAAGCGCCCGAACGGCACACAGCGCTGCGCCCCGACTATTGCGATTTCCTGTGATGTGTTTCCGCTTCAGTACAAGCTGACCGTGCCGAAGGTGGGCTACATCTCCGACCTGTGCACCTCCCTCTCCAACCTGTCTGAGGTGTCTGCTGAGAAGGTATACACGTCATCGTCCACTCGGCAGCTAGTGTTTTTGAAATGTGTCCAAAATATTTATCCTGCCATACCAGTAATAAATATCCTGGTTCATGTATATTGGTTCAGTCCGCCTACATTTCAAAAAGCCTTCTAACTGCCTTACACTAATTTCCCAGATGATTGTAACTGACATCTACAACCACCGCTTCCATCGGATCTTCGCCACCAATGAGAACCTCAGCAGCATCATGGAGAGAGACGATATCTATGTGTGAGTGTGAAACGTCAGTCAGACTTACTCTGAATTTAGATGTAATTTCAAACTTCAGATAACAGTCTAAATTTAAGTTCTTGGCCTGTTTCCATACATACAGATTCAAAACAGGGTTTTAGCTTAATTCATAGTGTGATTAGTTTGGTCTGTTTTATCAACTGGCATCATGCATTGGTTTAAAGGCTTCCTGGTTCGAATCCAGCAAATTCATTAACTTCACTACTGAAGCCTTGAAGCCACTTCAGAGATCAGCTTAATTGTTGGGGGCTGGACACACTTTAAAAACGCTTCATTTGCAGAGCACATTGGCTTTTTATTTCCATTCACAAGCTGTAAAACGCTGCGCCCTTGTCCGTGCAGATTTGAGTTGGCGGTGAACAGGGTGGAGGACACGGACCACGTGGTGATCCCGGTGCACCTGAGGGAGAAGTACAAGCAGTCCGGCTACAACCACACCAGCACGCCGCTGTTCGGACAGCCCTTCCTGCTCGCCGTTCCCAGAACCCTCAGCGAAGACAAGCTGTACAACATGCTGCTCCTGCGCCTCTGGTGCGTTTGATCTTCCCTCTTGTGTTTTGATCATATGGTCACTGTTGAGAAGATGGACTCCGGTGAATTGCTCCTTGACTTATGGCATTAAAAACCGTCTCTAAATAGGAAATAGTTTTTCTTTTTTTTCTTTTTTGTGCGTATACGCAGCCGCTTTGTGCGATCTTCAGTTGAGGAGGATGAAGAGGCATGTCAAGAGACGTCCAAGCAACACGCTGTCAACGGCAACGGCACTAATGGTCTGCAGGAGGAGGGGTCGCCAAGTGAGTCCACAACCCCCCCCACACACACTCCCACTCAAGATACGTTGCAGTCCCATTACCCGCAACACTTCACTTTCCTTTTCAACATCTCCTCCGTCCTCCCTCAGGCGAGATGGAAACCGACGAGCAGGACGAGGAGTCCAGTCAGGATCAGGAGCTGCCCTCCGAGAACGACAACAGCCAGTCGGAGGACTCCGTGGACAACGAGCTGGAGAACGGCGTGGTCGGCCCGCAGAACTCCACCAAACAGACCGCGGGGCGCAGCCGGAAGAGACTTTTTACATTCCAGTTCAATAACATGGGGAAAACGGACTTCTCCCTCATCAAGGAGGACACCAGGCAAATCCGCTTTGATGAGGGACACCTCCGACTGAGCGGTAGGAGCAGAGGCAAAATGAAACCCTGCGAGACGGCAGATGAATGGGGTTGTACAGTATTTGTGTGGAAAATAACAGATTGACGGTGGTAAAAATCGGAGATCTGATTTACATATCTCTGCTCTGTCTTTCGACAGACCGCTCTTATCTCTCCCTGGACTGGGAACCAGAGATGAAGAAGAAGTATTTTGACGAGACTGTCGTCGAGGTAAAGCCAATATCAGGAGGCATTCTCTGATGCAGACGAGCAACAATTTTACTGTAATCAAAAAGTCCCAGATTCAGTCCACGCTGCAGCCACTGCATCCTTAAAAATTGCCTTTAAAATATGCACATGCTCATTACATGATGAGCAGTTTGTGGCTAATTTGAAAATATCCCTCCATAGAATTGAATAATATTACTTTATTTAGTACAGCCTTTTGTTTTCATACATGCACCCAACTTGTTAAAAAGTGCATTTAAATTCAACCGTTTCGCGAAAGACCCTTAAGTAAACCTTTAGTTTAGCTAGTACTTACTTAAACTTGTGTTTAAAGCATAATGTCTGCACCAATGACGCAAGCACGGTCCACGTTGTTTAGTAAGACCCAAGGCTGGACTGCGAGACCAGTTGTCTTAATAGCTCATTTGTGTGTGGGAGCAGGACTTTGACAAGCATGAGAGCATGGAGTACAAGCCTCAGAAGAAGGCTTTCTTCAAGCTGAAGGACTGCATTGAACTTTTCACCACGAAGGAGAAACTGGGAGCCGAGGACCCATGGTGAGAAACGCTGCACGTTCACAGGCACGAGCACTGCGACACGTTGGCTCAACCGCATTGTGGGTCCTGTCCCGTAGGTACTGCCCAAGTTGTAAGCAGCACCAGCAGGCCACCAAGAAGCTGGACCTGTGGTCCCTGCCGCCGGTGTTGGTGGTCCATCTGAAACGCTTCTCCTACAGTCGATACATGAGGGATAAACTGGACTCCCTTGTTGATTTTCCACTCAGGTACTCCCTCTTAACCGCATACGCACGCACGCACGCACGCACGCACACACACACACACACACACACACACACTGTTGACTTCATCCACATTATATGGATGGAGAACGGATAAGGTAATAATGAATTTGTCTTTATTCGAAACGTGCATGAATTCGTTCATGCAAGTTGATCTTGTACACATATCACAAATTAAACAAGTTAAATGTGCTGTATTTTCCTGCAACACAACGTAGAACACTTATTTTCACTGGAGCACACATGACCACCGTGTGATGTGCTCACTGCAGAGACCTGGACATGTCAGAGTTCCTCATCAACCCCAATGCCGGGCCCTGCCGCTACGACCTCATCGCTGTGTCCAACCACTACGGCGGGATGGGTGGAGGCCACTGTAAGATGCCCCACGCATGCTACTGAGCGACGTCCCACAGCTGTTTGTTCCTTTATGCACCGACACTCTTAATCAACATATATATTATCCATTGCATGCCTTAAACACGGTGATTTAACCCTGCAAAGCAAGCTTCATGCAGACACCAGTCACAGCCTTGTATCCCTCTGGAGCTCACTAAGAGTTTTAAAGGCTTTGTGACCTAAATTCTGATGACTGCATTGCCGTCCTGTCAGGAAACGGCAGCATTACTGCTCTATTCAATTTTGGAATAATAAATGCAAGAGTTCTATGTACACGACACACTCGTTACACCAACCAAAGTGTGTGTGTGTGTGTGTGTGTGTGTGTGTGTGTGTGTTTGTTGCTTTAATTTTTTGTTTTAATCCAAACGGTGTGAGCACAGCATGGTGCACGTGTTGGGAGTACGGTCTGTGTGATGCTATAACCCTTCTTTTCATCCCTCCCCGCTCAGACACGGCTTACGCCAGGAACAAGGACGATGAGAAGTGGTACAACTTTGACGACAGCAGTGTGTCTCCCGCCAACGAAGATCAGATCGTGGTGAGCGTTCTCATTGACAGCAGCAACACTCGCGCTATTCATTTGCCAAATGCAGGATGGCTCATTTCATCAAAGTCCCACAATCATTTAAAAAAAAAAAGTTTGCTATTGCAAGGTTCCCGCGGGTCCTTAAAATGTCTTAAATTAAAATTTGGGTAATTAAGGTCTTAAATTGTCTGGTGGAGGTGGTTGGCGCCGGTTGAAAACAACAATGAGGAAATGTGTAAACTATGCAAAAAGACCTTTTCATTAGGGACCATGGGGCTCAAAGCCTTCGAGTCGCACATGAAAGGAGGAAAGCACCAGCGATACGTTCCAGAAGCTAGCCATAGCGGGCCAGGTTAATCCCTGCATTGTTTGCAGCACGACCTAACGACGTTACAAGTTTTACTTTTGAAATGGTGCAAGAACCCTGTATTGGTTGAGCGTGAAATATTTGGTAGTGAAATAAATAGCTTGACATCCAATGTAAAATCAAACTGAGTATTCATCATCTCTTTAACCACCTAGAATGTAGGTTGTGTTCCTCGCGTAAGTTTGTAATTCTATTTATTTAACGGAAGCACGGTGTCTTTGTGTAGCCGGCTAACGTAGTTCATCGTCTTTCCCTCAGTCCAAAGCCGGCTACGTGCTCTTCTACCAGCGCCAGGACACGGTGAAAGGCACCGGCTACTTTGCTCTCGACCGTGAGGAGGAGGACGAGGGGGAGGGGGAGGAAGGAGAAGAGGAAGAGGAGGAGGGAGAAGATGAGGAGAATAAAGGCGAGGAGAGGACGGATAGAAAAACCCCGTCGTTCACTAAAGGTGCCTCTTCCAGCGCCGCCGCATCGGCCGGTGCTCAGAGCGACGAAGAGGACCTGAACGAGAACCGGCGCAGGATGAACAACAACGAGCAGGGAGATGAGCAGCAGAAGGAGGAGGAGGAGGAGGAGGAGGAGGAAGAAGAGGAAGAAGAGGAGGAGGAGGAGGAGGAGGGAGCGGCCCCCATTCGAGATGTCACCATGAAAGGCAACTGAGGGCTACAGAGGACACGAATAAAAGGAAAGAGAGAGACGAGAATCTTTCCATCCACAGCCATAAGGACACAGCATGGCAGCGGGCGCCATCAGTCTCCACCCAGCAGCTCGGACTCGGCCACTCGACAGGCTGAGCCGCTGCGGGGGGGAGGGTACGCACCTCTTAAGGAATCAGAGCCCGTGTGTGTGTGTGTGTGTGTGTGTGTGTGTGAGAGAGAGTGTCGACCACGTCCATTTGTTTTTGTATTTGCTCACCTACTCTCTGAAAAGAGTCACTAAAGGACGTTGGGGGATGGATTTAGACCCCCACCCCTCCACTTCCTTTTTTGTGTTTTTTTTTATTTATATATATCTAATTTTGAGAGCAATGCATTATTGGAATATCATTTTTATTATTATCCTTTATAACTTGTAAATATTTTAAACACTGAATTCTATCGGGTTCTCATGATGCGCTGAAACCTTTTGAACTTCACCAATGAATTTTCATGTATTATTACCAGACATACTGCTATCGTCTCCGCCGTCATGGGCTTAGGAAGCTGCCTTCAGTGAGACGTGTGTACAGAACTTCTGCTCATAGCTGGTTTTATAAAGTGTCAAACAGCCAAACTGTCTTAGCTTTGTGATGCTGCTGCTGCGATCTTGTGTTTTTAGACATCATTAGACAGATGTTTGTGTTTCAGCAAGATCTTTGGTGATTTATAGGCCCTGCTTCTGCTGCCACTCTGTGGTCTCTGCTGTCTACTGAAAGGAAAAGGGGATTCAAAGGTCACCTAGGTAACTTTTGCATAGAATAATCATAATCTAACTTTGCACATTTGATTGGCAAACATGAATCAGTAAAACAAGTTTCACTCTTGTCTTAATAAACTCAACATCATTTGCAACTCTTACAAAAGATGTGTTTGAAAGTTAGCTGGCCGACTCTTAAATCCTCCGCCATGAATCACCTCATCAACTATTCCTCTAAGTTATTCATAGGTGGGTGTTTAAGGCTTTACATGGCTCACCCGTCCCTCTCCCGTTCTCTCTCTCTGCTCTTCTTATTTCGAGGCACTGAGATTAGGAACATCTGTGATTTTGCTGACATTGGATGGATCATTTCTTGTCTGGGATCACCTCGGCCTTACCTACCTGCACCAACACGTGTGCACGAATGTCCGTCTCATTTGTCTGCTCGTTCCATCGGCAGCCATGTCATCTCGCCATGAGAGGACCAGAATGTACGCTCGATAGTGTGAACACAGACCAGACGTATGTGGTATTTTTGGCTCCCCGCCTTGATTCTGGTTGAATGTGATGCTTTTAGGGGATGGAGGGAGTGAGTCTGCCCTAAAAAGGCCGATTGGCTTTTGGGAATGTCAGGCAGTGAACATATTTAGTGGCGGACTGTTGCAAGATATTCCTCCATCAGTCACTCGTGAAACTATTCTCCATGGAGGACTGTTGTGGTTTTCTTTTTTTTCTTCTTTTTAATTCTTCCATTGTAAACCGCATCAGTGTAGCTGTTGTTGCCTCCAAATATTACCTGTGTACCATGCCTTCATTAGGATGTCTGTGCGTCACTGCCTCAGCGCTGCCTTTTGGGAACCCCCCCTCGCTCCATCCTGACTGAGCGAGACGTGATTGCTGCTATAGGCTTATACAATACTGTACATAAGAGTTCACTCTGTGAGTGCACGTTTGATAAAGTTTATTTATTTAATATGTAAGCGTTTAATAATAAACAGACTATATTTAAAACCATGGCAAGATCTGACATCTCGCGGGGTGGTGGGGTGTGACTCCACGCGTACACACTGGTTTGCCGGGTCTTGCCTCTTGCTCTTGTCAGGGAGGGAATATTTTTCCACAAAAAAAAAAAAAACGTAATGATTGAAAGGGATGATTCTGTTTTGGGTCTCTTTGTAAAAAGAATCCAGACATCCTTGCATGAAGACATGATGAGGGAGTTCCGGGGTTGGCTGCACTTGAGTTCACTTGGGTTTACATTTGAAATGTGCATGTGTACTTACACACAATCTTCAATAAAGTTGTGTAAAGCTTCGTTTGAGCTGCGGGTTTCTTCTCTGTGCTGCGCAGGGTTCTGCTGCGCATGGCTCTACTATCAAAGGCACACATGTTTTATGTTCTTTTCATTCCTGCAGTAGCTCACATTTCCCTTTTCAAGGAGGATGGGAGTCAGTGCTCTGACCCCGTGGATGCAGCTGCTGCATGCTGATCTGCGCGAAGGAACTCTGTGTTCTGACGGGTTCTCTCTCTGCCCGCTGGAACCTGGGAGGTTCCTCCGGAGCGGCGGCTCGTCCTCCTAACCAATCAGGAGGAAGGAGAGGAGAGAGCCGGACAGCGCATCACTCGGGAGGAGAAGCCCGAAACCAACCAGAGACTAAATGATATCTTAAATACACCTTTTAGCTATTTCAATGAAAAGCATGAACGATTAACCATGCATTGCATTGCTCTTTTAAACTATTCCGGATAATTATGATTAAAAGATGGAGCTTAATAAAGGGCATCGATCACTTGATGGGGATTTGCCGCATCATATGAATATGAATGTATTTTTATTGGCTGCTAGTAGCTGGTGACGCACTCGAGCAGTTTCCTCTATCTCTGTTTAGGAAAACCCTTCGGAGTGAGACCTCGGCGTTTTTTTTTTTAATGTCCGATCTCCGTTCTTGCCAACACGCGACCTGACGTCCCCCCCCCCCACACACACCAGTGTGGATCCGAACGCGCGCTCGTGTCTCGGAGCCGAGCTCCTTTTTTTGACCGCGTGGGGCAACTTTTTCCCGTCAGGACGCAGATGCAGAAACGGGCGACAGAAGATGATACAACAGTCGGATGCTGTTCACGCTGCACGGGACATTTTTTTCTTCAGTTTTCTCGCATTCAACACAATCCGGGTAATATATAATATGATGATCTGCTTTACTGTAGCTTTCTTGGTAGTGTCTCGCGTGGATCACAATACATTGTTATTCATTTTAATACTCAGATATGCAATTTATTATAGCGTTACTCAAAATAGCCAGACATTGTAAATGCGTTGTGCGTCATCTGTTTAGGTGTGATTTATATTATTCGTGTTATTGCGGTGAACGGGCTTCTTCGCCTGCCTTTAATGTCAAATGCAGCATTTTTTTTTTTTACATGTTAATGCAATTATCTACACGCCGCGATCTTTTGTTTTTCTCCTTGCAATTTGACAAACTAATGCGGGTCAAGAAATCCATGGAGAGCCACCGCTCTGCTTCCGCATATGCCATTTCCACCGAGGTCATCTGAGGAGAGCGCAGGCGAATGTGCGAAAGGTAGAGGCGCTGCTTTTCCCTCCCTTTCCTCTCCCGTCTTTTCTTTTCCGCCTTTCTTTCTCTGGGTGGTTTTTTTTTTGTCTCGCTTTATTGCGGCCACGTTTTTGCCCCCACATCCCCGTGCGCTTTTACGCACAGCTACCCAGACTGAACGGGGATTCCGATGGAGCGAAGAGCACAAAAGGAAGGAGGATATGGGGGGGTCACACGCCTGAGAGCACCGAAATGGCCAACGCGCCGGTTGAGGTAGTAGTTTGTGCTGTTGGTCGGGTTGTCATATTGCCCCGTTTTGGAGATGACTGCGCAATCTACTGCCTTTTTCCGGCGCTGGCGACTTTACGACGGAGGAGTCGACGCGGATGACCGGGCTCACTGTGCGGTTTGTGGAACAGAATAATGTGGCCTCGAGTCTCCCGTGAAGCTGTTGCGTGTAAATGATCAGATGGGGGGAAAACAAATGTGCTGCAAGTTGAACGGCTGGGAGTTCCTAAATATTTCTCCCGTCTTTGTGTTTCTTCTCTTCGACTAGTTTTGTTTGATGTAATTTCCAACGAGTCAGGAAGAGTCAACAGGAAATTATTTTTAAAAAAATTGTTTCGTCCTTTGGAATTTAGAGAATTAACTTTGCATGTAAATTCTGCAATTCAGCCCAACAGCTTTGGCTCCTGCTCCGAAATGAAATTATTTATAGTGTTGTATTACTATTGTATAATAATAAATTCCAGTTAAAACATTGATTTCATCTCACCAATCTCCTAGGAAAGGTCCCCGAGGGAGTTTCCAAACTTAAAGTGGGCTTAAAGTTAAAAACCAACCTAATATAATTTGTAGCAGTTTATACAAATCCCACTCACACAATGGGAGCATTCACCCGTTTCTCATGTCTCGTGTCTTTTGTGATTAATGACTATGCATTGCGATTTGGAATCAAGGCTTTTAGCCGGGTCAACCTCATTATTAAGATTTGCGACAGTATTGTTTTGTCCTTCAGTTTTGCCGTTTAGCTCCACTCATGAATCCCTCTGTGCACTCAGTCCAACAAGAGGCCTGACCGTTTTTTCTTTTGCTTTCCCACAATGACAAACCAGGGAAGAAAAACTACAGTAATCTTGATTTGCTCTTTCGCACGTCTCCACCTCTGTGATGCAAAGCAACAGGAGTGATTGCATATCAAGGTTACCTGATATCAAATTATTCTCTCTTTAATGAGGCAAGCTACACTTGGTTTTACATTTATCTGTAACATTTATTTATTTATTTTTTCATTCCTGTAAAAGAATCACAAGGTAAACATTGCTTATTTTTTGCACAAAGAAACATTAAAAATATTTCTTTTGGACTTCATAAGTTATGGTCTTGTTTTACAAAATGTACATGTCACATTCACATATGGGGAGGTTGAGGCTAGCACAACGGTCACTTAATGGTTCTCCAATGGGCATCAAACTTCCTCTTTGCTACAGAAAAAACCCCTCCCACCTCTTCTCATGTTCCCGTTACCAACGTTCAGTCTAAAAAGGTAAGAAAACCCCACAATGGCAGTAACTACTTTACAACACAGCCAGTTCAGAAAGAGACTGTCGAGCCAAAGGGACAAAGTAAACTGTCAAGGACGTCCATCCATGTATATACAAATGTAGTGGAACTACTAAACCGCCCTGGAGGATGCCCAAACCTTTAGAAAATCCCTTTTAACGGCTTGCCCACTTGACCCACACACGATAATTGAACCTGAGTTGATGTGCTGCAGGTGGGTGGCACGATAGGATGACGAGGAGGGGGGGTCATGTATTCATTCTTTGACATTCATCTAAGAGAACAAGGCTTGATGACAGGTTTGAGGATTAAACATTCAACACATGTCTAAATAGGTTTACAGTTCAAAAAATGTCCACATCCGGGACGCATGCTGAGAAAATGCTTCGGTGGTGGCAGGACAGAGTCTACAAATAAACAAAGTAAAAAAATAGCTTCAAATTGCTTAAATGATGAAACTGCAGATGCAAATAATGACATATTACTGGAGGAACGGTTCCCCACACGAGTTCCAAACAAATGGAAATAGCTGCTGCTGCTGTGTCGGTAATTGTCAACAGCTAAATAGTCCAAAGATGATAAACAGCCCCTGGTACACACATCATGTGATGTGAAACGAAAGTTGAGACATTTTGGGAAATGCATTTCACCATAAAGCCAGGAAGTGTCCCAAAATGTCAACTTACTCCTTTTAACGATGGCGTCCCTCATCCTGGCATTGCAGGATTTTTAAATCTCCCATATGGCCGTTTGTATTAAATAAGGAGCCCAAAGGTTTCGGTCGAGCAGACGGTGAAATCTAAACTATCGTTGTGTTTTTTTGGAAGCTTTTCATTATTTGCTGTTACGGTTTTTCCAGACTGGAATCCAACAACATGAGAATTGATCCCGAAGTTCATAGCTTGTCCTTCTTTGTGTTCTCCGTCAGGCAGTTGTTATTTTAGCATTATAGCATTCCCGTCCCTCACAAAGGATCATACCCGTAGCTCTTGTGCTGAGGATTGTAACAACTCTTAAGGAACCACAACCGTAGAAACATATGCATGGTCTATGCACATCTACAAACAATTACCATTATCACTAGCGCTTTGATGCATTACAAATACAAATCCAGTCCGTATAAAAGACACACCGCAGTGTAAAGCATTGAGCCGTCGCCCTATTGGCCGGGCCCCAATAGGTCACTGCATGCACCGACAAAATCACTACGTCCAAACCCGATGCTGCTTGCGGCAAAACCCGCTAAAGACAAATGGAATGTGCATCAAGCATGTGGAGCAAACAAAGCCTGCAGGACACGTTAATGCAAAGCAAACAAAATAAATGCCTTGCTTTTGTTTGGATTGACTGATTGTATTTTGTGATAGTTCATTTGATTGCCCCTTTATATTTCACATCTAATGGATACTTGGTCAATGGTGTGGGTCAGTCTAAAGTGCGAGCAACTTGATGTAAAATTCATCTCATCTAATGTTTTGTCTTGTGGATTCATCCCTTTTACATGTGAGAGGTGGGACCTTCTCCTTGAGTTTAAGCCTCCCGCTCTATGCTGAGGCTCCCAGGTCCTAAGGTCCCACCTCTCACATACAGTATAAACTTTTATTTTACTTTTAGCTCCTGCTTTGCTAAGAGGAGCCAATCTTCCTGATGATATATGAGAGTGGTATCAAACATCTCATCTCAAAAAAATGAGATGTTTTAACCCTAAGTGGGGAAACATGGATGTTTTCATGATTTATCTCACGACTCCATGTCCGATGAAATGACTTAACATGACGTTGAACGTCCTTTTGCGTGCACACGTTAAATGATGGCAATTTTACAAATAATACATAAAACCACATCACACCATGTCTTCGCTGTCATTGGTCCACAGCTCCCACCTGGGTGTGACTTGCTACTGTGAGGTGGTCAACTTCCGGTCCGTATCCCTTTTTGTCGCTCATGAAGTTCCCTTCGCCCCCGAAAAAAAAGTCTCTCTCAAAAAAAAAAAAAAAACAGTTCCGCTTGGATCGGAGCGAGCCAAAAATCTGCAATCCGTCATGTGATCTAAAAAGCAATATGTGGTAGCAGTTCCCGAGCCGGTGACTCCTGTGAAGTTGCACTGAGGCAGAACTGAACACGCATCCGAGCCGAGTCACCTCTGTCCGTGGTGGCGAGACGAAAGAGTCTACTTTCATTTATAAAACCGAGGCGACCGTACAGTAAAGGAGGAGAGCGGCGGAGTTTAAGGAGTGGTAGGAAGAAAGCCCGGCGAGAGGAGGAAGAGGGGGGAGGAAGAGAAGAGGGTTTTTTTTTTTCTTTGTTTTGGAAGAACCTATCTATCACAGCTTTCACATCCGTGCAGAAGTTCAGTCGCTGTTCCATCAAATTTAGATCTGTGCCCCGAATAAAAAAGAAAAAAAATCGAATTACCGCCTGTAGACAATATTTGTCTCGCTTTTCTGACCTTTCGTAAATAGACCAAACAAAGCGGAGCTCCCTCTAGCAACCTCTGAACTCCCGCAGAGATACGAAACGCGGACAAAAACCTAAACATCAGACAGACATGAGAACGTCACTCTGAGGGGACAACGTGTGCAAACGGCAACCAGGAAACTCAGAACAGGGATTCTCGGCCCAAGTCGACCCGCTCGCTCTCCTCAGGGCTGACGGTTGCTGTACATCAGCGGGATGATGAAGGCGGTGATGTCGTCTCCGGAGCCCAGGCGCTCGTTGGTGATCCTCCAGCCTCGCTCGCGGAGCACGCCGCGTGCTCGCATCACCAGCTCTTGTGCCGCCATGGTGTACCTGTTTTTTTCAGGATAAGACGACACGGAGAGGATGGTCAGGCTTTTTCGGTTTTTCAAGTTTGGCCAAATCACCAAAGCAACACGACTTGAGGCTCGCTCCGGCGCAGGCTCTTCTGAGAAAAAAAGGGCAGCTATCTTCATCCTCATTGATGAAGGAGCGATATTGGTTAGATTACGTTTTATAGGGAGAGAGTTCTCCGAGATCACACAGATCCCACATTACATGTTTTTACTGTACAAGCGATGCTGAAGACAAGGAATCATTTACTTAGAAGAAGACCTTCTTGAGGTTCTGTTTTGTTTCTTTGCCCTGATTAGTTTCATCCGTGCCTCATGCTGAATAAAGTCTCCCCCTGTCTTCTGCCAGTGAACCCGGGGGCTGGATTCAAATAGTAAGCAAAAAGGACTTTCTGAATCCAGCATGTCCACATGTAGTGTGTCCCCCCTCCTCCCCTCCAGAGCTCATTTGGGTTCCTAGTTGATTTCCTTTTTTAAGTCTTGTGTTTTTACTTCCCCTGCCAGCCAGACCAACTGCTTTTGGACTCTACGTCCCTGCTTTTGGGGCTCAGTTGTAGTTTCCTTTTGATAATAACTGCGACAGAAATAAATACGGACAAATAAAGGAATCAAGACAGAGAAAAGGAAGGAGCTGCAGACCTGCGCAGGTCGTCGGGGTCACAGTTGGCCAGGAACGAGGTGACGGTTTCGGCGACTTCCTGGTTGGAGAGGACATCCCAGAGGCCGTCGGTTCCCATCACCAGAACATCGTCGGCCCCGTGCTCGTACTCCATCAGGTCGTACACCTTCACCTGTGGGCCAAAACGTGTTTATCCAAAAGCAGTGACGGCATTAATGTCAGCTCTGAAATCAGAACGTGAAGTGAAAGATTCCTTTAGCGGCCCGCAAGCTCGAGTACACGCAGCGAAATGAGCGCACATGTCCCGGCCATACTGACCCAATCCCCCCACTAATCAACGCACGGCGTTTCTGTTTTCTTTTTTTTTACAATTTAATGAATTCAGGGCGTTTTTCCTTCAACGAGCGCATCATGGAGAAACTCCTTGAAAAGACTGCGGAGGGATGAAAGAAACACAGAGTGCTGGGAGGACTAGAGTCGTCCATGTGAACCTCAAATGAACCCGGGTACGAATGGATTAAAGATGGAGCACCGAGAACCTGGGAGGCGGGACAGCAATGCAGATGTGAAGCATTGCCAGCATGTGTTTGACTTCGCCTTGATACGTTGCAGAAATACAAAATCCATAAAACAAACCTCAGCGTAAAAAAAAAACGTTTGCCTCGTCCCCTCAGAAGGACACGCGTGACAAAACAACAGATCAGGAAAGAACCCACAAGGAACGCAGGAAAGACACATCTGCAGTCGATTGGGTTGAGATTGTAAATGTCGAGCAAAAACAACAGGGAGGGTGTTGGTCATGTTCTGCCCAAGCAGGACTGGAAGCAATTACATTTTTGTACTTTTAACACGCTGCCCTGATCTATAAGCTCAGGCATTGTTCCTGCTGCCTTTGTTGGCACATATTTTGTGTTTTCTTGGCTTGTTACAACAATCCCTAGGTAGTTGGCATCGTGACTGACACACAACCAGAAATCAAATATCTCCACGCATGAATCACACAGATGGATTTGGAGTAGTAGCTGGTTGGAAGCTTCATAGAAAAACACAATCCATCTCTTCCCTTACATTTTGTTACCGAGGAGAGAAACGCTGCATTTCCTATTAATTATGTAGTAAAGAAAAAAAATGTGTTTATCCATTGAACTAGAACGTAGTGACATTTGCAGCCGCTGAGCAGCTAATTAGCGATCGAGGCGGCAAACTGAGTGTGTGCAGAGTTCTTTTGTTGAGCGAGCGATAATGTGAATCGGAGTTTAGAGCCTGTGGCTCTTTTGTTAGTTAGCTGTAATAAGGTTTGACACAACTGCATCATGTTTCCCGTAAGTATTCTACGCAGCTGATGTGGATGCCGTGGGAGTCCAACAAAAAGCAATTTATTTCTCAGTTGACCTTTTAAATCACTGATTGTGTGTCAGCGAGTTGGATCCTACCTCGGGGCAACAGGACAGGAACGGCTTGATGTAGATGTTGGAGTCATGAACTTTGAGGTCATGGTCGCCGAGCCCTCGAGTCACCCCGATGGTGGCCAAGACACGCGCCTGTAGAAAAAGATCAAAGCATGTAAAAGATCTACAAGCGTCGATGAACATTCGAAGCGCTTCGTGCGACTCGTCCGAGGGATTGCGTTCACTTTGGGCCTCCTCCTCCTCCTCCACCACCTCCTCCTCCTCCTTCGTTCTCCTCCCCTGCAGTCCAGTGGGGATTAGCTTTGCTTCTCAGGGAGACGACTGTCATCTCCAGAGTGGTGTGTGTCTGTCTGAACGTCTGTCAGTGTGTGTGTGTGTGTTAGATACCGGAGTGAAACAGATGAACTGTCTCCTCTCTGTTCTAGTGAAGCTGTACATTGATACACACACATGTACACACACACACACACACACACACACACACACACACACACACACTGTGTAGTGCTCGCACATCACAGACCGAGTGTTCGCCCAGTCTCTGCGTAGCTGGCTGGCATGCAGTGTGTGTCAGATTGAAAGTTTTAGAGTTCTGAATTGAAGAGGAGATGTACAGAACGCACGGGCACACACACACACACACACACACACACACACACACACACACACACACACACACACACACACACACACACACACACACACACGCTTACCTTTTTTCCTTCCCCATATATTAGGGGGAACTTGAGATCTTCATCCCCAATGGTCTTGTACGCCCTGTGTTTGAGGATGGAATAGAAAAGCAGAACCAGAGAGAATGAATCTTTTCTCTCTTCCTGTCTGACACATTCACACCCAAAGGGCCGGATAGCGGAGTGAGGGGGAAGAGCGAAGCCCCCCCCCCCCCACCTCACTCCCTCACCCCCTCAGGTGCACCGTTATCCGTCCACACGCGTAACCGACTGCAGTGCGACTTCTGCTTTGTAGCTCAGATGTCTTACATCTTTCAAATCAAAACCGGTGCTGGGACGTCTTCACCATTTAAGCTCCAAATAATAAACTTCCCATCATGAGGATGGATTTTACATTTATATTAAATATGATTAAAACTCACAAACCGGAGCTTTCGCGTCAGACTGAAAGTCCATGTGCTTAAACTAGCTGGATTAGACTTGGTGTCACCGGCTCAGCAGAGAATATCAACCACTTCAAAAGGCTTAACGTCTGCGTCTCTCTCTGCCCATCTTAAAAAAAAAAATATCGAGATGTGTACTTTTTCCCGCCCCGTTTGCCGCCATCTGTCTGGCATTTTTGCATTTTTATATTTTTAGAAAACGGGAGATTTTAAGACATCGGCTCGGGCTGATGAGCATGAACATGGCTTTGCTCAGGGGCATCTCAGAAGTTTTAGCCAAAAATTAGAAAAAAATATTAATGAAGATTATTCTCCAGCTGCCTTGATTTTTGACCATTGCTGATTTGAAAATGTTGTGGCCCTTTTGAGTCTGGACTTTTGGCCCCCAGTTTTAGATGCAGTATGTGACAATAGCCGGTCCGTGCGAGATATAAACAAGATAAAAATAACCCTCCCAAACTACTTCCTTCCATGGATGCGAAGGGGAACATTAACAGTGGTCCACATTTCCGCTCCCGACGGTGAACTTGTGGTGAAATATATGTCACACAACCCCCACAGTACTGTGTGTGGCTTAACGCGCCAGTGAGCAGTAAAAACACGCATCCCATTACCTGCTTCCACTGAACCCCGAGTCAGATGGTGCATCAGTGGCAGGTACAGAGGCATCCATTACTGCTGTGTCACTATATCATATCCAGTTTAACTGCTCCCTCATTAGCCGGTCTGTTCGGCCCCGGATGCATAGATGGGTGTAAGCCAGGAGGGAGAGCCGGAAGATGAGGTTGAGATTGCAGCGCTTAGCAGCTAATAGATTTTTTTCTTGATTATTGTTAAAGGTAAATGCAGCAGGAGATGTCTTTGTCTGCTCAGTGAACATAGCGAGTCCGGGGCGGATGATGAATAAGTGACTTACCATCCGTTCATGGTGAAATCTCTGTAGAGCATCCTCTTTCCCACCTCCTTCCTCTGAACCCGCCGAGGAAATTCCAGGTGGGTGAACTCATTTCCCAACAGGTGAGGCTGCATGAAACCCTGGAGGACAAAGCGATGGTCTTCAAGTCAGTCAAGCTTCCTTTTTGTCGTTTGAATTTAGCGAGTGGAACGTTTCTTATGATGTACTGGGCTCCTCTTCATTTGGTTATTGGAGGGGGATGTTTTACTCTCTCATGAATAAACCTAGCATTGCTCTCTGGTGGACAAACTACTTAATGGAGACACCTGAGACCTACTGCAATTATTTCACAATTTACTTTACATTCATGAGGATTGATAATAATATCAGCCATGCTATTCTAATGGTCAGGAACCATTTCGCTCTTTCATGTATAATACTGTACGTCAATATCTGTGCATCTTAACCGGCAGTAATGGTTTGTTAGTGAGCTTTCCATTGCTTCCTTATGAAGAGGGAACAAGAGAGTGTATCAAAAAGTCATCATTGAAATGTATTCGTGAAATCAAAATGATGAACAGGTCCTTTAGGCCCAACCAAACCTTTTGGTTGGGTATTCCCCGGTGCACATCTCTCTAGGAAATGGATGAGCATCAGCTGCCCTTGTTGATTAGTGTTGCTTGTTAAGTGAAAACAGGGTTTAACAATGGAGCGCTGCAGTTCCGTGAATTAGACATTTCGGAACATCTGGTTCCACTTTGAATGACTTTTTGAATGTCGTTGGTTAACACCAGCTCAATAGACAGCTCAATAGACTGTCTTGTTTAGTTCAAGGATATAAAATTAATCATGTCCACATCCATCCATCATCACCACAATTTTGAAGCTTGTATGTTTTTCAAAAAGGGGGCTAACAAGTGGCTAAATGAAACTAGAGGAAATAAATTACAAATTGGAAGCTAAGCAGGAACATTAATGTCATGCAACCAGGTGTGGTTGGTTTGAAGTCAAACATCAGGTTCATACGTATGAAAATTTGCTTTCACGCTTCTAAAGCAACAATTGCAACAATTCTCAATATTTTCCGGTCACACTTCAGATGGACGACGACCGTAGGTGTCGCACAGCAGACGCGTGAACACTTCTCACCAGGAACTGGAGTCGCTGGCGTTCCGATTCTGGTGTGAACTCTGTCGACACGGGAATGATCTCATTGTGTCTAATGACGATGGCCCTGTTCACACGGAAAAGAAGTACAGGTAATGTACAGGCAACCTTGCAGTGAATAGAATGCTAATTTCTACCATTAAGGGAGAGACACAAAGTTGTTTTTCTTCAATGGACAGAAGATCAGCGTACACACCTGCTGTCACCTGCATTCCCGATGTATAGTTTTCCGAGCAGGTAAACCACTGTGAGCGCTGTACATCCTCCTGTGATGTGAAAGACTTGCCTCTCCCTCTCGATCTGGGCATCCTGCAAAAGGGGGACGGTTGTCAATCAAGCCTTAAGAACCTCCCACGCATTAAAAATAAAAAGACTCCACAGTGTGTGTGCAGCCCACACAAGCAGCGGGAAGCTTTAAATGCAGATTGTCTCCCTTTGTCTATTTCCTAACATGCATAAATGTGACTGGAGATGGAGAGAGAAAAAACCTGGAACAGAGACCGGAGCAAGATAAAAATTTGATAAACTTTTTTAGAAAGCCCGGATGCATGGACATCGCTGCAGACTATCGATCGCTTCGGCCTCAGCCTCATGCAGAGTAAACAGAAGAGAACAGAAGCGCTTGCACATGAATAATGTAGGCCGTGATATGAGAGCGGGTTTGTACACCGCCCGCTCTCATATCAAGGTCCAAGAGGCTTTATACTGATCACAAATGCCTCCCACCGCCTAAACCTGATAATGGCCATTAACATGTGTTTTCATGTTGTGGGTTTGTCATTTTTTTCTTCTTATTTCAATTAAGCAGAAGCCCTGCAGCCACAACTCCCCCCCCCCCCGAGGATGTCAAATCAAATCTAAGGGAGATTGTCATCGTGATGGTGAAAGCAGCCTTTCACCAGGATATGAAGCGTGTGGACGGCTTCCGGATGCCATCTAGTGTTCTCGCCACGAAGCAATTCTAAAGAAACGGTGAATGAAAGGATAAAAGAAGCCCTCTAAGACGTAGCTGTTCCTTCAGTAGTTTTTCAGCAGGAATTTTCAGGTAAAAATGCCACGTGAAAAAAAATAAAGCAAAAACATCATATTTGGTGAGATGCTGCGCTTGAACCACAGAAATCCGCAGTGCGTACGTGTGCGTTTAGCTCGGAGCTGTCGTTTGACAAGCTCTCTGAGGCCTGAATGAACATTAAACTGTATAGTATAGAAACTACAAAAAGGATTGTGTGTGTGTGTGTGTGTGTGTGTGTGTGCGCGCGCCTTTCAAGCCTCAGATCAGAAAATCCGTGTGTGTGAACAACATATGTCATACAATGACAGCAGAGACATTTGTGTTGGCTCCCTCAGTAGCTACATTTCCACATCTGCTTAGTGTTAATGCAAACAAATATTCACTCCACGCACACGTCAGCTGCTGCCGCGAATAAATACACACACTAATTTTTCCATTAGTGTGGAAAAAACACAGTCCAACAAAACAGGGAGAAGGGCGTCGGTTCTCAATGATAATAAATCAACGCCCACCATCTCTTTGAAGGCGTTCTCTATGGCTCCAATCACCAGACTCTCGTGCTGGATCTTCTTCTCCGTGAAGAAGCGCGCCGGAGGCGGGGTGTTGCACGGGGAAGTCGGCGCGCCCGCGGCCCCGCGCAGTGAAGCTGCCCGGGTGAGGGCTCGCTGGGGGCCCGCGGGGTTCCCCTGGAGGTAGGGGTTGCTGTCGGGCTCCTCGCCCAAGACGGTCGGGGGCGGCGAGGCCGCGTTTCGTATGATCTCGACGACTGTCTGGAGCTGACGGGCGATGTGGTGCTGAAGCAGGCGGGAGGCCACGACCGCCGCGCCGGAGCCGGCGTGGCCGTCGAACAGGGCCCAGTAGTGGAAGACCAGTCCCTCGCTGTCCTGCAGGGGCAAGGGCAAAGGTGCAGCGGCACACGGTAACAGAGCAGATGAACAGTTTGAATTGAATACGCATTCAAAATTTGCTTTACATACAGTGTGCTGAGGAAATCATCACAGAATGCATTAACTCAAATGTGGTTTGGTTGAGCCCACTTTTTATGTTTTGAAAACGGGGCGGGGCCATCGATCACCTGGATGATGGGTTCTCGCTGGAAAATCTGGACCAGCACAAGAGGCATGGTGATGCTAAAAGCACTTCAAAAATGCAAGCTGTCGAGTCCTTGACAAATAACGTGCTGATGGATGAATACTACACATTTTGCATACAGCATGACATATCAGGAATATTAGGAAGGAATATAACGGACATTTGAGAAAGGACTGACTAAACAGCTGGGTGACCAATACTGCCAGGTGGCTTGTGGTAAGGTGTGAGTCATCTCCAAACAGCGCGACTCATCCTGTCCAATAGTGTTTGCAAGCTGCAGAGGTCAAACCTCCTCGTCTCTTCATTTCTCCCTGAAACAGTCCCCCCCCCCCCACCTCTGTCGTGACTGTGCCGTCACACACTCTTGCTTGGTATTATCTGACCTTGAATAAACTTTATCTGCCAGACAAAGTTACATTTCCTTCTTCCGCTTGACGATTTCAAATCCAAGCAGTTGCTTTTTTTAACGTTTATTTGCTTACTTATTCATACGTCTTGTACAGCTCCATTGTGCCACAACTACACACATGAGGGGAAGAAATCCTCCTAGTGGTTAGTGGTTAGTTAGGTCACTGACCCCCCCCCTTAAGTCATCTGTGTTTTTAAGTGTACCATGAAAGTATGCTGCCTAACCATGGCCCATATGCCAACACTTTGAGTGCATTTGTGGCTTGGCTCACCTCTCCCAGATTGCTTTGCTCCACCCGGAGCCCCAGGCCCTCTCCGTTGGGAAGGGAGTTGCGCTTCATGGTCGTCGGGGTCTTGCTGGGCGTGGAGGGGGGGCAGTAGCTCATCGGCCTCCTTCTCGTTACGACCACCTCGCAGCACGCCTGGTCCTCATTCAGCGCACTCTTACCGGCATTAATCACCCTGAAACAAAGACACGGTTTCAACAGGTTAACTAAAATTTCATTTTTATCATTTTTTTTAACAGATCCATTTTTTTTTGCCTTCAAACAACAGATGCGCCACACAGGCTGCAATCGTCCGGTCCGACAGCTGTGGTCCGGAAACAAAGCGGCCCGAATGAAAGCGGGGCATCGGATGCTCTTTGTCGGATGAAACGGCACTGGGGGGCCTTTCATGGTTATTGTGGCTCAGTGGAGGATCACAGCAATTAGTCCGAGGCCGCGGCCTGCGGTTTCTGTGCGTGAGCCCGCCGGCTTTGTGCGTCTCGTGTTCCTGATGGAGATCAAACGGGAGAGCCTGTTTGTGGTGCAACCAGCAGCGTGTCCTGATGCATCACGACAGCTGCTTCTGGGAGAATTACAGGTCTTTGTTTATGTGTGTGTGTGTGTGTGTGTGTGTGTGTGTGACTAAACATGCTTCAAAGCTTTGTGTCTGTGTGTGTGTGTATTATTCATCTTTCTATGGACCCCAATTAACCAGCCAGACCACAGCGACAAAACCCTCAGTAATGTCTGAGCACGTGGCGACGCAATAACTGTGTGGTTTGCATGGAAGTGATGCTTATTGTCTGATATTTGTTTGTGTTGTGGTCACAAACAGAGCGAGATGAGCGGCAGACAAAGGACTGAGAACACAGCTGAGACCCCGATTGTCGATATAACTGAATCGGCTCGGATTCAATTTTTGGGTTATTAGCTGTTCACTGCGAACATGGCTGTGGAGGTCCTGCCATTACTTACTGCTCTTGTTTACATAGCAGTGACATTCAAAAATAAGACAACTTGCAACAATAACTGAGTAAATCAATCTCCATATCTAAGGTGTTAGAATGAATTTGCAGCACTTATGAATAATAAGCTAAATAAGCAAATGGCTACCAATGAATGGTGAGGAAATAAGGATTGTGGAGTCAGCTCTAGTGAGGCTGGCGAGTGAGACAGGCGTCTCTGGAGGGTGTTGTGAGTGTGAGTGTGTGCGCGTTGAGAAATTGGCATGTCTATTTATAGACACCGACTTTGGATGTTTCTCTGCTACTATAGGAGGCATCAAAGTGTGGTTCTTCGCCTCAAAGGCTTTTTCACCTCAGAGAGAAAGGGAAGGATAGTGACAGGCCCACAGGGAAGCAGCCAAAACATGCAGATATATTTAGCAAAACGTGATCTTTCATGCATGCGTTACTGTGAGTCTGTATTTTAGAATTGGATTTTTCTTTATTGACATTGTTTCATGGTCGTCTACACACGGGCTTTGCGAACACCCATCCGTGCAAATTAAGTATTGTTAAATTTGAAAGCGAGACAAAGGGAGACAAGGCCTTTTCCGCTGCAGATTACGTGTTGATTTAATGGATACCAAATCAATAAAAGCTTTTGTATTTTGTATCTGGTTCAAGTGGATATTCAATAGCCAGGGAGCCTTTTGTGAACATGTGTACAGCAACATCGTCTGATTAGTGCATCAAACTGCGTATTTGGCTGAAACTGGCAGCGCTTTGGTCATCCAGTGTCAGTCGGCATGTATGCATAGGAGCTATCGCGTCCAGAGGACCGGTCCTTGCCACGATTACGCAGCTCTGCCTTCAAACACAATCTATTTCATTTCTGCACCCGAGCGAAAGGCCTCGGAGTTCTGACGGTCATAAAACACTGATGCATCGAGCACTTTGGAGCTCATGATGGACGGGAAGTCTGCTTCATTTGGTTCTGCCGTCACCAATCCCAGTAATGGGATGACTTCAATCAAGTCTCATTTGGAACAATTAGCTTTCCTCCCATTAGAAACTAAATGTCATTTCTCCCTCCATTGTCAGACATCTAATGCCGCCTTTGTTTCTCTACCCGCTGCAACCAATTCTGGGCCAGAAAATGGCCTCGAGGATGAGATAATTATTTGGTGAAGCACAATGGTTCACAAAGCTTTGCCTCCGTTCAACTCTGAACATCAAGCGAACAAGAACAGCAAAAGAGCTGCGAGTAAAATGCATAAAACTGCCTTTAACAAAGTCTCACTTTAGTACATTTCCTCGAGGGTTTTTCGTTCAGGACGGAACACCCATCTGAATGTTAGAGATAAGACAATGCAACAGCAAAGTGGGAGCGTTTGAATGTAAGAATGGGTTTGTCTCGTGACTGTGAGGAACATCACAAAAAAATGTCAAACACACCACTTTCGCTTTGGGGGTTTTCCTTACATACAAAAACTTAGTAGTTCCTGTTCCCGCTCTTTTGGTTGTGAGCAGAAGGCGTGTAGCGAGCGGGAAGCCGAGGAGCCCAAACCGCCTGCTGTAATGACGACACACACAAGGCTTTGATTACAGATGAACTCATTACCGACAGCGGTCCCAAAGAGGCGCTGGCGTCCGCTCGCATGTATCACGTTTAGTATTGTTGTATTGCAATCCAGTGGGAGAAAGGAGGCCTTTCAAATAATAAATGTCCCCCCGAGGGACAAAACCTTACAAGATTGCGAATGGGAAGAAAAAAGAAGGAAGAAGCGCTCGAAGGAAAGCGGTTGTTAATTCATCGATATGCCTCTAGGAATAATTACCGCTGAGTCACACTCTGTTCTAATCTTCTACTCCTTTTGTGATGCTTTCCTTCGTTCCTTGGTAAACACTCAAGATTCTGTGTATCTCGCTGTGAAACATTAACCACAGCCATTGCTGGCATCAGGGTGGAGAGGCAGATTGTCCTCTAGGAGACTCATCCTTTGTGATGGCTGCAGACAGAATTCTGTTGAACCCGCCGCGCACACGCGCTTCAGACATTTGGTTCCATCGTATGACCACATCCAGCCTGCGTTTATAGCCGGCCATTTGTCCCGACCAAATAAAGGGCCTTTTATGACGGCCAAGGCTACGGGGTTCGTCCAATCGCACAGTACCATTCGCAGGGCTTATCATTAAGTCAACAGGAGGTACATATGAACATCCAGCTTACGGTAAACATATAGAGCAGATATCAGCTCATGTATCAACAATGTCTCCACCCTCATACTGATATCGCCATTGTTCCAAAAGGGTCCAATAAGACTATAGGCCCAATTACGAAATGTGCAGCTGCATCTTTTTGAACTGGTTCACCGCCAGTAAACCTAAAGCCTACTGGCAGGCAATCTCTGACCCTCCACAGCTGGGACATAAGAGCCAGATGCTGCTGGTAGCATTATCCTACTTGCACGTGAAAACCAGCTCGAGCTCTCCGTGTCTCTAAAGCTCGCCAATTTCAAATGACATGCAAAGCTCGGGAGGGCGAAGTGATGCTTGGGTGCGTTTCACAACAAAGCCGGATGCGGCGTCACACAACAGGTGCGGGTCCTGCATCCAGTTGGTGCTTTTTCCATCTGTTGCGATGGAAGACGCGACACAGATGCCCCCCCAACGTCAATGGCCATCGGCCGGGGGTGGAGTGGGGGGGGGGGGGGGCCTGACGGCAGCCCCGCGGCGCGGTTACTCACTCTGCGTATCCGGTGGCCCACGGCAATCTGCGCGTCTTCTTCAGGATGAGGATGGGCCGAGCTGCGTGGTCCGCGGAGCACTCGATCTCATCCGGCGACAACCCCAGGAACTCGGGTCTCATGTAGGGGAATTTCAGCGGCAGCTCGGAGCCGGCGCCGCCGGCTGCGCCGGAGCCGCCGCCGCCCCCGCCGCCGGGCATCATGCCGCCCATGAAGCCGGCCACCGCTGACTTGACCCGGGTGAGCATGTTGGTGGCGCGTCGCGGCGGGTCGTCCGTCGGGCAGTGCGAGGCACCGCGGCTCCCTTTGCCCGGATTCCCCCCCAGCTCGTTCGCGGTGTTCGGACGGTCGCAGATCGATGGAGAACCAGCGGAGGAGGAGGAGGAGTAGGAGGAGGAGGAAGAGGAAGAGGAGGCGGCGGAGGAGGAGGAGGAAGAGGACCTCAGGTGGTTAGAGCTTCATGCATTCGGAGCGGAGACGACAGCCGCAGCCGGAGGAGAGGGATGAGGAGATCGGCTCCGGTGCAGAAGGTCCGGCGCTGCACAGCCACGGGGAGTCATTGATAACAGCTCGGCCTCCGTGAACGCGGAAATACATGGAGGATTAACGGGTCATGTGATGCAACCATGGGCGCACACTGCAAAAAATGTTAACTCCACGTTTGGGCTCCACCTTTTTATAAAGCCCCCCCCCCCCCACAATGTATGGATTCTTATATTTGTTAACGCAAAAAATAACATATAAATATATAATTAATTGTGATGGAAGATAAAATAACATATGCGTAAGACATTTTTTTTGCGTGCCACTTTATGGTCTTTCGAAGCGTTAAAATCCACTGATGAGTCACTCTTAAAATGGCTGTGATTTGGTAATACAGTACAGGTTAGACTATAACTTCTCACTGGAATGGAAGATATTCTATCAATGATTTCTATGAATAAATATATTCTTTATCCAGAGAAAATAACGTTGTTTAGTATAGATGATTTGGGCACACTGGTGTCTTTTACAGTGCAGGATGAGCAGCTTACAGTAGCAGGTTAAAGATAAATCAGCCCTACAGTCATTACACGGGCTGTAGAATCCCTGCCCTTGTACTGTACTGTATATCCGGTGCTACAGTGGAACCCTTCACACGGGGTGCTTGCATCATGTCAGGAAGAATTTTGATGATCATATGGAAAAGGGCTTCTGCCTCATTTAATAACCATCTTTTTATAATTCCCATTTGTTGGGTTAACCCGAGAGCGTTTCCTGCAGCCCATCTCTTCAGTATTTAACGATCAATCAGTTGATTAAATCACCAGGCCGGGGTGCAGAAGGTCACACTGTGTGATTACTTTGTGATATTGCGATGCTTGGTCATTCAACAGATCTTTTAAGATACCGTTTTAAGCGACGTTTATAGGTTAACATTAATTGAATCAACTGAAAGGACTTTAGCCATGATCAATCAGTTGGGGGGGAGGATCTGTTTGCAATGACGATGATAGTTGATTGTTTCAATTTGTAGTACTATCAAAATAAGTTGTTTTTAAACTCCTATTTCACCCTTCTTCAATATTAGCAATAATAATAATAAGTACTTGTTTTGAGGGTTATCAAGTTTTGAAAACCTGAATCCTTGTACCATTTTATAATTTGTCCCCAAGCCTGTACTTCAACAAAAGGCAAGTGGTTTATTTTCTTAACTACAGAAAGAATATAATTGGACGGAACTCTGTTCATTTCCTCCTATCAACAATAGTTCACTTGGATGACTTATCCAATGTACTCTTTGACCACTTACATTTAGGTAATCATTAAGTGATATATCACTAACGTTTACGACTGTAAACATGAATTATTCCATAAAAACTGCAGACCCGATGACGTTGTAAACCTATGCAATTTTCCTTGAAAGACAAAGAGTTACACCCTCAGCTTTTGATGGCTCGCTGTGAATAAAACCTCGGACTAATCATTAATGAGTTATAAAAATAACTTCATTACTGCTCATGGAGGTGGTTTGTCTGTGGGGAAAAGAGGAAGGTGCAGTACACACTGTGTCCCACCAGATGGAGCCATTACAATGAGTCAGAACCGGTCTGACCTACTGATCGGCCCTTGATGACCGCAAGGTCACGATGGACCTCCTTTTTCTTTGAACAGGACCCACTACAAACAATATTATAGTGCTTTTCTGTGAAATGGTCAGAAGAAGACATACTTACAATAAAAAGGTCTTATGTCAATAGCTTGTTGGTCATAACAATATTCCTCACCAACTCTTTCATTGAGAAAGCGCTAAAGTGTCACATGTCTAAAGGCCAGACTTTTTTTTTTAGGCCAGGGACTCCAAGAACCCCCTAAAGTTTTGTTTGATTTCCTAAACTCATTCATGGCCTTGCTTTGATGTTATTGCACAATACTGCTTTTCAAAGAACTGCAGTGTCTACTCGTAAAATACCAAGTGAAACTATTACGCATCCAGTGGCGCCGCTTTGTTGACACATGCAGCAAAGCTGTTTGCCTCTTGCTAACCAGCTGGTAGCTGGCATCAAAACTATCAACTAGCACCGGGAGAATTTGTTATTTTGCTCTTTCTTCCTTGTGTCCTTCCTGGTAAAATGATGAAAGCACACATGCTGCTTAAAGACATTCTTTAGAAATGTCACGTTGACGACTCTTGTCCTTAACAGAAAATGTTGGTACCACAAATAGGTCATATAAATGATTATAAAGAAAAAGGTAAAGGGATGTTTTGTGAGTGCTGGTGGCTCCTTCAGTGCTGCTGGTTGACACAGTATTACAGGAGAATGCAATCGTTTTAATCACAATTAGGAGTACATAAATAGGTGGTGTACAGAATGATGATGCAACTAACGTGTTTATATAATTTAAAGACACTGATCGATTTAAATTCAGCAAAAAAAGTTCCAGAAAGCCACAAAGGACTGCCTGCTTAGTACCAACCAGCAGACAGTCACAGCTAATAACTCTCTGTTGAATACAGTGGAGCATCGACCTGCTAAAGAGTAGTAAATATTGGACTTGGCCAGTTGGCCAGTAACATCAAAGACGTGTTAGGGAGGATAATCCTTTAACTCACAGTAAATGTTAAATGTCATACAATTAGATATATAGATAAATATATATGCATTCGAATTAAAAGGTGATGGTGCGTTAATGATTTGGTCACAGCATGATAGTCAGTATCCCGTAAAAAGGTTATTGTGCTTTTTTGCATGACAGAAAGTCCTTCCTGATGCAGTGTGTTTTCCATGTAAGGGCATGCAGCAGCAGCAGCAGCAGCAGCATAAAGGAAGAGGAAGTTGGATGCAGTGTTACATTTCGGGAGCAACTATTATAAGCTTTCAACTACCCAACTTGTTTATCCTTTCCATTCTGAATCTCAAAACAAGCTATTATGTTTTCAAAAAGGTTGAACAGTATGACTACAACACAAAGCCGTCACCTTCATGACTCATACTAGATTCAATATTGCGTGAGTGGAAGTCATTTTCTTTGAGGGAAAAGGTGCAACAGTTGTGTTCTCCAAATGGAATTTCACAGTGTGAATTGAAGCAATAGTAAAATAAATATGTCAGTTGTAAAATTTTGCTCATTTCCAGTAAAAGCTGATACTGATTTTCTGGTGGTATAGTTTGTATAGTTTGTTGTTGTGTGTGTGTGTGTGTGTGTGTGTGTGTGTGTGTCAGATCCACTTGAATGAACTGCAATAGGCTACTGGTAAAATAGAATGTTTCAAAGAGTGTTGTGAGATCCATTTCTGAAAAGAAAAATAAAGGAGGTACGTGGATGTGCAGTGCTGATATGACACTAACCCTCATTGCAAACACTGTCAAAGAGATTTTTTTTTTTTTGCACACTGAGGCCACACCTCAATCCCGTCTTTATAGCAGTGTGAGTGTGTCTCTGCTTGGCTGTGGTACACTCCTCGCACACAGAATATACAGGAGAGCCACCTCGCCATCCAGCCAGCTGTCACACACTAGGCCAGGACTCACCTGACGCCTGCCACTCGGAGGAGGGAAGATAACCAAAATAACCGGCTTGTGAAAATGTTGCTGTGGGTCGCCTTGCTGATGTCTCGCTGTTTTTCTGGTCTGGATGGAGCTGCAGCCGGCCCCGCGGGATTGGAGCGGATAGAGGAATGTGGAACCAGTTGTTCTCAGGTAAAACTGCATGCTTTTGAACACTGACGAAGGGAAACCTGCCTCTGAGCCGCAGAGAGACAAAGAGAAACATGCCTCCAAGGGACAAAGAGACAAAGAGAAAAACGTCTCTAGGCTTCTAAATATAGTTGTGTACTATTGACCTAAGACTAGTTCTGCTGATGATCCGGCTATTAACACAGCCTCGTATCTCTGCTGCTTCGTGTTTTCTTTGGGTGACCGGAATACGCCTGTATCAATCACAATTCCCAGTGCTACCACTACTACTAGTAACACCTATAAAGCCATTACTACTATTATTAACCCGTCTGTCAGGGGACTAGGCTTTTGAGGTCAATCCTGACTATGGCTTTCCTGGAACGCCGCATGTGTCATCACTTTAAGGATAAATGATCTGCTGTAAAAGTATAATCCGTGAAAAAGAACCTACTGACTCACTGAAGAAGGACATGTAAAGTGTGCATCCATACTGCATGCACCCGTGACGGCAGAGGGCTTCTGGGCTTTGAATTTCCTTGCCGTTATTCTAGACCTTTAATCTAGAAGGCTAATGAGGAAAACCTCTGCAAATATAGTTGCGTTGTAGATAATACTTCAACCGTATCATGTTTACTTCTCCCTCAGTGAACTTTAAAAGAACTACGGTCTTGTTTTAGCAGCTAACAATGCCACATATATCCCAGCGTTTTCTTCCTGAAGAAATTTACCTGAGGTCACATGAATGCACTTCACGAGGTACTGAATAGTGCTTCCTAAAAATAGTTTGAGAACAATGGAGGATTCATGCTATATTTAGCGCTACCCACATGCAGAAACAACTGACACTCACATGTTTCCTGGCTGATAAATAATCAAAGATGTATCCTGTACATCTTTTTAATTTATCCGAGGAAAACTGTGCTAAACGACACAGGTATCACTGCAAGAATGTTGTGTGCAAGAGGAAGTTTGACATTTTGTTGCTACTTCTAAATGAAAGCAGAAGCAAAAGAAACGTGAAGTAATTGATTGCCTGCGTGTTGGAGCATAACAACCGTTACCTTTCGTTTCTTTGTCAAGGATGACTTAATTAATGGAGCTCCTATTGAAAAAAGGATTCACAGAAAACGGTTACTTTCCATTTCACTTACTCCTTTTCTCCTCCTCCTCGTAGGGCCTTCAGTGCAAGACGAAGCCCAACAGTGAGTGTCAAAACACATCTGCTACACAGATTGTCACTCATGCATGCACACATGATTTGATTCCACATGATGGATATTTTTAACTGTCATTTTGCCAACTAAGCTGCAGGATTCAGAATTGCATTCATAGCTGTGGCAGCAGAAAAAAAAAACATAGTGAAAATGTTTGCCATTCTGAGTGGGGAGTAAAATGACAAGGATGTCTCATACGTGTCAAGGGAAGTTACGTGAAGTTAATTTCCCCGTAGATTGGTTTCCTCCTCCGTGTCAGAACCCCGGCGAAGGTGTGAACCGCTCCTCCGTGTTCCACGACGTCGACCTCTCCACCGTCATGCGCTGTGAGGGGAGGCAGAAGTGCTCCCTGCACCTCAGAATCAAGACGGCAATCAACCTTACTGGTACGATTTAAATCCACTCAACATTTACCGTGTTCTTTTTTTTTATATCACGAATGCCAATTCAGCTGTAGCTGTGTTGTCCACCCACTTAACCTTTGTGCAAGCCCCCGGCTACTCAGTATTAACGTAAAACGTGAAGATTCCAGCAGATTCTTGAAATCCTTATAAACTATTATTGTATTGGATAAAAGAATGGAGAAATGTGCCTCCTGGTAACTCTATAAAAGTCCAGTTGGTAGGATTTTGGAGGGTCGACTTGCACAAGTGGAATAAAATGTTCATGTGTATAGTTTCTATAAGTTTGAGAATCATGTCAAACTAAGATCGCAGTGTTTTTGTTGCCTTGAAATGAGCCCTTCGCATTCGTATTGTGGCCTCTTCACAAAGGCCACCGCTTGTTGCACTGCCGTGTTTCTGCAGTGGCCCGAAACAAAGCAGCCAGCAGAGGGGTTTTTGGTCGGTTACAGGCGGTTATCGTAGAAGACCTATTTCGAAGGGTTGAGGGTGGTGCAGATTGGTCTCATTTATAAAACTACTTCCCATGTTTGAAATTCTGCTTTCGGCTGACGAGTACGTCACGTTGATGGTTTGTGTTCCTAATTTTGGCAATTAGATCTGAAAATGTCTGGGCCCACACTCACGTGAAGTGCATGCGTAGTTATCCACGTCTACATGACACCACAACAATCTCAATGGTTTTCCTCACTGCCAGGCTGAAAGGGGGAAATCCCTGCGATCTTGATTGAGGCTTAAGTCCACTAAGCCAGCAGAACGTGATAAAATACTTCTTCCTGCATGCTGTGTTAAAACAATGCCAACTCATGCTGAACAGCGTGAATGGCTGTTAATGGCTAACTGTGTGTGCTTGAGCCCTCGTCTGCCTTATGAGTTTAGGATGTTTTTCTCTCCAGAGTCCATTCATGGTTTGTCCGTCTGCACCGTCACTGCGGGGATGATGCCCAACTGCCAAATATTCAGCTTCAGAAGGGAGTCGAGGCACCGACTTTCTGGCCTAAAGGTACTGTTCAAAGTGCCACTGGCCCCATTTGACCTATTTTGGACATTTCGTTATAATTAATGTGGTATGAAAGTAATATTTCTATTAAACTGAAGTTGCAAGCAATTGCATGGTGAAAATCCAGCGTTGTCATGTTACTACAATTATTGAGCTCAAACAATGTGTGCATACATTTGGAGTCTGAATACAAAAAAGTAGACTAGGGGTGTAACGATTCATTTTAACAACAATTCGAATCACGATTCATGGTTGCCGATTCGATTCGTGGACGATCTGGGTTAATTTAGAATGATTCGATTCGATTCAGTGACTTGAAATTGATTCAGTAACTTTACTGGACAGTGCAGGCAAAGTTTCCGAGATCCCTGTTGTTTCTTGTAAGGAAATCAGGTTTAAATTAATTATGGATATTATAAACAAGCAAACAACAATTAATAGCAAATGTATTTACCTTTTATTTGAATCAAGTGCCACTTTCAATGTAAACAATAATTACACAATGTTTGGATCAATTCACAGAACCCCAGATTTTCAACCACATTGTCGCATGTCTTTACAGATAAACTTGCCAATTGTTACTGTGATGTTGAGTTTGGTGCTGGCGAGGCCTGAGGTGTCTGCAGAGCTGGAGTTACCTGCTGCTGCTGCAGCGGTAACGCTGCTAGAGGCCTGACTGTCGGCGTTGTTTAATCCCACGGCGCCTTAGTAGATGGCCGGAAAGATTCGTCTCCGCCACGCTGTGTTTTGTTGTTGTTCAGAGTTTCGCGCGGCTGCCAATGTGCAGTATCGATATCAATCGATTACGTACCATTTCAATCGATTTGTAACTGATATATGTCGTCCGGAATGCCGATTTGCGGAGCACAGATCGATTCAGTTGGTTCGCAGGAATATAAATTGATTTATCGATTCAGTGGATGACTCGTTACACCCCTAAAGTAGACACATCCAACGTGACTTGATTTATTTTGAAATGTGGTGTATTTTTTTACCTCATATTTAAGCTTCAAACCCTTAACACACGGACTAAATAGTTGCCAGGTTTCCAAACATCAACTTTCTTTGTAGTTTGATGTGTGTGCAAACAAGTACCGTAGATACCACTTAGAAATGTTGGAACTGTGCCCGACTGGCAGCAACTGTGTTTTTTAATCACATTTTTTCCAAAGGTGGAGGTTGAGAATGACTGCACTGTCATTCCTCCACGGGAACGCGTGCAAGTAACTGTGGAGACTGTGCCGAGCTACTGCGGCGTCACCTGGACGGGAACATATGACGCTCCGGGTGAGGTCATGTGCATGTTTGCATTACTATAGAAACGCGCACCTGTGACAGTGAGGATGGAACCTGTAACAAGTCAAGAACAACTGTTGTGAGACATACGTATTTCCTTACAAGTATTTCCTTTTAATTGATTAGAACTAGTGACATTAGAGGGACCGACACACAGTTGTTAGGATAAAGGTTAATGATTAACTAAAGAGACAACTGCAGTGTCACAGGACACAGACGCGTTGTCACGGGATTTGTAGTCTTTATTGGAAAGACTGACTCTCTCCAAGGAAGAGAGAATAAATACGGCTATCAAAACAATCTAGAACACACTTAAATAGTTTAGGAGGAACTGGTGACACATGAGGAAGGGTAAGTGACCAAAATAAAACAGGAAATGACCCGACAAAATAAAACAAACTTCACAGCGGTGTGATGTAGTAGGTGAATATTAAGTAAATGTTGCAGATACCATTTTTTCAGCTTTATGCCAAAGCCTATTAGTGTTTTAAACATTATTCTATTCCTCCACAGCATGCATCAGTGAAGATTTGCGCAGACATGTCCCAGAATGCATCAGTGAGTACATACTAGGCATTAGATCATTATTTCTAAAGCACACAATTATGAACCAGTGATCTCCGACCTTTTGCCTGAATAAACTTGTAGCCCATTGGGTGCTAAACTAACAACATTAGAAGCCTACTTGGTATGTATCCAAAGCCAAGGAGAAAATATCTCACCAACATTGACCTCTGTTTTGTTCAGCTGGGCGGCTGTCGTATGATGTAAACCCACAGACGAAGGAGCTGAGAGTCAGTGTGTCGGACATGTTGGAGGATCAAGACTACCACCTCCGTCTGTGCCACCGGGATTTCATCTGCGCGGGAACAGGCGCCCACAGACTGGTTGGTCCCACAGTTTCACTTTAAACCGAAAGCCTCCTCTTACACACATGTGTACTACAATTCTTCGCACAATCTCTCCAAATGATGATCATTTTGGGTGTAGCTGTGCCCTTTGACACACAAACGTTTCTCATGCTTAGACTTAGTTCCTTGAATTCTCTGCAAAAAGGGGAATTTCCAAATAATTCCATGCTGTTCTCTGATCCGTATCAACCGTTCACGTTGCTACTTTTAATCTTCTTGGTTACTGTCACAGCTTGCTTGTATTGGATATTGCTATGTTTACCTTTCAGATAAAGAAGGGGGAACGTGTCATGAGTGCCATCCTCCCCTACTCCCAACCTCTGCCCTGCCTCTGCATCGAGGTAACGGTTCAGCCAACACTCATTTCAAGCAGTTGTGATTTGTTTCTTTTAGTAATGACTTTCAGAAAAAGGGATGAACCTTTGCTGATAAATTGCTCGTAGGGATGGTCGGATGTGACGGATGCCTCGAGAGTTCAGATCTGCCCGTTTAAACACCGTGAGTCACTTGATTGATTTTTGTTAGGAGGCGATTGCGTCAATCCGAGCGTGGGGGGTGTGGTAGTTCAGGGTTGACTCGATGCTTGTTAAAAAGACTGAGATCATCGCGTGTCGCCCGCAGGCCTCGGGGTGCTGTGGTCTGGAATTAACTTTGATCCCCTGGAGGAGACGCTATCATGGGAGCCCATCTGCCCTGTGGCTGCAACAGCTGTTTTGTGTCAGAAAAGGGCCGACGGCGTCTGCGTGGATCTGCCTCACGGCTCACAGAATGTTAGCAGGAAAAAGGTACGAGTCTCTGACGTGTGAATGCCAAAGTTGCTGTTACCTCGCCGGCTATGCCTCTTCTTGTTGTGGTCACGAATCGATTGAAGTGAAGTCGTTTTCAATGAGCACACTCATACTCATACTTTTCGTTTAAAGTCGCCAAAAAGATTGTTTAAACCTCCTGCTTCACGGCATTTATATTGAATCAGAGCCATTTCAAACTTATTCAAAAACTTCATGGGTGACGTTCTGCATCACCAGCAGAGCGTTCCCTTCTCAGGGACGAACCCTCCTCCCGCAGCCAGCAGTGATGCTGAACGTCGCCCATCTGGAAGCCAAATCCATCTGACCTAAAAGTGCTTCGCTGTGTATTTAATTAATAACTATTTCCTCAATCTTTGCTCCACAGATTACGTTTACTAAAGTGGATCCGCACCCTCAGCTGTGCATGAAGGTAATGATAACTTGGACCTCGGTCACAGTTGTTGTTAGGAATAAACAATATAGTCTGTGTTGAGGAATTATGCGAGTAGACTGGCAGCTCCTCTGCTACACCTGTCCACCTCCACACAGCTACACCCCACAGTCAAGGATCAACCTTCACTTGAACCACAAAAAAATGGAATTGCTGTGTTTGAGCCCTCATCTTTTTTGTAGCTCAACTCAGCAGTGAGGGTTGCCTGGTAATCTAACTACAAAACAGAAGCATTGCTGCTGTTGTTATCTGCACTTCATCAGTGGTTCAGTGGAACTACAGTGTTTTACGTTGGCTATTTTTACATTTCTGTGTTAGAACCAAGGTGTTATGTGTATGAGCTTTATGTTACTGTTGGATTTCTATTGAATAACACCGTACGATGTTGTCCAGTTCACTGCAGGCCGTCGGTCCTGGACAAGGTGCCCCTTTGCCAACCCCACATTCCAAGGTATTTCTTTGGACCGATTATAGCAACATTTTCAATACATCCTAAAGATAATGTAATCCATGATGTTATGCGGTATTGTGGCATTGGTCTGTTCAACGACGGCTGCACGATAACTGTTGACTGTATTTTCCAGCATGGGAGGTGGTCGTGTCGGGACAACAGGGCCAGAAAGTGGTAAAGGTGTTGTCCCAGGTCGCAGCAACGTTTTCTGTGGGGCTGTGTGTGAAGCCCGAAGGCTCGACCTCGTGCCAGATCACCGACACGTACACCGTGGACGTGGTAGGTGTCAAATTGAACATCACCTCGTATTCATAATTCAACAGCCCTTTTTAGTGACTTGTCCGTCTCCCCCCCCCCACGAAGCGGCTGTTACAACTTGCTCGCAAAGATTGCACCGGTACTTAGCCTTTTTACTGCTGGTGATTTCTCAGCTTCAAGACTCGGATTGTTATCAAAGCAAAACAAAGCGATTACGTCTTCAATCAGGGAAGAGAATCTGACACATAAATCAGCAACATGAAATGTGTAAAAAGGTGTGTCCGTGGAAGCCGCTTAGATGTGGGTTGGGGATGTTTGATCAAAGCAGGTTTTTTTGGTCTTTCTCAGGAGCAACACAATGCTGTTGGTTTAAACCTGAAAGGGGAACCATGCAACTCTTGTCTCCAGGTATGTCTGTGTAGTTGATGGACACTATGAGGTAATGCACATGTTCCGTCAGGTTTAGACATTCACAATGTGTATTTGGACAGGTGAAGAGACTCAACGTGAAGTTTGCTGCCACCGTCACTCACTGTCTTGAGCAATGCAGTAAGTACAGTTTCACTGCTATCATGTCTGTTCCAAATGTTCCTTTCCACCATTTCTCTCTGAATATTTACAACTTAAGGAACCTCTCTTTGACAGCTTGACGCAGTAATAGACCAGATGTTTATTCTCACGCAATATTTAATAGGGAGGGTATTAACAAACGTATACGTGTTCCTCAAGGTTCCCCTAAGTGGTTTCTTGGCATCGTTTTGAGAAATAAAAACATTGTGTCACTGCAAAGAAGAAAATGCTGGTTGTATCATCTTTCATCTGCGTGGGAAGCTAGAGATGATGGTGCCATGTATTTACCCTGGGAATTATCTTCACAGATCAAACAGGGGCCTGTGGACCTGATGTTTCCAGTCGAGTGTCTTTGGATTTTGGTTGGATCATTTTACACGCTGCAGTCCTCTTTTCTGGCATCTTCATTTTCACCCTGGCGCTCCACGTACTCTTAACCGGTATGCAGAAAGTGACTAATAAACACAGACCTGCAGTGTGGTAGACTTTTGTTAAAGCTTCAATTCTGCAGGCAGCTCTGGGGAAATAACCACTATTAATAATGTTGTAATACACAGGAAAAAGGTTTTAGTCAACCATCTTGTCAAAAACACAAGATGATAATATACGTATATGCAAGTACAAAAAGTACATATATCAGGCAGTGCCACTCATTTGAATTAGATACCAGACTACATTTGTCATTGTGTTGAATTTCCTCATCCTGCTCTTCTAATTAAACATGTTTTCTATTTCAGTTTATCAAAAGAGGAAACAAAACGTGATTGGAGGATGCATCTCTGAAAAGAGAACAGGTGAAGATCTGAATCATGAATCAGGTCAATTATTACAAAACATGCATGCAACATGCATTTTCAACCTGAAAGCTAATGCTAAGCCTGTGTTTTAACAGATCCCGCTTCTGACTGTGCAGTTGTGGTATTAAAACCTCAACCTCCTGGCCATGGAGGGTTCCTCATCCCGGATTCCCCCCAGTGTGGGAACACTGAGAAGGCCAACTTAATCTAGAAATGACCAAAGAACAGAGCTTTTTTCAAAGGCTTAATGTGCAGTGTATTCAAATGGTCTGACAGTTAGTGATTTGTATGCTTGTTATAGATAACTGTTGTTATTCTGTGGATGTCTGTGTGGGTCAAAGTTAATGTGTATATTGCTTTTTCTTAAATAAGTGAAATAATGAATTCATCTCGCAGCTAAATGGTTACTTAAATATATATTTTCATTAAAAAAATAAAAATGTCAAAGAAAACCTGCAGATTTTTTAAATCTTATTGTCCTTCTATCAGAAGTAAACAGTAGCCCATCCTTCAAGTGGCCTCTTACTCACACACTCAATCACTTACATAACATTCCGTGATCATTTGCATCTTTACATGCACATAATTTCGGTGTTAATTAAACCCCATGAACTATTTTAACCAGGAGAAAAAAACAGAAGAAAATGTACAACCAAGAAAATGTGGAAAAGTTTACATTATCAATGCATCAAGTGACTGGGGGCAATGGAAGGCTTCACTCACTCTGAAGATCTGATATATAATTATTACACAATTCTGCAGCGTTGTATCATTTTCCAACAACCGTTTCTGGTTTCAGTGTCTTCAATTTTGTCGTTGTGGTTTACTCTAACAGCTCCAGCTTCTATGCGCCAAAAAGTATGATCAATTAACAGCACACAGCTTGTCCTGCACCAAAAAGCAGACACACTTTGGTGAATATAGTGGAGTGTTTATCGGCCAGAGGGACAGATTGGGAGGAGACCAAAAACAGAGCAAAAAACACAGTGAATATTGGAATTACATTCATCAGGTAGACAGAAACACGTCCATAAATGCTAATGTTGCTATGCAACTGCTGAAAAGCCACGAAACTGCAAGCGGGTGCTAATGTCGGGCCATCAGTATGGCTATAGTTGCCCCTTATGTTAGGAGTATTCCTAAGTAAGTCCAACCGTCCCTATTGATTCCATTCCACTGCTATAGCTTGATTTCCTTGTTAGAGTGACTTGTGTTCCCACCACTCAATTGTCCTGCGTACAGGAAGGATATGCGATTGATTTACATATGTAGATGAAGTTGCTGAGAACCAGACAGGACGACACACTGTATCAGTAAGAGAACAGAGGCCTCTATGTACAGACATTTACTCAATTAACAGTAACCCAGTGATCCAAATTTCTCACACACAAGGAACTTGGCAAACATTTCCTTGTTTGGTTTTGAATTCGCAGTAAACAAGCATATAAAAGAAGGTTAGTCACTAAAGTAATATGCAAAACTAATCTTTGAAATTCCGCAACTGGTCCCCTCCCAGAGGCTGAAAGCATGACATGAGAGTTTGTGTTTATCTTGCCTTTTATTATGCTTCCTTATAGCAGAGGGGAATCTAATCTTACGCATGAGTCATAAAACATGTGGAAAAATGGAGACGTGTGTCATCCTTTCTCATAACTTAGTCATAGTGGGGAAACCGTTTCATTTGACAGTCAGCTGATGTTATAAAAATAATTACTGGTAGCTCACTTGGGAAGTTCACCCAATTTCTTTACTCACATGTAATATCACATTCAGCTTTAAACGTCTGCACCAAAGAATTTATTTTTAAATTATGTATCTTCTCTAAATTGTAATAGTAAATGCTGTCCTCTATTATTGCAAAATGAGCTTGTAAAAAAACACTGAATTATTCATTTGAATTGGCTTTGGCTGAAGTGGACTTATTTTAATATGTTTAGTCTACTTGTGTAATCAGCTTTTATATACTCAGTCCAAGTTGCTAAAATTACTGCTCCTTTGTAAGAAAAAACAAGTTGCAACCGCCATTTCACAACCACAAGCTTTTGAAGAAAATGCATGTAACCCCCACGGTGTGCGAGGATAGATTTCACACAATCTGTAAACAGTGCTCATTTTTCTACGCAGAAAAATATGATATTGAATGTCAACTGATACGTGATGAAAGGAAAAGCAAAAAACAAAGAAAGCAGGAAAGAAAAACAATCTAGAAAGGGAAGCCACGAATGAACTGAACAGGACACAAAACAAATGTAGAACGTGTTAGGACACCTCGGACAAAATAATGTTACAAGGAAAAAAATTACAAAAGCATTTTTTGCAGCGGGGGCAATTAAACGGCACACGATTGTGTGTTACCAGCAGAAAGACTGAGGGGTGGTTCTTCCCTTCGGGTGACTCACTTGCATGAGATTTGGGCATGAAACCCTGACCCGATAACTATCTGCAGGGTTCTTGCTTCAGCTTCCCTTTAGGCCCAAGCGTGGAAACAGAGACCTGATTGTAGCTGTTGACTGATCTGGTTGCGACATCAGGTAAAATAAACATATCACTTGGTTGATTTTCAACAATGGCCTAAAAAAAAAAGAAAAGCACAGTGCTGATTTTGAAAACACGTTTCATCAAAATGCTAAAGCTTTTGGCGAACGAATATTTATGCTATATACAAATCTTAAATTACAACTTCTCTTCACTAAACTACTCAATAACTAAGGTTATAGTTATCTTTACTGTAATCACTTAATTCTATAATAATTTCATTCACAGCCGTTCGAGTACCGGCTGCTCCAGGTCCCATGTCGAAGTGTCATTGAGCAAGACACCTAACCCCTAATTGCTCGGCCAAATATGTAAAAAGGCCATGGGTTATAAATGCAATGTAAGTCGCTATGGATAAATGCGTCAGCTAAATGACCTGTAATGTAATGTAATGTATTTTCACACAAACAAAAATGTCCTTAAATACATTTTAAACAGCGCCATCTTCAGGCAGGTTTTCCCCAGAGGAAAACATGATGAGGAATTAATGATTTATTTGCACTTTTTTTGTGCAGATGAATCACAAATTTAAGATATTCTTTGATTGCGTTGTAATTGATTAAATCTCATCCGAGTTGTCAATGGGATGGACCCATTTGTCTAGACTTGCAGCACTATTGTTTGAGAGTGGCAGAAAGATGGATCCATGGGGTTCGACAAACAACTTCCCACAGCTAAAAGCCTGTGATGTGAGAATAACTTATTTATTATTAATTTGGCTGACAATACACTTTCACTTTAGTGTTTTGTATTTAAAAGAGCATCTAGCTGCAGAGCTCCAGGCTCAGGCCCACCTCCTCTGCGACACTCTTTTTCTATAATCAATGTAGAGCCTTTTGAAATACTTTGTACACCGCACGGTTTAATATGCTAAACTAACGTATTGTCATATTTTCTAAAATATGTCCGGTTCCCCTGGTTCCCTTTTATCTTTGCCAACGTGCTCCCTCACTCTCGTTTCCATCTCTTTTACATTTTGTGATGTTCGGTCCGATTTTGAATGGGCTGATATGCTTTGACCATCTTTTATTGGAGTTCTGTGCTGCCTTTTTACGGACTTGTTGGCATCGCAGTTTAGTGGATTCGGAAAAAAATACCAGATGAAACAGTTCTGTAAATACAATGCACAGAATAAGGAGGTGTTCCTGATCAGCAACTATTTTATGACTGTGCTTTGGACGCTTTTGCTGCAGGAAGTTTGCTTGGACTTTTTATACTGTGAAAAAACAATATGCGATATAATTGTCATGTACTTGTATGTTGCAAGTTCTGACTTATGCGTTGATGTTATTGCCGCACAATCTTCACTGACCTCTACCCATCATCCCTACGTGTTGTTCTACAGTAGCCACAAGATGGTGTCGTTCACCAAGACTTGAAATGCACACGCATGCACATAAACCCAATGGATGGATTGTATCTGTTCATAGTACCAAGAAAATTGGAAGCTCTCGCTAATGACTAATGAGAAAGTTTAGAACGTTGAAGACACAATTGAATATGCAACACATTAGTTGCTGGAGGTTGAATTCAGTCATTTGTGTTGATATTCTGTCGTAAACCTTCAACGGATACCAAAGGACTTTCTCTTTTGTTGTCCGGTTTTACTTCAATTAATGTCTTTGGATAACTATTAGGGGATTGAACATACTTTGCTTTTTACATTTTACGTCTATGAATAGAACAAAAGAAGGAGAGAATTTCAGTCATATTAGAAACAATAAGCTTATATGTTATAAGATCAGCAGATCATTACTAAAGTCTGTTATTTGATGGAATTATCTGAATATGAGGTCATGCTGTCTAAGAATGGCTTGTAATCCACAGGGACTAGGATGCCAGGTTGGAGGCGGGGGGGGGGGGGCTACAGCTGTTTTTGGAGGGCTTTTCCGTCATAACAAGTGACTAAAGTACAAAAAATACTTTTTTTCAGGCCAGCGTTGGAACATACGACGGAGCTTTTAGGCCTTCAGATAAAACACCGCCATGCTCCCGTCTTTCTCTCTAGCTGCCCATGTGGTGAAAGAATGGCAAAGCCGGAGGCCAGAGACAACAGACAGGGATGAGCTAATCTTTGTTGTGTATGATTCCAGACATTCCGATGGGGTGTTGTTCCCAAGCGGGCAAATCAACGCAGCGCCCACTCCGGGGATTTGCGCTAAGCAAACAAACACGCGGCTTTTAGGGGAGTACAGGGTGGAAAGATGATTTCCAATAGGTGAGTATTCGCATTCAAATGCACTCACACCCTCGGGTGCGCGTGGAAAAGACTTACATCCTGAAACGAATACACAGGGGAGGAGACCAAGTGAAACTAAGAAAAAGGTGAAAGGTTCAAGTGTGACGAACAGAAGAAAATGAATGGCTGAGGGTTGAGGGTAGATTGTTGTCATTTTGGCATTTTTAAAACGACGGCCGGCGTGTCATCACACGAATACTCACTCTGCATTAACAATCTGCTCCCTCTTGGGATGTTTTGGAATAACATCAAGTGAAGAGTACAGGTGGATGCGAGATAATGTGCGTTTAAAAAATACGTAGATGAAAGACAGGGGATTGGACGAGGACGAGCAGGCAAGGAGCTTGTAGAGAATACGACGAGCTTGTTGTAGGACAAACTGGGGGGGGGGTTCGAAGGAAGGTACTGCGCCCGTCTGTAAGTCCTCTTAATTAGAATAGGAAAAGCTCCTTTCGGACACAGGGGCCCCTTTGTTCCTTTTGTGAGTCATTCTAGAAAGAGCACAGCTGTAAACAGTCGAGATCAGTCCATTAGCCCCCGAGGTGCCAGAGCTCCAGTGTTGACTGTGTATCTGGAGAGAAAACGGCAGGCTTGAGTCATCAATAAACAGAACAGTCAGATGAGTGTGTACAGTAAGTGTGTCGGGGTGTGTACGTGTAATGGGAGGCAGAGGGGAGGAGCGCAGGGTTTAGGGGGGGATAATGGCGCGGAGTAGCACGGAGCAATGACCTCATGCC